ATAATTTTAGAAAATGAAAAAATAAATGAGAAAAGTCCAGTTACATATGAAAAAAATTATGCATTAAATATTTTAAAAGAAAATAACAATTATGAATATTTTATATGTTGCGATTCAGAAATAGATTTTATAATGGAAAATATGAATTACGAAAATATATTAAATAAGATTAATATGATATTTGAAAATAAAACTATATTTTGTGGATATACTGAAACGAAAGGCGGTGCTAATAAACAGCACGTAGAAACAACAAATAAATACTCTGGAACTATTTTACAAATAAAGAAGATAATGATAAATTAAAAATATTATTAGAAAATTATACATTATGTGGTTGGTGGCATGAATTACCAGTATATAAAGCAGAACATTTAAATGTTTTTCAACATTTAGTTATAATAATTTAAATTGGCATCATTTTGATCATCAAATATATGTAAATTATTTATTATTATATCATGATTTTAAAATAATAAATTTAACTAAAACCGTAGGACTTAATAATGGCATGCCATTTTTGTTTGAATACAATAAAAATATTACAGAAAAGTTAGTACAATATAATTTTTCTTTTTGTTGGTTATTATCAATATTATTTCATAGTAATAAAGAATATTTTACAAATAAAGGATGTTGTATATTATATCACTTGGATAGAGATAAAGCACATTATCAAATATTGCAAACAATTAAAAATATCAATAAAAAATAAAAAAAATGTTATTTTATATATATGATAGCATTTATAATACCATTACATCCAAAACATTTTATATATATATATATGATTTGGAATCAAAAATTAAAATCATTGATGAAAGAATAGATTTTTATTTGATATTTTCTAATAACGAACATTATAATAATTTTAAACTTAAAAATTTATTTAAGCATATAATTTTAGAAAATGAAAAAATAAATGAAAAGTCCAGTTACATATGAAAAAAAATATGCATTAAATATTTTAAAAGAAAATAACAATTATGAATATTTTATATGTTGCGATTCAGAAATAGATTTTATAATGGAAAATATGAATTACGAAAATATATTAAATAAGATTAATATGATATTTGAAAATAAATTAATATTTGCAGGTACGAATATTATAAAAATGAGACCAGTGGGGTATAAAATATTACAAGAATCTGCTGAAATATTTAAAGATTCTAATACTATTTCAACAATAAAAATTTTAAGAAATAATTATAAAACATATTGTTGGTGGAGTGAATTACCTGTATATAAAAGAGAACATTTAAATGAATTTTTCTTGTATAAATTATAATATATTAAATTGGTATCATTTTGATCATATAATTTATATAAATTATTTATTATTATTTCATGATTTTGAAGATGTTGATTATTGCAAATATGGATTTAAATACAAAAAACGCACTAGACTTTGGAATAATATTACGAATTGGACACCTAGAGATTTATGTAATAGAGATTGTGGACAAATAAGGAATAATAAACATATTGAAACTGTGCAACGACTGCCATCAAAAACTAAAGCAGAATGGGGGGATAATTATGTAATACATAAGCAGGAAGATTTATACAAAATACCTGCTGAATTGATTTGTGCGATTTTGACGAGTTTGGTGGATTAAAGAAACGAGTTTGGGATTGTTGTTGTTGAAACTTCCCAAAATGTCGGTCAGGGTGCTTCCCAAATGGTGGGCAGGGTGCTTCCCAAATGGTGGGCAGGCAAGCAGGGTGCTTCCCAAATGGTGGGCAGGCAAGCAGGGTGCTTCCCAAATGGTGGGCAGGCAAGCAGGGTGCTTCCCAAATGGTGGGCAGGGTCTCCCAAAAACTTGGGAAGGGTCTCCTCAATTTTGAAAAATGAGGGAAGGGTCTCCCAGAAACTTGGGAAGGAGGAACACATGTTCATGTATGATTAAATTTAACCCATAAACCTTACAATAAAAACATTGTAAGATTTATTTTTTGAAATTATGGGGATTTTATATTTTTGGATTTTGGGAAAATATATTTTGGGAATTTGGGATTTTGGAAAAATATATTTTGGGATTTTAGAAAAAATATTTGGGATTTTGGGAATTTGGATTTTTAAGATGGTCTGGTCTTAAAGACATGCCACCTATCAATAGTAGCATGGAGATGACTGACAAAATGCAAAAATGTAGGCGATGTGAAAACACTTATCCCCCTGACCTATTTAATGTTAGAGTGCATATTTGTGATTACTGCCGAGAACAAAGTAAAATTGATAGGAAGGAAAAGAAAAAAGAATATAATAAAGTGCGTAATCAGATTGAAATAGAATGTGACATTTGCCAGTGTAAAGTGAGGAAATCTGCAATGTCCAAGCATTTGAAAACACAGAAGCATATTGAGAATGAGAATAAAGTAAAAACAACAGTTGAGGAAGAAAAACCTAATGAAATTGAAAATTCAAAACCTCCAGTAGCACCAGAGGTCAAAAAGGAAATGGAGGAAGTGAAGGACAAAGTTTTTCAAATTGTAGGTGAATTACCCTTTCTGGAAAATTATTTCATTTCAGCATATTCCGTGAGGAATTCTGCAATTATTCAAATTATGAAATAATATGATTTAAATTTTAACCATAAACTTTACAGTAATAATATTGCAAAATTTATGATTTACATTTCTTGGGAAAAATGATAATTTTGTAAAAAAATATTTTTGAAAATTTGGAAAAATATTTACAAAATTTATGTATCAAATCTTGAGTTGAGGTTCTGTTATGAATTGATGAAAAATATTATGTGAATTGGTCGGTTGAGGGGATTTTATCCAATGGGGGGTCCTTTTAGGTAGGTAAACCACCCAAAAGGAGGGTAAATCAACGAGAAGACACTCTCATTTCTGGGCTGTCCGTTGTCTGATCCCCGACTACTCAGTTGTTCAGTGACCTCCAGGCTTCCAGGCCACCAGGCCACCAGGCGACCAGCGGAACGAAAAGCGATGCTCGCCGGTGGCTTTCCCTTTGCGGGCGGGGTTCCCCCTTTTTCAGGGCTCCTTAAAATATACATGTGTTTGCTTGCCCATTTGAGACATGTGGCAATTTTTCAACACCGAAATTTCAGTTGGAAACCACCATTTACAAGTTGCAATGTTCAGGTGTGTAATGTAAGGATCCCTGTTTTTGTTTCATGATTAGCTATGACCCCCAGTCCCCCAGTGCCAACTTTCCCTTCTTCTTTTTTTTTTTGGGGGGGGGGTTCCTCTACTGAAATAGACTACAGAAACAAAGGATACCCTTATTCTAACCTCTCTACTGGAGGACCTAGTTAATCATTCGAGGGGTACCTTCCATTTCCATTCTTTCCAGGGATCCTTATTTCTAGACAACCTCCGAAAACCCAGGGAGAACGGCCGGTTTTTGGAAAGAAGGACAGTTGAAAAGAATGGAATCAGACTCAACCCTCAGCCCCCTGGATGAATAAACCGGTCCTATGAATAGAAGAGGGGGGCGTGTTCCCCTGCAAAAATGGTTTCCCACTAAACCCAGGGCACCCCCCCTATTCGTAAACAGGGGGACCCTCGATGGGTCTGGGCAAAGCACATCGTTCTTTTGCCTTGCGGTAAAACGAGCTCACCCGTGCGAAAGCAGCTTACTTGGAGATGCCTTAATTCCTGTTGATGAATCGTACTATGTGCAATCTGTTCCCCAGATGGATTGGATTGCTTGTTTGAAAACCTTGGCAAACACGGGCACGGGATTGACAAACACACCAAACTGGGGACACCTGCTTCTGGCAAATCGTTTAGTGTGTACAATCTATCAAATAGTTAAAAACCCACAAGCAAACAAGTAACTCAACCAACCCGACCCAACCCAACCCATCCCAACCCATCCCATCCCAACCCAACCCAACCCAACCCAACCCAACCCAACCCACCCAACAACCAATCAGCGAATAGATAAGTCAATCAAGGAATTAATCAACTGTCAAGCACCCAAGCATCCACTCCCATTCAATCCAATCCATCAATCACTCAGGCAGCACTCGATTCTTGCAAATTCTTCCTAAGGAAACCCACACAAAGTTTCTTCCATGGCCTCCCAAGCCCCCAAGGGGCCAAGGGGCGGGGCGGGCTTGGGCGCGCCGCGCTGGCTCTGGTTTTGCTTGCCGAATGTCCCAGACTAGGTCCAGCTAGGTGCCAACTTTTAGCTTTTCTTTTTTGGTTGGGAGATTCAGCTCCCCCAAAATGGACTACAGAAAAAAAAGGCCACCCTTATTCTAACCTCTCTACTGGAGGACCTAGGAGGGTTCCTGAAATGTCTGGTAAGCCTCTATTGGCTTGGATTTTGGTGGTTTGGATTTGAATCCCTGGTCCTTGCGCTGGGTAAATGATTGGGAAACCAGCCCGGAACGCCTCCAAACCACTGAAAATCCAGTAACCATTTTGAGGGAAGCTGAAAAGCTGAATTTTACAAACACACATCAAGAGAAAGGTGCCCTTGTTTTCCCTACGGCCACTTGTTTGGCAAATGGGTTAGATTGGTCTCGCTTTCCCTTTAAGCAACTTACTTGTCCAAAGCGAACCTTTTGACCTGTTGGTTTTCCCTTGGTGCAATTTTACCAAAGTTTAACCTTGTATTTCTGAGTTGTTTGGGCACGTGAGACTGAGACACGGGGTCCCTTTTGTCCTTGAAACACCCACGCTGCGATCCAATACATCCTCAAGTTGTATGGGGATCCTATGCCCCCTTTCAGCATCAGCCCGAAACCCTGATACACCCCAGGCAAAAGGGCCTCCAAAGGGGGATGCTAAGCCACCCCAAGGTAAGTACCAGCAAATGCATTTGTCCAGCCTGCCAGCTCTTTTTTCAGAGGCAACCCAACAAGGGGTCTTCTTCTAGAGGCGAGTTTCCAGTGAAACATGTTTTTCTTTTTTAACACACACACACTTCACAATATAATCAAAAAACATCCTCCCGTTGGGTTGCTTTGATTAAGAAACCAGAGTCCTCTCTGAAAAATCCTTCGGCCTGCCAGATGTGGCCGGACGGTGCCAGATACAACGGGCAGTGGGCGGAGCGCTCAGCTGGCCGAATTTGTCCCGAGGCGTTTCCTTTTTCCAGGGTCACAGTGAAATGGAACCACCAAAGGAAAATAACATGTTTGTGTTTGAAGGAAATCCCCTATTGGTTACAAATTGGATCTATAAACGGATTTTTTTTTTCGGAAATGAACATGTTATATTGAGGAACGTCCACTCTTGATTCTACATGGGATATATAAATGTAGGCGGTTCTTTTTCTAGAGGGTTTCCCCTAATTAAAACAGGGTGAGTTTTTCCCCAAGGCCACTCTGGATCTACATGAACCACAATCCGAACCCGGGTAAATGGAGATGAGGGACAGTCACAACGAGAAATGGGTATGGGTCAAAATTAAACCACCAGGGACCGCAGGTTTTAGTCCGTGGTTCCCTTTGCCAGGGTTCCGTTTTGAGCACCTATTTTTGACCCACAGCCAAATAGGCGTATATCCAGCCCTTTCGTTCTGTTTGCATCGCAGTAGACCATTGTTTGATGCCAGGATTTGTTTCTGACTCACATGAACCACAGTCCAAGATTCCCCGTCACTTTCCGTACACTGGGTACGCTCACCAAATCTGGGTGAATTATGACGACCTCACACAACCGGACCTCAAATGGTGGTTTATCCGGGGAAACTCCCCCCAACCACCTTATTTCAGGTTAGTGAAATATTATAATTCACCCAGACCAAATTGCCAGTACGACATGAAGTATCTCACCAAAATCCCGGCACTTACAAAGCAAAAGCAATCATCCACTAATGAGTCACAATCAAAACCCGGGTAAGCGAAGGTTAGTAAGGGACAATCCCCTTTCCATAAAAAGCTGCGGATATCCGCCTTCTTAATTTTCTTGAAGCATGGTTCTGGGATTACGACCATTTTAATTTTAATACCGGGTTTTGAGCAAGTGACTCATGTGACATACCCAAAATTTTCCTAAAGCTCAATTGGGGTACCTTCCATTTCCATTCTTTCCAGGGATCCGAATCATTTCAGGAAACCATCAATCACCATTCATTCAGGAAACCATCCATCATTTCTGGAAACCATTCATTTCAGGGTACCTTCCCCATTCTTTCCCCTAGAAAAGCATTATGACTCTAATGGGATCGTTCCCTTTGCCACTTCCGTGGGCTTTTGGAGGCCGCATGAAGCTCACGTAAAGCTCACATGAAGCCAGGCTTTTGGAGGCCAAAGAAATGGCACGTGCCAAAGCAGCGCCCGCAACTGATGCCTACACTGTAGGCTTGTGGCACGGCCCTTTTTTGCGTGTGACTTTTCCGGGTCCATTTTGAGTTGTTTTTCACGGAGCCCAAAGAAAACGCATTCCGGGGCTTCCCTTATTGCAGACACCCGCCATGTGGGTCTGTCTTTTGTGGCGAGTTGGTACTAGCGGTTTAAAAGGAAACCCCGAAAACAGGAACCACACAGCAACCGTTCGAGCCCGCTCAGGTTTTGCATGGATCTCTTAGAAGCTATATTAAAGCACTCAGTCTCTCACTTGGTGAGTTGGCAAACTGTTCCCACTTTTATTTTTCGAGCTTTCTCAGGAATTTAGGCGGCCGACAAGTGATATTTTTAACTCAGGTCAGGTCAGTGGTAGGTGTGCTTTTGGTTTGACGGTGACGAACCCTAGTTAGTCAGTTCTCGGATCTATACTACCCTACAACCCACACACTGAACTGGGATGGTTGTTAAGCACGGAACTGGGATGGTCATCCAAATACCTGACCATTGTGTGCATATCACCCCATGTTGAGCGCATCATGGAAACCTGAGGTGAATAAAGGGGTGGTCATTCAACTAGGACAAAGAAGGGCGCCATTCTCTTGATAAAACAGTGAGTGCTATGACAAACAAATAGATCAACCAAATCAAGCGCATATGCAGATCAATAGCTAACATCATGACACATAGCCTCTATGTATATATAGAATACTTAAACTACCAACATCACAAAATATCGCCTCAACAGAATAGATCAACATCATGAGGTACGCCACCCTCGATGAAACCGAGCGGTATCGATCCCAGCTAGGTCCTCCAGTAGAGAGGTTAGAATAAGGGTAATTACCCACTTGTTTCTGTAGTCTATTTTAGTAGGGTTTTAGTAGGGGTTTCCCACCAAACAAGTTGGAAAACCTTGGCACCTGGGGGACCCGAACATCAACAGGGGAGAACCAACAAAAAGAACCGTGTTCAGTCATGGGAAGTGAAAGAGTTGGCACCAATCGCTGGGGGACCTATGGAGCTGAGGTGCATGTTGCTCGGATGTTAGGACCGAACAACGTTTTGCCAACCAATGGGTTTTCCGGAGAAGAACAAAAAAACACTAAAAGTGATTCACTTTTCGCAGGGCGCAGATTTCGCTGGAATGGAGCTGAGGTGGACGACAAGGCACATGGACACGGCCGCTTTGAGCACGTGGACGGCGATGCTGGGGCGCCCTAGGGGCGCCAAGGCGGCCGCGCTGGAGCGGCCGTGTGGGGCATGGGGGGCGTGGGGGGGTGGGGTGGCTCCAAGGAACTGGTTGTGGTTGTCAAAACCGTTTTGGTTGATCCTTTTTTGGTTGGGAGTGGTGAATTCACCACCCATTTTAGGCTTCCTATTTTAGTGAGGAGTGGGATGTTCACAAGTTCCGTTTCGGACCTGCGCCCTCAAACTACCCATAACAAATCAACACTCGCCAACCAGAAGTTCGGGGGCAATCAGCCATGTTTTAGGTGGAAGTTTGAGGGTTCGGGTTCGGGTAGTCACCTTTTTGGGAAGCCAGTTTAGTGGCAGAAAGTTCAAACTTCCTTTGGCCGCTCGACTCAGGACGCAAGTGAGCCAAAAAACACAGCATTATGTAAAGAAACCGCAAATTTGATGTGTTTGCCCGCTTGCAAAGCAATCCTTGCCCTATGCACCCAAAAACAAGTTCCATGGCTTATACCCCCAATACTGTTCATGCCTGAAGAAGGAGGCATTTTTGTCCACGGAAAGCCAGGTTCTTCAAAGCTCGCCAACTCAACAACACTGGGTAGTTGGGTATGTCTAAGCAAATCGGGTACCCAAAACATGGGTGGCGCTCCTTTTGGTTTCCCACCACCCCTTTGGGTGCGGCATCCAGTGCCCACGGCGCTTGAGCTGAGGTCTACGAGGGCCAGTGGCGAGAAGACAAGGCACATGGCCAGGGCATGCCGAACGCTCAGGACTTGGCCCAGAAATGGGAGGCGCGTCTTTCCTTTTGATTTACCCTCCTACTGTGGATGGACGAAAGCCATTTCGCGCCACGTTAAGACCATGGTTGAAACCATTGTTTGTTGATATTTACAGAGAAATCATCATGCAGGGGTTTCTTAGGTGGTGCAGGATTTCGTCCATCCAGAGTAGGAGGGTCTCTCAGTAGTGCCCTTTCTTACCATCTTTTTTGGTTGGGAGGGTTCCCTCTACTGGAGGACCTAGCCTACTTCTGGGCGGTTTGAAAGGGGCCAGTTCAGCTTTGGTTTTTAGGTCATTTAGTTGGTTTAGTGGTTGGGTTCCAGTTAACCCTCGAAAAGTCATTCACTTGTAGTCGGGGATCAGAAAACGGAGGGAGTGTCTTCTCGTTGATTTACCCTCCTTTTGGTGGTTTAGGGGAAAGGAAGCCCCATCTGAAATTTGTCGGGGGTCTATTTTTGAGACACACCCAAATGAGCCACAATCAAAACCCGGGTAGATGAAGGTTGGTAAGGGACAATCCCAGCCACAAATAGCTTCGGATATCCGCCTTCTTAATTCTTGAAGCATGGTTCTGGGATTACGACCATTTTAATACCGGGTTTTGATCGTGACTCAAATGGCTTTTCTGTTGAATCTAAAGGTGATCAGCCTTGTGCTCATCAAGGCGGGGGTGAGCAATCTTGTGCCCATCTCCCTCCTTGAGTTCCTTGACATCCTTTTGAAGACTGTTTTAGTTTGGTAAACCTCTAGGATAGCAACCGCTACGGCCATCTATACCGCCAAAAGTACCAGAAGAGCCCCGCAACACAATTGAAACATGGGGTTCCGGCTCCTATTTCCCACAGACAACCAGTGCCCTTGTTCTAGGGGTTCATTCCGATTACATTCTTTTCAACCATCGTTCTTTTGCCAGTTCCGATCCCCTGGTTTCGCACTTTCGATAGTCTTGCACCTCACTTTTCGAGCCAACTTAGAGGGAGTTTCAGTTTGGTGGGATGTTTAAATGGGTGTGTCTTAAGATAGGGTGAACGGTGTGTGTGTGTGTGTGCGTTTAGAGGGAAGCAAACAAAAGCTGGGTTCCACTTCTCGCCCACCAGGAGTTCCGCCCAAAGACCGGCAGGTCCCTGTTGGACACGAGCCACGTACAGAAAAATGCCGAGGTATCAGCATGCAGACGGCTCCCGCTACGAGGGGCAGTGGAAGGAGGATAGACAGCCGGGAGCACAGCCAATTGGAGCCCCGGGATCCAAGTAGGCGGTGCGCGAGTCCGGTTCCTCGGTTTTTTTGCGTGTTTCTCGTCTTGCTGGTGCTCAGGCATGCGGGAAGGACCTCTATAAATCATCCAACCGGTGGTTTTCCTTTGAGAATTCTGGGTTCATTCCCTATTCACCCTGGGAAAGCGCCCGGGGAATCACCCCATTCTGGCCTATTTCCAATTTGGGAGATTTCCCTATAATCCCAGGGTGTAGTAGGAACATCCTTAGAGTTGAGTCGGGGCTTCCATCTTGACCCGCTAAAGGTCAAGCTTCTAGCAGGCGAACTGAGGACATCACTATTGTCAGGCAACCTATGTGCACCTTGTGTGGATTTCATGAGTTTCTTGCTTCTGTTTCTCTGGTTTGCGAAATGGGAGCCGAGAAAGAGTTGACTCAAAAGGGAGTCTGTGTCCATTCAACCGGGGATCTCAGGGCAGCCCATAGTGGCAAACCCAGAGTGACTTTTCTCCGGCCAATCCACTCAGGAAGCGGGGTGGATTTTCATGCCCTTGTACTCGTTTTCGTTTTTGCTTCGGGGATTCCTTTCTCCCAGCTTTTCCAAAGACGTGATTGTCTTCACCCTGGGCTTGTCTCAAAATAGGAATCGGGAACCCGCAAAAGGGGACCACGCTGTCCGCTGAGTTTCCCTTGAAACTTTAGACCAACCTGAAAACCTTGTGCATATCGAACCTCCCCAAAAATTGGTTGGCTTGAAACTCACCCCACACGGACCTCAAGAAGCACTCACCCCCCTGAGTCCCGAAGCGCGCAGCGCTGAGGCATGGCAGAGGTATTGAGCTGTGGCCGGATGGCCGGGCAGCCTGTGAATCGTTTTGGGCTGTTCTTTCTAGGTCCCCCAGCTAGGTGCCAACTTTGAAGCACTTTTTGTTGGGAGGCTTCCCCTACTGAAATAGACTACAGAAAAAAGGAGTACCCTTGTTCTAACCTCTCTACTGGAGGACCTAGCTTTTCACGGACCCTGGGTGGGAGGGCTATCCCTTATTAAGCCCTTAAGACCTTATTAACGGCTTGGCGTATCCTGGGCTTATCCAGGGATGCCGCCCCCCCCCCCAGCCCCCCTAAGGGTCCTAAGGGTCCGTGGATAGTGGTGCGCCACTTGGGGCATATCCCCTTGTGCAAGGTGAACTCCACATTGAAGGGGGACTCATAGGTGGGTTATAGCCACCAACTTACCAACTTGGCTGAATCGCCAGCTGAGAAACAAAGATCTGGACTTTGGGAATCTCTAAGTGCACATGGCGCCCCTTTCTCACTCAGTTTGTGTTATGCCTTCATGTTCACAGCTGGAGTCTCCTTCAAGAACAGCGTTTTTTTTCAGGCTAGACGAAGCATGGAACAGAGCCGGGACATATCAGGTCCCCCTGAATTGGTGGTTTGGCTCGGTGGTTTGGGTTGTGAAGGAACCCCACTTCCTTTTGGAGCGAAATGTGCCTAACGTCCCAACCACCGGGCTCCAAGCTTGAGCGGAACTTGTTTGAGGCAGCTGGTTCGTCAAATAAAACCCCGGCGGATGTTCAATCAACGGTGGATTCATAGGGAGCAGAAAAAGGAAAGCATTCAGGCTTCCTTGAATGGGACACCCCACTAGTACTCAACCAAGGGTTGCATCAATCAATCCTACGTTCCTATTACTCTGTTGCCGGACGCTCACCTCTCGTTTGATCCCCCAGGTTTGTTTCTCTGACGCTTTGATCCCCCATTCGATTCAAGCGCCCGTTTTCGTTTTCCCGGGATTGGCCTAAGCCCGAGGCCTGAGGCGTTTAGTGACGGTGTGCCCGTTGAACTCAAAAGTTCCACCTGGGATCTCAGGACAGCCCAGCACCCAGGGCTTCCGGTAACTTATATGTCAGGAACCAGCTTGGTTCCCGCTATAGCAGGGTCATAGAGCTTGGTTCCAGGAACCGGGCCAAACAGACTTGAAACATACCCAAAACAGTATATTTTGCGTTGCCGGGCTGTGCGAGTGGTGCATTCAGAGCCTTCAACTGGATTTTGGTGCTCAAGCAACACATGCAATCAATGAGGAGAATCTTTTCACTAAGTTCATAGAATTGTGTTTGGGACACACAGCAATCAAATCATGTCTGGATCCCGATTGTGCCATGTGACATTGTGTTCAATGCAAAACAGGTTTGGGGGGTCAGCGGATCCGGAATAGAAATCTCGCATTAGTTTTACCATGAAGCCTGCTGGCGTGCCAGGTAATGCCTGTTAACAAGCTGTTCGTGGTGCATATCTGCCCTTTGTATGCTGGGGGGGGGATTGTGTTACGAATTTTCTTCCTGCCATATCCACTTCTGATTGAAAACTATTTTGCATGTTGAGTAGCTTCCTTTATATGGTGGCTGCACCAACATGCTAGCAACATTTGCTAACATACCATTATTGGTGCCAACGGAGACGTTCCAAATGTCACCCACGCACAAAGCAAACGTTCGTCCACGATTGCAGGACTGCAGAAATCAGTAAAGAGCGCTTTGTAGCATTTGCGCTGCGACCTCAGTTTAATTTTATCAGCAAACGCCCTGCTTCAGTATGCTAGGCACTTCCCAGGTGGAGTACTGTCGAAAGGGCTACGCGCTGACAATAGCTGTTGTATTCAAGGGCATTGAACCCCGCCAAACGCCTCACACATAAACACATCATACACTCATTACACTTCACAGCGCATCCCAGCATCCAGCATGCAAGCTTGCACCGTCATCCTTGCTTGCATATTGTGGGACACTATAAGCAACATGTGTGGTCGGACATCCTGTCATCAACAAGCGCTCCAGGAGACTTGAATCTTGCCCACGTGGGTGAATTATACAATTGTTGTCTTAATACCAGCCATGAATATCAGGAGAAAAAAGTCACATCGGTATTTTGGCGTTTGCACATGGAGGCTCGCTCGCCACAAAGCAATATCTCTTGGCATAAGTGGTGGTCTATCCGTTTTGTGCACAGCAAAGTTACCAACTGGAGCGTGTTTGCATGGAAGTAGGTCGTGTAAATATAGGGGTAGGCGCCTTTTGAGCTGTGATTAGGTGAGCCATGTCCTAAACGTGTCGTGATTTGCTGAGTCGCATCATGTGGGTTATCGCACATAGAATGCTTTGAACCCTCTTCTGCGTCAAACCAAGACACGCACAGCATCATTCCGTGGGTGTTTCCGACTATGGTGAGCTGTGTACAGCACATCCCAGGGTGCTAAACCAAAATCCCAAAACCCTACAACATCTTTAGCAACCATAGCTGTTTAATGTCCCTTCTCAAAGTAGATGTCAATATATTGTTTGTCCAAAACAATGTTTTATTTCGGAGCAACCGTTTTATATTCGGAGGCAACACACGTTTTGGGAGCAACAGTTTTATATTCGGAGGCAACACACGTAAATGCACATAGACATGTTACTCATCGAAGTGACTCGGCAAAACATATAATAACCACAACTGCCTACAGAACACCTGCCAGAGTCACACAACACGCAACAAATCACATGCGCACACACACCAAAAGAACCCTGCCCATACTTGCACATTGCGTAGCAAATGAGAAGCAGACCAATCAGCTAAACACACATCATAATCACACTCACGCATCACACACCAACAAACCACGCAAACCTTTCATCACCCGCCAGAATCACACACCACGCGACAAAGCATACTCAAACTCTCCAATTGGCCACAATCAAGCACCACACAATAGATGATGAACATACCTGTCAACGAGCAGCCACTTACCACACAACAAGTCAGAAACACACGCACCAACTGAGTACCCAACATCACATACCACACAACAAAATATATACTCACACCCGCCAACTGAACACGGATCACATTCACTCATCGCACAAATAAACCATCAGCACCCGGGCCAACCAAACGCCCACAGCCAGCTACCACACAACAAACAAACAACCCATCCGCCAGCTGAACACCCGCCAAACTAACGAACCACGCAGCGAACTCAAAATGCACGGCCACCAACTGAAGACCCGCCACAGTCGCGTGCCTACAGCGAATAAAAGCGCACACAACCTTCCGCACTCAAACACCGCATAATTCATGTTCAAACACTCCCTTTGGACGAGCCCATTGTTTCACACAAGTGATGAACACACCCGCTCACAAAGCGCCCGCCGCAGTCACACATTGCGTGACAAAGTAGGAACACACGCCAAGTGAGCACCCTGCACACCTACATAGCACACAACAAAATAATGAGCGGGCCAGCCACCAAAGGCACAGCGCAAAGGATGAACTGAACACGCGCCAACGCGCATCCGCCACAGTCACACACCGTGCAAAAAATGGTAAGCACACCTGCCAACAGAGCACTCGCCTCAGTCACACACAGCATTAACACATAACAAACAAACACGCTCACCAAACGCCAGCCATACTCACACGGTGTCACAAACGAGACGTCCACGCTCCAACTGAGCACCCGCTAGAGTCACTCACCAGGCAAGCAAGGGCACTGGCACCACCCAACTGAGCGCCAGCTACAGCCAAAAATGAAAAACACACTTGCCAACTAGGCACCGGCCATGCGCATGAACCACACAGCAAACTACAAGCGCTTGGGCCAACTGAGCAGCCGCCACACCAATACACCGCACAACAAATGAGCAACGCACGCCAGCGACAAACGCTGTGGCAAGTGCTGGGGCAGGAAAACCTGCCAGCGCAAGAAGCGAAACCGGAACCGTTAAAAAGGGCCCGGAACCGTTAAATAGGGGGGTGGAACCGTTAAAAAAGGGGGTGGAACCGTTAGGTAGGGACCGGAACCGTTAGAGGGAAAATCGGACCCAAATTTGGTGAAAAACCGCGTGCTCCATGACTTTCATGCGGAAAACAATGTGTTCCGTCATTTTTTCCAGCACAATGGAAATTTGGGGTGAATCCAGTGTGAATCTAGCAGCAAATAAGCGCTGCGCCCGCTAACTGAACCCCCAGCAAGCTAACCCACCACACAACATGCGCCTGAAGCTCTGATCCCCTCCCCCAAATAGTCAGGTCAACGCCGAACCCGAATGAAATTGAAAACCGATCGTCTCAAAACACGAGCCAGAACTTCCCCTCAAACGTCAAACCTCAACCCTGCGCAGGATTGTGGGCACAATGGTTGTTGTAGCCCAAATTACGAACTCAGCTGAATAACCTTAGGCTGTTGCAATTGCGCCTTGGAATTTACCTGGAAACATCAACATGTGTATGATTTCTGGCTGGTAGACGGCTTTTTTGTTGGGCGTAGCCAGCTCGCTGCTCCGAAATGTCTCTAACGGTTCCGGCCTTTTTCTATCGGTTCCGGGCCCCTACCTAACGGTTCCACCCCGCTTTTTAACGGTTCCAGGCTCCTTATTTTAACAGTTCCGGATTCGCCCTTCTTGCGCTGGCAGGTTTTCCTGCCCCAGCACTTGCCACAGCGTTTGTCGCTGGCGCGTTGCTCATTTGTTGTGCGGTGTATTGGTGTGGCGGCTGCTCAGTTGGCCCGAGTGCTTGTAATTTGCTGTGTGGTTTCATGCGCATGGCCGGTGCCTAGTTGGCAAGTGTGTTTTTTCGTTTTTGGCTGTAGCTGGCGCTCAGTTGGGTGGTGCCAGTGCCCTTGCTTGCCTGGTGAGTGACTCTAGCGGGTGCTCAGTTGGGGCGTGGGCGTGTCGTTTGTGACGTGGTGTGCAAAGGTGGCAGGTGTTTAACCTTGTCATTTGTTGCGCGGTGTGAGTATGGCTGGCTTTCGGCTGGCGTGTTTGTTTGTTATGTGTTGATGCGGTGTGTGACTGAGGCGAGTGCTTTGTTGGCGGGTGTGGTTATCATTTGGTTTCGCGGTGTATGACTGCGACGGATGCGTGTTGGCGCGTGCTCAGTTCATCCGTTGCGCGGCGCCTGAGGTGGCTGGCACGCTTATCGTTTGTTGTGTGCTATGTAAGTGTGCAGGGTGCTCAGTTGGCGCGAGTTGTTCTACTGTGTCGCGTGGTGCTCACTGCGACGGCCGCTTTGTTAGCGGGTGTGTTCATCACATGTGTGAAATTATGGGTTTATTCAGAGGGCGACTTTAATATGTATACTGTTACTGTGGTGTTTGAGTGTGGCTTCTAATTTGCTCTAGGTACGCGAGTATGGCGGGTCTTGAGCTGGTGGCCGTGCATTTTGAGTTTGCTGTCTGGCTCGTTAGTTTGGCGAGCGTTCACCTGGGGAATGGGTTTGTCTTTGTTGCGTGGTCGCTGGCTGTAGTGCTGATGGTTTATTTGTGTGATGTGTGAATGTGGTCGGTGTTCAGTTGGCGGGTGTGATTACGTTTTGTTGTGTGAAATGTGATTGTGGCAGGTACTCAGTTGGCGCGTTTGATCGCGTGTGTTTCTGACTTGTATGGTGAGTGGCTGCTTGTTGGCAGGTATGTTCATCATGTATTGTGTGGTGCTTGATTGTGGCCAATTGGAACGTTTGAGTATCCTTTGGTTCGTGGTGTGTGGTTCTAGCAGGCGATGACGCGTGTGCGTGTTTTGTTGGTGTGTGAGGCATGAGTGTGGTTATGATGGGTCTTTAGCCGCTTGGTTTGCTTCTCATTTGCTACGCAATGCAAGTATGGTCGGGTTTTTTTGGGCGTGTGTTTGTGTGCGCATCTGATTTGTTGTGTTGTTTGGCTGCGGCAGGTACTGTAGGCAGGTGTGGTTCTCTGTTTTGCCCAGTCACTTCGGTGAGTAACATGTCTACATACATTTACGCTGGCTGCCTCCAAATATAAACTTGCTATGCAAATAACTGAATGTTGTTGTGAGAAGCGGCATTAAACAGCTATGGCTGCTGTAGAAGTTGTAGGTTTTGGGACTGAAACATTTAAGGGATATGCGCTGACACAACTCACTCTAGTTGCGGCGCCGTCTTTCCAAACTCCACGGAACAATGCTCTGTGTGTGTGTGTCTTAGTTTTGAAGCAGAAGAGGGCTAAGTTTATGCTATGCGCCATTTGGATTTCCGAATGTAATGGACCCCGCTAATGTGATTTTAGCAATAGTGCGCAATCGGAACAAAGACTGGACAGCGACCGCTGACTGCTGTTCCCTTCCCTGATGCATAGGGGCTTCAAGCAGACTATTATTTCTGGTTGCCCGACAACGCGAATTTCTAGCATTCAAATGGTCTGAAGTTTGCCACTGGCAAAATCCCCTGGAACACGGGGAAAAGGCGAAGCGGGAAAGGAAAGAAGCAGGAACCCCGACTCACTCAAGCAAAACCCGGATTAAAACAATCTCAGATCTCAACCTGTCCCACGCGAGCCCAAACTCAAATTGAACACATCCTAAGCCAATCTTGAACTCAATGTCGTCCAAAACCAAAAAGGGTTTCGGCGGCCCCTAAATCAGCCCTAAATTCGCCCAGCACCTACCGTAAATCAACCCTCAGCAACGCTACGCCCACCCGCGCGCAAGCTCAGGCGGCAGCATATCAACTCTCAAAAAGGCACCAATTTGCCCCCCTACGCTGGTTACCTAAAAAACAGGTAACCGGCCCTAGTTCCGCCAAATCTGTCGCTGAAGCCCAGTTACCCACTATACAAGTAACTGGGAAGCCCTGGGAGCATAGCTTTTCTGTATCATTCCACTCAAAGTGAGACTTGCAAGGACACAGTCGACATTGTGTTGGTGACTAAAAGCGAAACAAAGTGAACCAAACAGCATGCGTTACATACCGTGCCAGCGAGTAATGTGGAACCCCAGGATCCATTTATGAAATGATCTTCCGGGGAGGAAGGGTATTGTAGAGGAGCTCCAATCATGGACTGTGCACTTGGACCTGCCAAAAACTCCCTTTTTCAGAGCATTGATGGACAAAGAAGGTGGCTTTTGGATGTATCCTGCCCATAAAGCCCTTGGAACTGGGGCGGGAGTCAAGAGTTTAGAGGCTTACAACTTGGTAAAGGGGGGGGGTTAGACTGTAGAGGCTTCCCTCAGCTAAACACATTGTTTTTGTTGGGATGTCTACCGGAAGGACCTGACTAATGGCTCAACACGGCTGGGGCCCGCTCAGGAGCGCGGTATCAGGGTGAGTACCTGGCCCCAGCCTCAGCGAATGGCCGCTGTGAGAACCAGACGTCAGGTTTCTCAGTTGTTCAGTGGCACCAATTATTTTTTCAACTTTTTTTGGTGGCCCCACTAAAATTTTGGTATTTCCCAAACAGCGGTCCCTTTTGTTTCAGGGTCACTGAACAACTGAGGTTTAGGGTGTTTGCTTGCTGCTGCGATAGGCAGGGAATGACTCAATGGAATGACCCCTATAAAACATTCATAGTCTCCTTGCAGGGAATCTCCAGGTTCATTCCATACTGAGCAAGTTAGGTTTTTTGATGCTTTTTTTGTTGGTTTAGTGGGGGGGTGCCCATTTCACCCACAAGTAGGCCCACCCAGTTTTGACCATGGGCAACGTGTCCCATGTGATCGTCAAATCTTGTTTGGTGGTTTCGTGTTTTTCTTTTTTTTCTTCGGGACCTTTTGATCAACCCCCACATATACTTGGGCGGTCTAGCGAATCGTCCAGTTCCAGAAAGGTGTTAGTTGTGTTTTAATTGGTTTAGTGCATGGTCGGGTTTCCGTAGTTTTCACTTTTAGCAGCGGATTTGAGGACAGCCCAGCAGAAACTGTTTATCTCGCTGGTGCGATAGGTAGGTTTCTGGGTGTTGGGAATGAACCGGCTTGGGATTCCCTTGATTGCAGGAAACCATACGAGATGGTTCATAATATCATAGGGATCATTCCCTGATTCCCTGCTGAGAAACAGCAAGTTATAAGCCATCTTACCGCCGGATTCACCCAATACACGGCCTTTTTTCAGGGTATAGAGCATGCTTCGTCAACCCTTGAGTAGAAAAGGGATTGGTATTTATTCTGGAATGCCAACACACCAAACAAAGCGGGTATTTCGGTAGGGGGCCTTCAACAATCATGGAAGCTGACATGTTAGACCGTTCTTTTTGGGTTCCAGGCGATCGCTCGAAGTTCCGGCAGCCGGTCAGTTTGGGCGGGGACTTCAGGTTCGGTGAGATTTCAGTTCCGAGCTGAGCTATTTGCTAACGGGTTCCATTTTGAGTGGCCCCAAGGTGATCACCTTGCATTCCGGGGTCCCATTTGGGGCAGCGGAGCACATCCCAGGCATCCCTTGACGAGTTCGCTTTGGTGCATTTTGCTTGCATGTTGGGACTTTAACTTTTTGCCGACTATTGGGTTTTCCATCAAACCACTAAAGGTTATTCACTTTTAGCAGGGCTTCGCAGATTTCGCAGCCGAGCTCAATCGGACCGATCGGATCGAGGACGGGCGGAAGAACGGGCACGGCAGCTTTGCCTGGGCAGACCGCTCCAGCTATGAGGCGCTTGGGGGGGGGTGCGGGCGTGGTGTGATTTGTTTTTCATTCGGGACCTGCAATGGGGGATTGAAATCGGTGGGAATTATGCCTTTCGAGGATTCCCAAGTAATGAAACATCGCAACCTGTCGATTTTATCTTTTGGGTTTCACTCGACCAAGAGGTTTCCGTCTTGAATTCTGATTCAATCAACATGGTCGTTTCGTTTCCTTTCGTGGAAAGGAGTTGGTTGTGCAAGCAGTTTGCGCAAGTAACCCTGATCGATACTGACATCGACCGGTTCTACCCCGTGTTTCAGTAGAGCCTCACGTTCTGAGTTCCTGGACTTTAAACTTTTTGGGGAGACCAGTTTAACTTGGTGGCTCCCAGCCATCCGGTTCCTTAGCTTTTTAGATCCTTTTAGTGTTTAGTTAGCTTCCATTTGACCCACCAAAAGTTAGATCTGTAGCGCGGGGGATCTGAAAACGGGCCCGGTTGAATACACAGTTCGGGCTTTTTTGGGGGCCATCCACCCAGGACGTGAGGAGCGGTTCTCCCCGAGATCCCAGTCCGCCAGCCGTTTTCCCGGCGGTTTCCAAGTTTTTTTGGGCGGGGGGGTTGGCATAAGAAACGCCGACCACCCGGTGGCGAGGTTGGGATTCTGTTTGGCTCGCCAAAAAGGTGCTTGCCCTTTGATTTCGGGGGGTGGCTTGTTTCAGGGTACTTTTCTTGGTGTGTGTTGCTTGGGACCGCAAAGGGAAAGCAAGCCATTCATTTTGCAGGATCCGTTTTTTTTTTGAAGACACACCCCAAATCATGCAGTTCCTTTTTCGGGATGGTCTCCATCCCAAAGACAATGTCACTTTTGTTAACAGGCCCCAGATCGGCCCCAGATTTGGGCCAAGGTCACTCGCTGCAAGCCGTGACTCACTCGCGCAGGGCGGCTTTCGCGACAACGAGATCAACGGCGAGGGTCTCTACATTTGGGTGCGCCTCGCCAGGTCTCCATGAGGGTGTGGCTCAAAATTGAACAGGAGGGGTTACGTAGGTTTTGGTCCATGTTTCCACTTACCAGGGTTCCATTTTGGTACCGGTTTTTTGAGCCACAGCCATGAAAGTCAGGAATCCTACTGTGCTCGATTCGCGGAGTTAGTAAGTTGTTGGCAACCGTTTGGTTATAACCCATTTGTACCGCCCCCCTCACGTGGGCGTTAACCTTGTTATTATAGGGGGTGAACCCCACCGCAAACCAATTGGGCCGAACATCCAAGCACAACCCCACTCCCACGCCTAAAACGCCAAACTGGAGTGTCTTTGTTGGTCTTCTTTGCCTCAGGACTTACTTACCCACTCTTGAGGGAAGGTCTTTGGGGGAACTGTTGGTAGGGAGCTCTAGAAGCACGCGTGGAAAACAACACCTCCTTGCTTATATATATATATAGGGGTGCAACCTATTCTAGAGGGAGTCCTAATCCTTTATCTGGACCCCCCCTATATCCCTATATGCGTTCAACTAATTTGGAAGGGTTATTAATCGAGGGGTAGACGTCACCATTAAAGCATGGAGTCATAGCAGTATTTTTGTGTGCTCACTTGCCCAAAGCGAATCAACCTGAACTTATCGTTCGGTTTCTGGTTCTTGGGAACACTTTTTCGTCATGGCCCCACAAGGTGCTCACCTTTTATTTCTGGATGCGTAAGGTGTAACTGAGTTTGTGTTCGGCTCCGAGCCGGAAAGCGTCCACCAACACATTATACCAAACTCCTGCCCAGAGGCTCCTGGCTTCGGCTTTCCCGACCCCTCCATTAGACACCCTGGGAATTGGTGGTTGGGACCCGGTCTCAAAAGGCCCCAAATCAATCGAATTGGAGCCTTTGGGTGGCAAATTTTGACGATCTTAACTGGGGAGGAGAGCCAGCTCACCCATGAAGCAGGTTCCTGACTTGGTTCACCCTTTCTCCCACAAGCATAGCATGGCGGGGGAGGTACCTGGAAGATTACTTTCCTCTGGGGACCCCCCCCTGTCAAGTTTCATGTTAGTGGGAGTGAGAGAACGGGTTGTGAAGTATAGACATTTGCGCAGTGTTCTTATGTTGTCCTCGCTTGCCCAACGCGAAGAAACTTGACCTTTCGCGTTTGCCCCTTTTGTGAACAATTCGTTTTGTCATGGCCCAAAAAGGTTAACCCTGTATTTGCTTGGCGGTTCCCAGTCGCCCCTCTTAGGTTTTTAATGTAGTAGGGCTTTCCAGTTTATCCACTAAAGACTAAACCTGTAGCAGGGGATTCGAGGATAATTAGCCTCGTTTGCCATTCCTGGACAACTGACAACTGTTTTTCATGGTCCCAAAAGGTGATCACCGTCCATTTTGTTGGCCCTTCGGGCGACTGCGTTTCTTTTTGCCGACGTTCTTTCACTTGCTGAAAGGAAGTGGCCGTGAGCTAGCGGCCCAGACATTTTTCCTCAGGCATGCAAGCGCAACACCCTGCAGCAGTTAAAGACCCGCCTAAATGGTTTGCCGCTTGGCTTCACGTTTGGCTTTCCTTTAAACCATCCCCAAAAAAAGTACCCTCAAAAGTACTCAAAAGAGACAGACCCAATCGGGATCTGGGCGGTAGATATGCTAGCTTGCCCTTTTTAAGGGCATAATTTGGAAAGCCCGTCTTGCTTTTGTTGGAATCCGAGAACACACCTGTGGAGTTCCTATATTTCCCAGCGTGAGATTTGTGTTTGTCCGGGTGATGTTCTCATGTCAATATCGTTGCGTATATGGGCTAATTAGATTTTGTTTGTCCGGCTTTCGGACAAACACAAGGACCCTCAGGAACCCATTCGAAGGCACGATTGGGATGCGGAGAAACCAGAGTTTAACCCCCCCCACGTTCATTCCACATACCCATTGTTTCCGGTATGATGTCAAGCCCCGGCTCAAGAGAAGGTATTTCACATGCAAAAAAAACAATATGTGTGTTTTCGTAATCTTAAAGGTAAACCAAAGGGAAAACAACTTCTTGTTCTTTTTTCCTGTTTTTTTTTTTGGGCGGGGGACCCCTTAAAAACGACGCATCCATATGAGTTTGTCTTTTTTGGAGGGTGCCAACGTGTGTTCTTGTCTTCAGGTGATTTGAAAGGTAGCTCCCGTTCTAAGACAGGTACCTTTTTCAGGTTGGTTTTGAAGGAACACCCAACGGAAAAGTGTCCGATTGTGTGTTGGGGCGTCCGATTCCTAAACTAGGTTTCGCAGTAGTGCCATTTTACCCTTGTTTGGGGGAGGGTTCCCCTACTAAGATAGACTACCGAAAACAGTTGGTACCCTTATTCTAACCTGTCTACTGCAGGACCTAGCAAAAGAAAGACGAGGCACCATGTTGGCGGCCAGGGGGATGGTCGAAGATACCAGGGACAGTGGGCGCGGGAGCTCGGTGCGATCTCGTGAGAGGCATCAAAATCCGGATGGCATTTACCCAACAGACATGGCTGTGGTTGTCAAAACCAATGGGATCCCATTTTGGGGTAGGTGCACCACCCATTTAGAACCTATTTTAGTGGGGATGGGGATGTTTACTGGGGGTACGGGAATTTGACCCATGGCCACATGGCTTAGTGCACGCTCGACCCCCCGTTCTGACGACACTTGCTTCTTATGGGAAGAGAGAGTTGCAGCAGAGCAACTTTGGATAGTAGAGTTTGTTGATTCCTCACTTACTGAGTTCCGTTTCGGACTTTAGTCATTTTAGGGGGTTGGACCATTGTAGTTCTAGACAAAAACAACAACAAATACGTTGTTGGGCCAATCCACTCAGAAATGAGTATGCCTTAAATCACTGTTCAACCAGGTCAAAATCAGGAAACCATTTGAGCCTCCTGGTTCTCGTGGGTAACCTAACCTCTCGGCCAACAATCCAAACCACTATCTCAGGGAAGCTCCTGGGGCGTAAACAGCACTATACAAGTACCTAGAGTCTCCATGACCCCTCAAAAATGGGGTAATTGCCCAAAATACTGGCGTCACGACCCCATGTTTAAGGGGTCATGGAGACTCCAGGTACAAGTACACTGGCTCAATCGCAGTTGGACTCAGCTGGAGTCTTTGAGGTGAACAACCGCATGCACGGCCACGGCACCTTCACTTGGGCAGATGGCCGCAAGTATGCCGCGGGCCCATCCTCCAGTCGAGTTGTTTTTCTCCCGATTTTGACTTTCTTCCATCAGGGCTCCTCAAAAGATACATGTTGCCCATTTGAAACATGTTGCTTTTTCCACCAAAATAAAGGGAAACTACCATGTACAAGGCATGTTGCCTTTCTTCCATCAGGGGTTCCTATATGGCTGTGCCTCAAACAGATGTACCAAAATGAAAACCTTGGTAGATGGAATCAAAGACTAAAACCTGCGCAACCCTGGCCCTTTAATTTTGAGCCTCACCCATAGTTCCTTCTTTTTTGTGGCTTTAAACATCACCTTTTTTGCCCATTTAAGGTGAGCTTCCCTTCATGGGGATGTTTTGAGGGGAACTATAGGGAGCCCGCCGTGTCCAGGGCCTTTTGCGCCAAAGTTCACGGTGCTCCATTTGAGTAGTTTTGTTTTTTGCTTCTTCGTTACATGTGTAAAGGTAGGTACGGAAATGATTCTTTGATATTCTTGGAAATGCTCGCCGCGGAAGGGTCGGCGAAAGGTCGAATAAGTTCATATTAATTAGAAGGGAATACACAAGCACTACCCATTTGTGGTTTAGACTTAGTTGCCCCAAGCAAATCGATCGGATGTGACCTTTAAGTTTCCTTGTCCTTTGGGCAGTTGAGCCGAAGATTTGTTTATGTTTTCCCTCACTTCCGGAGCTCCTGCACATTAAGTCATTTTAGACACTTGGGTTTGGACCATGTTACTGGCGAGCAAAAGCATGGGAGCGGTCTTTTGGCCAATCCACTCAATCGGACGTGAGTTCCCCGTTGTTGTTTTGTTTCTTACTTATTTTTTGTTTTTTGTTTTTTTTCTTCAGGGAATGGATTTCACTAGTTCACTAGTGGAAGTACCAGACTGAGCTCAAGGTTTTGCCTTGGATACCTACCAAAGAACGGGCCGAGGATTTGTTCTTTTATTGCCAGACTGAACTTTCGCCTTTGCCTTTTGATTTGTACTTTTATTGCCAGACGGAAAGCTAAAACTAACCCCTAGACCCTAAAAGGGTCCCAGATTTAGGTCGATTCTATTCGCCTTTTTTTGATTTCAGGATTTTCGGCCCTTTCGTTTTCCATTGTTCGCCCTTTTGCAAACAAACACCTTGGCACCCGATCGGAAGTGAGACAGGGCCCCAAAGATTCCTTCCTCCCTACCCCAATGCTCCAAATACCATCTATTTTACCTGAGGGGAGGGGGTAATTGTGTCGTCGTGCTGGCTTCTTTTGTGGTTTTCTTCGTCTCCCCCCTCAAGGCAAACTTGTCAATTGTGCCTCCCCCCGGATGTTAACACGCGCCCTCTTTCCCCACCAAATGGTGTTCGTGCTTTGCAAAAAGACAACTGGTTTTAACATATTACGTTGCCCTGGGTGTAACGTGCGATCCCTCGAGTCCAGTCGGGAATGAGCAGGTTGCTCAGATACGTTTCCCCACGGCTCCTTTGATCAACAATATATAAACAAACAAGATATCAAATGCCATAAATTAAGAATTAAGCATCACACCACTGAAGCATTGATATTCTGCCAGCTTTGGACATTCCTTTCATCTTTGGAGCTTCTGCCTCGCGGATCCACGGACCTAGGAGGGGCAGTACAAGGACGTGGCCACCTCAGGTCGAATTCCGTGAATTTGTGGGGTCAACGTTGCCTCCGGATTTGTTTGGCACACACCCACATGGGAGCGTTGTTTTTGTTTGTTTTTTTGCATGCCTTTTGCTTTTTTGGGGGGAGACCAAAAGGACACCACCTATTTTGGGGGTCCCCCTAGTTGGACACACATCCAAATATGATGAAGCAGCCAGCCCCTGATTCTCTTTGAAGAGGAACACGGAGGTGTTCGGCGAAAATGGGAACCCCGAATGAATACACCCCTGCTTGATTTTGATCGGGGGTGTCCCCTTTCGTGCGAAATGGATTTTGTCCATCCACAGTAGGATGACTTCTGCTTAGATCCGGGGTCAGCATGATTGGTTTAGACATGTTGAAAGAGAATGGCCGAGTAGTCGGGAGAGCCATAAGATGTGTAAACAAAACACGGGTTCGTCCCATAGAAGCGCAAAAGATGGGTCCGTTGGTTTCCCAACCCAAAAGATGGGACCCCCCTAAACAAAGCAACCCACATTTGCTTGGAACGTGTTGGTTTCTCGGCAGCTGGCTTCCAGGGCCCCCTGATTGGAGGGTTTGAATGTCACGTTGGCATTTGAGAGGTCATGAATTGTATTGGGGTCTTAAGGAACTGGAGAATGTTGATCCTATGTGAATCAACCCCATATTATTCAACCCCTGTTTGTTCATATGGGCCCTTCCAAAAGTGGTCTGATTCCTCATGCCAAACCTGTCACACCTCCAAAAAGAGCTTCTTAGTGCCTCCCAGAAGAACTTAACGGAGAAATCCAGTGAGAAACAACATGTTTCTAGACTTCCAGTGGGTTGCTTTCCTTTTTCCTTTGGAGCGGTTTCCCTGTCAAAAAATGGCGAACAAAAACAAAGCGATAAAACATGTCTGCCAGGAACAAAAACGTAGAAACAAATCAGAGAGACAACACAACATAAGATATAGATATATATATATATATCTATATACACTATATATACATATATATATATATATACATACACCGTGCCCCTTTTTCTCCCATGCAAATCCACTAGTCCCCACCCCCCACCCCGAGGACTCGAAGGACGGACACGGAGTGCTGCGCCCCCAGAAATTTTCCGCGGGCGACTGGAAGGGCTAAACGGACCGTTTGAAGATCGCGTTTTTTTTTTGTTCCTCTTGGCTCAGCGTCCCTAGGTCCCCCAGCTAGGTGCCCTTTCTCTCCCCTTTTTTGGTTGGGAGAGTTCCCCTGCTAAAATAGACTACGGAGGAAAAACAAATCGGGTAGCCTTATTCTAAGCTCTCTACTGGTGGATCTATGTCAAGTAACCCTGTGGGGCCCTTGGAGCGGTTTTGCCTCTTGGCTGCGCGTCCCTGAAGTAACCCTGAAAAAGGGGGCTGGTGAAAACCGCGGAGGCACATGGAGCTGACCAATCGCCGATGGCCTTTAAATGTTCTTGTCCTGGCAGTTTGAGGGTCCAGGTTTGAGGGTCCAGGTAGGTTCAAAAAACTTAGGGGCCCACTATTGCAGATAAACAAATCAGCCGGAGCGGCGCTCTTTGAGTTGGGTTGCAGTGCCCCCGCTTTTTTTGCCATGCGTAGTCTCCTCTCCCAAAGATGGAAGTCGTGCTGAGTCTTCCAAAACTGTGCTGAGCATTTCTATTTTTCGTTTGATAAGTCCCCTTTGGTCCTATGCAATAATACGTGGATTTGGGGAGGGCATGCAGGCTCTGAAAGCCATCGTGTTGCAAATTAGCAACGAGGTATTCCCTCTTTTCTTGATTTTGCTTTGGGCAACGAACAGTCCCGCTTTTCATAATAATTTGCTCAAGAGTGTGTATTCCGTACGGTGTGAAGAGAATTCGTTTCCACGTGCTTTCATTGGGCTCAACTGACCCAAAAGGTCCCTTTGCCCGTTTGGGTGTCATTGTTTTTGAAGCCTCCAAAACTGCGTCGTAGCATTTTAGTGGCAAACAGCAAGTTCGGACTTTTTTGGGCCAATCCACTCAGTAAGAGAGTAACACGTGGCCTCAAGGTTAAAAGTGTGAGGCCCTCTTCAAGAGCCCAAGGCCCGTTTCTGGCTTCTGCTCTTACCAGCTCAGCTCCAAGAAAACATTTTCTCTAGCCAGTCAACCCAGCAGGCCACTTTTGGGCCGCTTGACAAAAGTCCCTTTGGGGTCGCGCAAAGTATGCGGCAGATGTGCAGACGTGTCCAAAAGCGTCTTCCCAAATGCGGAATGGAGAACGTGGCTGCTTCATGCTGCGCTTGGAGACAACTGAATGTTGTTGCTTCATGCGCACGGGGCGTCCACAAACTTGCGCAAAGCTGACCTTTCGACTCTTTGGTTTCCCCTTGTTTGTTCATTTTTGGTTATGGCACCAAAAGGTTAGCCTCGTATTTCTGGGCGCTTTGGGCCACTGAGTTTACAACTGGCGAACAAAGAAGTGCCTTCTTTTTTCGCATGGTCGCCCGTGACATGAACTTCCAGAGATTCGATGACACGGTCGCCTGTTTGAGATGCCTGTTGATGATTTTCTTTGTCAATGGAGTAAAATGGGGTCTCCTGGGTTTCAGGGTATTAACAAATATGACATATAATCTGAGCGTCTTACTTTTGGCGTACCCCAGACGTGGGCCAAGTGCGGACACAACGAGTTGAGTCACGTTTCCTAGATCATCTCAGCATGGACATTTCTCTGAGCACAGTTGGGTTTGGTGATCGCTTTGGCTGCAGGAATCTTCAGCCTACTTGGATGTTCGATTCGCCAGTTAGTGAGTGGTGATCGCCACCTGGGGTTTTCACCTACTTATGAGTGAGTTGGGCCGGCAAGTAGGTTATAACCCAAACGCCAGTTGGGGTATAACCCCCTCATAACAAGGTTAAGTCCACTTACCCCCGACTCGAAATACCCACGTTTTTAAGGGTATCATGTCGACCCTCTACAAAAAAGGGAGGTATTTACCTTGAAAAACCAGGGTTTCCAAACATACCCTAGAAAAGTGGTTGTTTTGGAGTAGGGGATAGGTGCACTCTTAAGGCAAAACCCACGCACTGGCCAGGTTTTTGTGGCCGGACGGGCGGATGTACGACGGCCAGTGGCCTGACCGACCAGTTTGCTTGTCACTGATTCAGGTCCATAGCAAGAAAAAGCCATGGGATCCATCGTGGCAGCTGTAGATGAATGGCCCGGTGCCTAGTGCCTAAGCTGCCTAATAGTCACTGTTCGCTTTTCCAGGGCGCGCTTGGTTTATGGCTCCAACATGTCTCATGAATTTGGGGTCCAAAAACAGCTGCCAACATGAGCTCGAGCCGAATGCCGCGTTGGTTGCCAACTTAGGTTTGGTTCCTGCCTGGTTTCATGGTGTTGGGTAATATGGGTGTGTCGTAGAATTGGGGGGTTTCCTGACGAAAACCACTCCAAAAGGCGTACCTTCCATGGAAGGCCCAAAGTCCTTGACTCGCCAGGAAGGATGGCAAGCAGCATGGAACGGGCCACTATGCATCGGCCTCAGAGGGCGGGAGCTGTGAGCAACCTCTACACCTCAATGGTGTGTGCTTTTGTCAACACTATAACCCTCATGTCCACCATGCAGCTTGGTTGGGTCCTCAGGTTCTGGTGTGACCCTCGTGGATTCCATGTTCATGAACTGGAAAATACCACCCTTTGGATCGTTCCCTGTGTCGAAGTCCTGAAGTTCACGATTGTGTTTTCCCCCATTTTGGTGTAGGGGTTTTAGGGCGAAAAGGGCAATTTTCAATCACAACCTCAGCGCTTCCCTTTCCCTTACCCAAGAGAGCCTCTCGCTTCACGATTTGGACTTTCAACTTGTAGGGACCATTTTACTTGGCAAAGAAATTGTGAATCCACTCAGGAAGTGAGTTGTTTGGCTGCACCTACAAAGCAACCAAGCATGGCGGACTACAAATACTGCTGCGGAAAGCAACAAGTACACATGTTGAAAAGCACAATCATGGACCCCCCCCCCCAAAAAAAAAAAAAAAAAAAATGGGCGAACTGGAGAGTGGGGGTAACTCCCTTATCAACCCCTTAAGGCCTCCAGGTTGTTGGCTTATCCAGGGATAGCCCCAGCCCATAGCCCTGGGCGCGCCTGGGCGGGGGGCGAATGTCTCAGGTCAGCTTCACCCAAGAGAAGAAGCTGGGACCGCCTCCTTGATATTCTGTACGATGCCGTTCTGCTGGGTTCCATTTTCCATGACTTTGTGGCGGTTTCTTTTTCGGGGGAGCGCCCCCATTTTTGGGGGTCTGCTTGTTTTTGAGTATGATGTCAACCCCTGGCTAGAAAGCGATGAGTCTATCATGAAGCATCTTGTTTTTGCAAGATATCCCTTCAACGCGGGCGTTCGGAGCAGGTAAGAGGATAAGCTGAGTTTTGATGGATCAGCTTGGTGAAGGTTCAATAGTTTCCAATCGCATTCTCATTACGTCGGGTCCCTGTGAGACCGAGCCAGAGCTCTAGGGGTAACTTTCTTCTTGCACTTGGGGTGGGGAACCTTCAAACTCCACCCAAGGGAGTTTGCACCTTTCTCGACTCTCGTGTTTGTTTTTGAATCCCGAGGTTTGGCGCCTCGTTTTAACACATCCCGTGTTTTTTTTGCCAATCCAGTAAGGAGGGCACAAGGTTTCAAGCACTTAGGGTTTAGGAAATCTGGAGGTAAAGGAAATCTGGAAATCTGGAGGCCAAGGCAATCTGGAAATCTGGAAATCCAGCAAGGAGGCCAAATTGAGAGGTTAAATTGACATCTGGCCAATGATATGTTTGGAAAGTGATAAGCTAGCATCACAAGCTTTCAGCTGGGAAGTGTCGAAAGGCAAGGAATTGACTCACCTGGTCACTTCTTGGGAAGACCATTTTAGTGGTACGCAAAGACATGGTTACTTTTTTTGGCCAATCCACTCGATTGCAAGTGAGTCGAACTGGTTTCCTTTTGAAAGAACCACCTCTCAAAAATCGTTGGAACAAACCGACTGCCTGTTTTTGCCGTGGGGTAATCACTCAACAAAGAAAGCTTCCTGGACATTCAAACTACCCATGAAAAAGATAACTCACAAACCATAATTGTGAGTTACAACCACCAGCTTTGAGTTGGAAACTGAGGGTGAGGTACAGGTACCCTTGTTCTGGGGCCTTTAGAGCAAACTTGATGTAGTGGACTAGGCGCCGTGTCTAGTTGTTGATTCCCCCTCTGCCAAAAGGGAAAAAAAGAAAAAATAACACCGTTTGGGGGGATTGTCACTTAACATTGCACAAATACCGCCTTACCAGGGGTCAAACGAGCTTGCGGGTCCCTGATTGAAGACTTCCCTTGCGCAGGGGAGTCCAGATTTCCAGCTTAGGACTTGTCATTTGCCGAGAACCATTCCCCCGCAGTTTGGGTGCAATGCATACCGCGTGTTTGTGATGCTTATCTTCTTGCTGTAGAGGATCTTTTTTTTGTCTCTCCTTTGGTTGCCCTTCAAAACCGCTTCGAACAATGCAAGGGTTATTATCTTGGGTGTTGGTTAGTAGCCCTTGTTTTGACATCTACCACTCTTGCAACTGCCCCAAGTGGGTTTTAGCCAAGACCACTCAGTAGCCGATCGCCTCCAGAAGTAGACTTATGGCGCTGTATGTAGAACTAAGTCATCGTGTCCAGAACAATCCCACCAACATCCCCAAAGGGCAGCCCGCAAACGCATCCATGCTGTGGATGGACGAAATCCCGCACCACATTATTTGTTGGTATTTACAGGTGAACCATTATTCCAAGTTTTCCGAAAAAGGTGGTGCAGCATTTCGTCCATCCAGTATGTACCATGGTCACATCATATTTGTAATTACACAGGGTTGTAAGGATGGTTGTCAACCCCTGAAGGAATCTCGATGTTTGACAACTAACAGGAAGGTTGATAGAATACTATAGACACCATGACATACCGTGACCATCCGCAAAAGGAGTGTTGATCATGGCGCATGTTTTTGTTTTTTTTTTTTTGTGTGTGTGTGTGTTTTAAAGGGACACCAAAAGGAAAGCCACCATTTTGGGGCTTCCCTAAAAATGGCACACCCACATGGATGAAGCAAACGTGGCGCAGGACTCTGGGAGGAGGGCCGAAGAGTGAAGTGGCTAAGCGCAGACGCGAATGGCAACAGCCCACCCCGACCTTGACCGGCGGTTTTGTGACAGGCGTGTGCCAGGCCTGGGGCACTTTCACCCAGCTCTCTTGGAATTAACCCCCCCCCCTTGAGTTTAAAAGTAACGCTCACTAAATGCTCAGTCAAGTCCACAGACTTTTCCGATCTTTTGGATTTCCGAAGCATGTCGGTCCAGGTTCCGGGCCCGGGCAAGTGAGAATGTGGCACCCATAAGTGTCCTTTTTGGTTGATTTGGTAGAAAAATAGATGGCCCTGGTTTACGTGGTGGTTTAATCATCTACCAGGGCCATCGATTCCCCTAAAAGGACACCTATGGTGGCACCCCAGTTTCAGAACTTCCGGAAGGTCGAGTCGAGCTTTGCTTCGCCAAACCGCGCCCCGGCAAATGCACCAAGCCAGCTGCTTGCTGCGGTTGGCCGCCTGCCCGGTTACGACGAGAGGTAACCAGACATTGTCCTTGTGGCAAGTTAAGCTAGGTCCCCCAGTGGTGCCCTTTTACCCTTTTGTGGGGGAGGGTTTCCCTACTAAAATAGACTACAGAAAAATGGGTACCCTTCCTCTAGCCTCTCTACTGGAGGACCTAGTAAGTATAACTACAGGAACGCATCCATGACCAGAGCGAAAATGATGTCATGACCCCCTTTTTGCTAGATGAGCCTTTTTGTGGGTCAGAAGGCGACTCCTACAGGGATTTGGAATCACGCCAGTTCCAGTTCTTGCGTTCAGTATCGGGCTCTTACTTGAGCCACTTGGGTTTTGTTGCCACGTTAGTGTCTTTGCAACATTGTTTTGTTGGGCCAATCCGCTCAGCAAGTGAACTTTTCCCTAATAAATGATTAAGTATCAGAGTTTTTACTATTGGGAGTGTGGCCAAGACCGACCCAGGGTTTATAAACCCCTGGTGGATTGTTAGGGCGTCCCATTTGGGAGTTGGGAGAAACAAACAATAACAAGTTGAATCCGGAGGGTTGGTCCAAACCTTAGAATGGCCGCAAGCGTTCCTGGAGTCTCCATGACTGGAAAAAGTCCATGACGCCTGTCTTTTGGGTGCCCCCCTTTTCTTCATTCGGGTCACAAGGAGGCGCTGGGTCGAAACATGTGATTTGGGACGCTTGTGATATTTTGGCGCCCATACCTGCAGCACGGAAGGGACCTCCCAAAATAACTTGAAGGGTGACACCCTTTTCGAAGGTTTCACTAGATTCCTGGACCATATCTCAGTGAGCAGCCGACTTTCAAAATAGGCGAGCTAACGTCCCCATTCTTTCCGGGCCATGATTGCCAGAAATTCACACCCCTAGAATCAAAGAGCCCTTTGCTGGATATTGCTTTGATTTGCAGGTCTGCAGGGTTTGTATGTTCTGGATTTATAGCTGCCCTGGTCCATGTTGCCACACACACCAGCGAGCAAATTCGCACAAGGCGCTGTATAATCCTGGAAAACTTGGATCCCAATCTGTTCTTAGCGCTCAACTGAAGTTATTTACTGAAGTTATTTTGCAGCACTTGTACCCTGGCAGGCAAAACGTGTTTTTCCCCGGGCCAACCTTTTTTGTTTTGTTTTCCGGTGTCGCTTTGTTGGCTGTTTGGATTGATGGCCTGGAATTTGAACCCCTGGTTCTTGTAGAGGGTAGACGGAAATCACCCCTTAACCACCAAACCACCAATCTTGACCACCAAGTACATGATGAATGTCCCTTGGTCTCGCTTCCTGACTTCCTGGACATTAGTCCTTTTTTCATTTGGTTTGGTTACCATTTGAGTGCTGAACAACATGTTCATGGTTATGCCCTTGCTATAGCGAGCTCGCCGATTCGGGCGCCTAACGAGCTCAAATTGACAAAGGTCCTTTACCCGGGGATTCCTTACTTCAGCTTTCAGTTTTATAGAAAATATTGCCCATGCGTGTTGCTTTGCCAATCCACTCGATCGGAAGTGAGTATTGGATTTGTGATGTGGATTTGTTATGCCCAGTTTGTGAGTTACAATGTGCCTGGATGACATGCCGCAGGCTGCGGGGCCGCTTTCGCGGCGTCGGCTTGGGAATTCGATGCAGCTCGCGTGAAGTTTGCTGACTCATTGCCAGACAAAGACAGAAACACACGCAGGCACACAACTTTGAGTTGAGGATGTTTCTTGTTCAACCTGCAAAAATACATTTGCCTGTTTGTAGAGCCAGACCTTCAGCAATTTCTCTCACACATTTATGAGCTCGCGGCCTTTACATGTAGAAGTATTGCGGATCATTCAACATGGGAAGCCAGGATCAACAATGAAACTAAACCCACTACGGGAGACACCCGGGCATTTGAGAAGGAATCCTTGGTTTGCAATCACCTCGCACTTCAATTTGCAAGGCTTATTCAGTCGGCATTGGGGAAAGCGTTTGTATATAGTCTTATAGTGACGTTTTGAAATTCTACTTCGGTGTTCGGCCGTGTTAGTAAGTTGTTGGTAACCTTTCGTTTATAACCCGCTTAGAAGTCCCCCTGAGTGGGGTTAACCTTGTAACGGGTGAACACCTCCAAGTGACGACAAATCACTTAGTATTTGTTTGCAAATACAGGCTTCCTGGTTGGCAACCCACTTTACAACGGCAAATACAAGTTTCAATCATGTGTATATATATATATAGTATACATATATATATATATGTATTATATATATAACATATGTACGCCTCGTGTGGGAGGGCGACGCTAACATGAAGTTGTGTTAGGGTCACTTACCTAAGGATGCAAAACGGGTACGTACTAACAACCCTGGAGAGAGTGCCACCAGACCTTGAGGACATGTCAAAGGTTTGCAATGACACTAGCGCAATGAACATATTGCATTTGCTTTTGGAACATCAGGGCCACATTCCTCACTGTGGTCGCTGTTTTTTGTTGCATGCGTCCCTTCTACCTTTTGACCCTTTTTTGATGCAGACCGGTAATGATTGACGCCACTCTGTTTAACAACCTCAAAAACCATGGATGGTCGGCATGAATCCCAATTTGCACTACATGCATCTCTGCACAAGACTCTTCGTTGAGATAAATAATTATTCTTGAGATCAAGCGGAACATTTGCTTGCCCCTGGATTAGGCGTCCCATATATCCTTGTATTTCCTTTAGAAGCCTAGTCTATGGGGGTGCCGCAAGCCTACAGTTCAAGCATCACCTTAAGAAGCTTGGTTTCCCGTTTGGCAGGATGTTTGAAACTGGACACGTGAGTTCTCAAGCATGGTGGACCCCCTTTGGTGCTGAAAGGAAACCAAGGAGGAAGCCAGCCACTTTGGGGCCGCTTTTTATATGCTTATAACGAACCCCTGACTCCTTGTTGTTTGACTTGATACTTTTTTGGATGACTTTTTTGGATTGGTCAAACACTTCAGACTTCAATTGGCCATCTTCCACTCGATTGGAAGTGAGACCCTACTCGAGAGCAGTTGGCCCTTGCGCCGCGCCTCCGCGCCTCCGTGCACAGCCAAACAGCGCGGCGCAGGCGCGGCTGAGCGTCGCTTTGTCAAACAAAGCTTTGATCGCGGCCCGAAACCTTCGCATGCGAAGGCCCGGGCGTTCTGGATCAGGATTGGCAAACATCGAAGCACAGAATCGGCACTTTGCAGCCTATCCAGACCCCCCCCCAACAAAAAAGAGGAAGAACATATGGGTGTGGGTCAAAGTTAAACCACCAGGGGACCGCAGATTTGAGTCCTTCCATTTACCAGGCTTCTATTTTGGGTACCCATTTTTGACCCACAGCCATATCTCTGCTCAGCTTTTCGACCTTCCCGCGTTTCTTTGTGCCCGGATCGATCCAAGACCCGGGAAGGGCCAAGGAGTCCACTTCCGGGTCCGGCCGGCGGGCGAAACAGGGCCACGGCTCGAGCCCTCCGCGTCTGACGGATGGGTCCAGCGGTTTGGATGTGGACGTTTGCGAAGAGGGTCTGACGGTCTGAGTCTGAACGCTTGTTCAGGTAGAAAAAATCGCCCATGGATGTTCTGCGTACCCAAGTGGCCAAGTTATAGGGAAGCCCACCAGCAAAAGTACCATGTCTCACTTCCCGAGTTTCTGGACTGAAAAAAACTTTTGGGGAAGACCATTTTGGCGGTACATAGATAGTTTGTTTTTGGTGAGTCACTCTTCGGAAGTGAGCCTCCCAAAAGAGTTTTGTTTTTGTGAGGGTACCTGTTCTTGGGCGGTTTGAGACGGACCTGGAAAGGGAGCGCCATCAGTTTTTGGGGCACCCCATTTTAGTCCCAGCTCACTTCCTGTCGCGGAATGCGGACTTTTATGCCACTTCAGCGGGGGTGGTTGCTATTTTAGCTTCTTTTGGCCCATTGACGCAGGAAGTGAGACAGAGTACATTGACCGGGGAGAACAAATCAGCTGGAATCCACAAACGCGTCCAAACCGTTTTCTAGATCAAGTCCTGAGATTTCCCGCCACAGGTTGGTACACTCCCCGAGTTGGTTTTTTGGTTAATCTTTGCGAAGACGATGTTAGTGTCCGAAGCAGGAAGTTGTTGCTTCCCGACAGAACGAATCGATGAGCTTAAGGGGACTCAAAGCAGAGGCTTGGTGCCCTTTGATTAGTTTGATGACAAGCACTTTTTTTGGAAGACCAACACAACTCACCAGCGGAAACTCGCTCGAAAATCAGGATGCGGAAATGTGTGTGTGTGTGTGTGTTTTGCACGGGGCAATACCCCACTGCTCACAACCAGCAAGCACCAAATGTGTGTAATTCTAATATTTGTTGTGTGTTTGAGCTGGCACCCTTTTTAGGTTGGTTAAAAGAGGCACCACAAGTAGCACCCACCCGTTTGGAGGTTCAAATCCCTACTTTGCCACCCCAAGTAATATGCACGAATTCTAGCTCCAGACATAAAATGAGCTCGCCTTATCTTACTTGAGAATTGCTTCGTCCAACTCTGTGAAGTATTGAAGTGATGTCAACGTGAAATGCCACCCCAAGTTAGTAAGTTGTTTGGAACCTATGTTACAACCCTTTTACAAGTCCCCTACATGAGGTTATAGTAGGGTTAACGTTGTTATAAGGATATTATACCCCAAATGTCTATCAACTAGTTAACTTATCGAAACACCAAGGACCTGTTAAGATGCTGTGGATAGACGAAATCCATTTCACATCACCGAAGAAGCCCTTGTTTCTGCTGATGCCCCAACGTAAATACCAACAAGCAATGGCTTCCCATGGTTTCAAACAGGTGCGAAATGGATCTCGTCCATCCACCTAAGTACCGAGGAAAGCCCAAGCACAGCCCACAGACTCCCAATAATTGAAGGCCTTGCTTTGGCCTTGAAAGGGAGACATGTACCCCCGACTGCAAATACCCACTGTTTTTTTAGGGTATCATGTCGACCCTCTGCAAAAAAGGTTGGTTTTACCTTGAAAAACCAGTTTTTTTTCTTTTTTATTTTTTTTTTAAAGTGGGTATTTGGAGTAGGGGGTATCCGGATGTGTGATGTGTGACGATCTCGGTGTTCATGGGAACCCACCCATTGCTTTTTTCAATTTGTTGTACTTTCCCGCGTTGGTTCTCAAGGGAATCTATCTCTGAACATAATATGTTTCCTCAGTGCTTCAGGAAGACTCTGCTGCAAATGCCACGGTTTGGTGTTGTTTGCTTCGTCTTCTCGGTTTTTATATTTTTGACCCAACCCACTTTGGGGTAAACTAAATACGAAACACCATCTGCACTCTATTGTTTTGGAGTACCAAGCTTGGATCGGTTTGGCCAATCCATAGGGTAAGAAGCGGCACACCCATGCAAGGGAGCGGGAAATGTCGGGGGGTCCCGGCCGAATTCGAGACGCGCAAAGCGATCGGCCTAATTATGCCGTGCGCCGTCGAATGCTGCTCCCGGCTTCAAAAGGACTTGCAGCAAACCCGGAGGAGGGGGGGAACACAGACGCGCAGACAGACATAATTCACATGCTATGGGGGAATATTCATGACAACTGCCGATTGGTGGGAATCCGGTTGAGCAGTTGCCAGCTGAAGGATGCCTCGTTTTGAGGGTACCCCCCCCCCATTTTTGTGGTTTCAAAGGAAGGCCAAAAGGAAACTCACCATTTTATCACTTCCCAAGTTCCTGGACTTTCAACTTTCTGGGTTCAGTGGTAGACAACATGCTTGGCCCACGCACTCAGGAAGGGGGGTCCCCGAGAAAAATCAAAAAAAAGGACACACCCACATGAATCCATAGGACTCTGTTGGTGTTTTGGCCAGGCGGAAAGTTTTTGGCCAATCTGAGCACTCTTTTTTCCCTCCCAGTTCCCCGCCTCAACAGCATCGATGAAACAACTTGAGATAGGAGAGAGGTATCGCCCGGTTTCAACATATTCCCCTAAGAACAGCGGGTGGGGTCACTTCATGTCCGCGCTTGGACAACTTAAAAATCACCATTTGAGAAGGTAGATGTTGTTGTTGTTGTTTTCAACGTTGGGGAGTGTTCGGACTGTGCCGCCTTTTTCCATTTGCTAGGTGACGCCGAGGCGGGAGTTTTTTTGGCGCCGCTGGGCTTCGTTTTTGGAGGGTGAGCCAGCATTTGTGGGTCTAAAGGGGAGCAGAAGGAAGGTTGAATTTCGACCACTAAAAGGAAGGTTCCGAGTATAGACACCCATGTCCATCCGCAAAAGGAGTTTTGACCATGTCACATGTCTGTCTTTTTGGTGCTACCTTGGGTGTGTTGTTAAAGGGAAGCCAAACGGAGGCCACCTCCCCGGTGACTTACAGTGACTAGTTCTCCGGGCCGTGACTCGGACGATCCATGGGCCAGACACCCAGTGGGGTTGCTTCCTTGTTTCTTTCTTCTTGCGGGCCAGTAGTTTTAGACTTGGGGACCCGGCGTTGGACAAAGTGTTCCATGGGTCCCCAGTAATGCTTCACTTCACACCCATATATCAACCCGTGGTATCACCTCCAGTTCATTGGTCGATAACAGATCAGTATGGCTTAAGAGCCAAGCCATCAACAATGACGATGGGTTTATGGACGCCAAGCCTTTGAGGAAACTATGAGCTTACTTACTGCTCTGATGTGACATGTATATCCCCAACATCTACATATATATATATACACGTGTATGTATTATCTACGTTTGCACAACCTGTTCTCCACGGCTATGGGGTCAGGTAAAGTGACATCTTTTTGACCTCATGTGACCTGTCCTCTCCTTCCGAGGCCAGCTGCAGAGGACTTTCTGCCCGGGTTGGGGGAAAAACAAGGTTGCTCAAACCCCCGAACGCATTGCTGGGCTTGTCTTTTTGTTGAGGGCACCCTTGCTTGGCAGCTTTAAACAGGAGGCCAAAAAGGACACCGCCCATTGAGGAGGTACCCCGAAAAAGGGACACGCCCTCCCACTTGGACAAGAGGGGTCCTCTCTCTCGCGTCGCTTCAGAACGAAGCTTTGGGAAGGCCGCGAGTCGGGTCCCACCATGGCACCTGAGGGCTCCTTGAGGAAATTGGTCTAGGTATCCTCCCACAAATGCTACGCCCTGGTGAATAAGCATGCCTTGTGGCTACAGGAAAGCTGCTATCTGGACCCTCAAGAAAACTCAAAAGAACAAGACTACTGCCCCAAAAGTATGGTGAACCCTCTTTTTTTATGGACAGTCTAGGGTCCAGGCATACCCAAAGTACGTTCGGCCTGTTATACGGGATTATGAGACATGGCGCTGGCAGAACACTTTTTCTGGTGTATCTGGCCTCTCAGACCTGGCCCAAACGGACTTGTCTCTGGTGTGAGAATCCCTCAATTCCATGGAGGATTTGTGCAGGGTTCACTTTTGGTGTGGTTATGAGCCCGGGGAATGTGGTAAACAGTTGCTCGTCGTTCGAATTCGGGGGAGCAATTGGAAAGCCTTAGGGCCAGGTTAGCAAATGAACTACTGTGGATGGACGAAATCCTGCACCACCTAAGAAACCCTGGAATGATGATTCACCTATGAATACCAACAAACAATGGTTTCCCATGGTTTCAACATGGTGCAGGATTTTGTCCACCCAGTATGTAGCGCAGCAAGGGGAAAACGGGACATGAAGCCAAGAAACACGGGTGGAGTGGTACGAGGATGTATGCGTTGTTCCCGGTGAAAAGTTGCGGCATCACAGGTCCCATCACATTTTCCTGTTTTGTCGGTAGCCAAAAGGAACTACTTGATTGAACACCAAGAGGAAAAATGCACCTACTTGCTTACTTGCTTGCCCAAAGCTTTTGACCTTTTGGTTTCCCGTTTGGGTCCATTTATAGTCATGGCCCCAACATGTTAACCTCCAAATTTTCATAGGCCCCCTTTCCGCCCATGTGTTTGGGTTGCCCGCTCTCCGCAATCGTAGCGCCGAGTTGCTCGAGCTTGAGCGAGTGCGGCACGGGACTATGCGATTTGTTTTTGCCGCGCACCATGAAGCATTCCTTTGGGATTTTGGGCATGTCCGGATGTTGCAAAGACGTGGGGTTTATGACCAATAGCAACCTGTCATCAGGTTCGGGCGCTCACATGGGAAGGACCCACTGCAGTCAAACTTTGTGCAGTGGGCGATAAGGCGAATAAGGCACACGTCTCGGTTGGTTTACTTGCGTCACATGTAGCTGTGGATGGTGTCCTGTCTTTTTGGTGCTTGCCTTAGTTGTTTAGTTGGTCGGTCTACTTCTTTGCATATTGTTAGTCGGGACTCATTTTCCAAGCTTCTGGACTTCACGCTTGGGAACACCATGTCAGCAAGCAGATTTCTTCGACCGGCTTTTGCCAATCCGCTCAGATTGCGCATCTACTTGCGGAAAAAAACAAAGAGCGACACACCCACAAAAAGACCACGGCTTGACAGTTTCTGCCAATCCACTGAGCGCACAGCACTCGGGCGTCTCCACGTTGAACCGGGCATGGCAATGGGCGCTTGGCCTTGGCGCCTGTTGGTCTGCGCCTGAAACTCTTTGGGTCCGACTGCGGATGGACGAAATCCATTTCGCGCCACTTGGAAACCATGGTTGAAACCATTAGTTTGTTGCTATTTATAGGGAAACCATCCTTCTGGGGTTTCTGAACGGTGGTGCGAAATGCACAGTCTGGGGGTCGACATCGGCGGGCGTCGGACATCGGGCGGGCGGGGAATGTCGTGTGGATGGAAGCAAACTCCGCTGCTCGCACCGTTCAGAGACTCTGGTTTATGTTTCGATTCCCCATCGTAGATTTACCAACAAACGTTATGGTTTCAACCATGGCAATTGAACGTGGTGCGAACGGAATTTGTCTTTTGTTTTTGTTTGTCTTTTGTTTGTCTTTTGTTTGTCTTTTTGTTTGGCCCATGTTTTTGTTTGTCCATGTTTTTATTCACGGTATGGCATCCATGCTTTTTGTTTTTGTCTTTTTGTTCATTTGTTGGACTCCTCAAGATGGGCTTCGGTTCTTGGCAAGTCCCTTTTAGAAGCTGAAAAAAGGGTGCTCGACAAAAAAGAGGACGGTGACCCAAGGGTTAGCTGGTGTTGGGGGAGCGAATGAGATCAGGAATGGATGTGATGTTTTTTGTTTCCTTGAAACAACGAATCACACACGGATCGCAAACGATTCGGAGGTTTCCATGCACCAGCCAGTGGGGACCTCCTTAGAAGGTAACAGACATAGTAAGCCCCTTTTTTTTGGCTTTCTGTTGGTCTCCGGAATCTGTGTGTTTGTCAAATACGAATCGGTCTATGGCTGGTTTCCTTTTGGTGTTCCTTCCATCGCAAGCTGGAAGACCAGTCAGACGCCTTTTGCACATCAATCATGCAGCTTCCAGGTCGACGCACGACGGGCCCACGACTCCGCTGACATGAACCGCCCAGCGGCATATGGGTCTATCTGGTTTCAGGATCATTCGCAAACCGCAACGAAAAACCAACCTTTTTTTTTGGTCGGAGAGGAGAATAAGTTGTGAGTGTTAAAGTTCATTGGCTATGAAACGCTTCCCAAAAGGCTTGGTGGACAATAATCCCCATGAACTGAGTCTCGAAATGAGACCCCCCTCTCTCAAAATAGAGATAATGCTCGTTCCTTTTGGTTTTCCCTTCAAACCCACGCCAAAAAGGGATACTCTCTAAAAAGACACGTTGATATGGAATCGACAAACTGGGTGGTGGAGTCTTTCGTTGGTTTGTCTCAAGAACAAGCTTGAAAAGGCTACCAACACACCCAACAAGATTAAGCGTGTTTGTTGCCACTTCCAGCAAAGAGACACGGTGGATTTGGGAAGACCACTTTAGTGGCAAACAAGTTGTTTCCTGTTAAAGTCAGGGAGGCACAAGCGGGTGTATATCTGTTTGACACCACTCTTGTGCAGTTCCAACCGGAACCGAAAAGCCAAGCATTCATGTCCTTTGGAAGAGCTGGCAAGAAGTTCACACTTGGCCAATCGGAAGTGAGACAATCACAAGGTGTTCGATTCCACTTTTTTGTTGGACCCCCACACCAGGCAGGTGGAGAGCTAAACAGGTAGTTGGGGGTTTAGAAAAACGCTTCCCTGGAGTCTCCATGACCCTTCAAACATGAAGCCATTCCTCAAAAAGAGTGGGTCATGACCCCCTTTTTTAAGGGTCATGAGTCATGACTCCAGGTCCCCCCAAAATGAGAGGTGTTTCCTTGTGTTTGCCTTCAAACCGCGCCCAAACAGGTTACCCGACCCAGTGGCTTCGTGAGAGCCGCTTCGATCCGGGATCGCGGTCGTTGTGATCGAGGCACTGTGCGCCGTTGCCGCAAGCGAGGCAGAAAGTGGGGGGTGGGGGCAGGGAATTTTGCCATGCCCCTGGTTCCCTTTCTGGGTGGTTCTGAGTGAATCAGCCGGCTCCTTAGGTTTTCAAGCCGGTTTTTGGGTGGTTTAACCCCTGACTGGGCGATAGGATATTCTTACTTATTTACCCCTCATACCAAGAGGTAAAGCTGGCTACTTGGAGTGAGTATGGCTATGGCTGACTTAATAGGGTGCTTGGATGAGGAGTAGATGGATGACCTGCCCAGTTGGTAAGTGGTTCATCACCCCACTTCATAACTAAGTCGCTCAAGTGGGTTGGTTGTATGCGGGTAAATCCCACTTGATGACTTGCTGTTGAGGGTTTTTAGCCACATACCAAGTGCTTGCTGGTCATCCAACTACCCTTTCCATTCCGTCCGGGGATTCTCAAAGCATTGCCCAACACCCGTTTGTGCCAAAATCCATAAAAAGAGCGCCATTGATAATTACTTTAAAAGTATATCTTCTCCCAAATATATCTAACTTTTCCCAGTTGACTCTTCCAAATATGGCTTCAATTTTCCTGTTTGGTTTTCCTTAACGGCCACAACATGGGTACCAACTCATAAAAGACATTTAGTGATCCTTTTTGCTACTGTGGAGGGCCAAAATCCATTCGCACCGAGTTGAATCCATGGAACACCATTGTTTGTTGGTATTTTCAGGGGAATCGACTCGGAAACCAGGGTTTCTGAAGGGTGCAAATGGATTTCGCAACCATCAACAGTCCTAACCTTTCTGGGGCGCTCAAGGCATTCATTCTGTGGATGTAATCACGAATCCTGCACCACCAATCGGAAACCCTGGTTGCTGATTCTATTCCCCAACGTAAATACCTGAGCAAACGTTGTGGATTCATTTCGTGGTGTCCATCCACAGTAAAGAACTTGCTTGGACCACCCCCCCCGAATGGGAATGGGATTCCCAAATGACAATGGCCTCGTAACTTGGTGGTTCTTCATCCCCTTAGTCCTTTAGGCTTTTAGGGTTTAGTGGTAGTTTCCACTTTACCCACTACAAGTTAGCCACTTTCAGCAGGGGATCTGAAAACGGGCAGCCCAGTTGAGGGGCTCAAAATTAAAGGTCTAGGGTTGCGCAGGTGTTAGTCTTTGGTTCCATTTATATGTTTTTGAGCCACAGCCAAGTGAGAATGGCCTCTTTCGGACACCCCCCTCTCCCCGCCCAATCCCCCCCTACTCCCTCCCCACCCCCCTCCCCCCCCCCCACCCCCCTCCCCCCCAACCGCCCTCCCCCCCCCCCCCAGGCAGATCTTTCTGCGGTGGTGGGCGGTCGCGCGAAGGACCTGGAGGCGCTGCGCGGCAAGGTGCGGAGCCTGCAGCTGGAGCTGCGGAGCGCGCAGGTTGAACCGCCGTCGGGGTTTCGTTGGGGGCGGGGGGGGGGTTGGGTGGGGTTTGGGTGGGGCTGAGGTGGGGGGGGGATAGGTCTGGGTGAGGCTGAGGTGTGGGGGGGATAGGTTTGGGTGAGGCTGAGGCGAAGAGGGGATGGGTTTGGGTGGAAGGGAAGGGGGGGGGGTTGGGTGGGAAGGTAAAGGAGGCAAGCTGGGGGGAGGGTTGTGACTGTTCTTCAAGTTGTTCTTGGGTGGGAATCCGCCGTGCGGATGCAAGAACATTTCGACGAGACAAATCAGCACCCAAACAAAACTAGCCTTTGTTTGGCTTACTTTTGACCTGATGTTGCATCGTGCTACATTTTAAGGTTCCCGCAATATGGACCATAATCAAAGATATGGCTGGGGTCAAAACCCCGTATCCCTGGTGAACATCCAAATAGGTGGCAAATGGATGTTCATCCCACCCCAAAATGGTACCATTGGTTTTGAACCATGGCCATATAATGCTTGGTTGGGGGCCGAAAGGTCTACGTTTCCTAATGCTCCGCAAGACTGAGCTTCTTGCTCCAGGTCCTTTGGGTAAAGCAAGAACCCAGTTCAGGGAGCTGCTTAGGAGACGCACCCCAGCCATTCACCGGCACTCTTTCATATGGGTGTGGCTCAAAATTAACCAGGAGGGGTTACGCAGGTGTTGGTCCATGTTTCCACTTACCAGGGTTCCATTTTGGTGCCGGTTTTTGAGCCATAGCCATAGGCATATCCTTGGATAAACTGGACATGAACCAAGCAAGGACCCCGGTGGATGGACCAAATTCTGTACCACTTTGAAGCCATGGAAACCATTGTTTGTTAGGATTTACAGGTGGCTAGGGTTTTTTGGGCGCAAGACTTGTCCATCAGTAGGGTCTTCTCCCAAAGCATGAAGGAGGATCTCCTCTAATGGGACACCTGAGCCACAATCAAAACCTGGGTAGATGAAGGTTAGTAAGGGGCAGTCCCGGCCGGAAATAGTTGCGGCCGCCTTTCTAATTCTTGAAGCATGGTTCTGGGTTCACCATTTTTGTACCGATCGATTTTGAGCAAGTGACTCACTTTCGCATTTTGTGAACCAGGCCCACCAGGCGAACATTTCGAGCTCACCAGGCGAACCCAAGTGACCAAAGCCCATGTTCAACTGGTGAGCTCCGAACATGTGGCCGTCAACACCAATTGGGATCCCATTTTGGTTGGGATTGCTGAATTCACCACCCGTTTTAGAACCTAATTTATTGGGGATTGGGACCCACTGGGATGTTCACTGGGGGTACGATTTGGCTTTTGACCCATGGCCATGTCACTCAATCATTGGAGCGCAGCAGCCACATTCGTCGAGATTGATTTGGCTGGAGCTCCACCGGTTGGGAATGTGGCCGATGGTTTTTGGCCATGAATTGCTTCAGCCAGTTTTCTTCGGAGCCCAACTTACGTCACCATGGAACCACTTGGCTGGCGCATTTGTTGCATTTATTTCCACATGGCCGGAGTCTTGCCTTCCGTCTTGATTCTCGATGGATCGCCTCATTACCATGATTGTGGTTGGGAAACATTGTGCAGTTTTGCTTATTGTGGTTTAGTGGGAAATCCCCACTTAACTACTAAGATATATATTTGTTTGCTCCCCTTCCAACGTCAACCAAGATACCAGACTTAGCCCACCTTTTGCTTTTTTTGGGGCTTGCTTCATTTGCCCTTCAACCCAACAAGCTAGTTGCAGGGGTTCCTCAGTTGACACAATATGGGTATGTGTCAAAATAGTGCGACCTCCAAAATTGTGGTGTTCCTTGTGGTGTCCATTCAATCCAACGCCAAAAGGGGTACACACATTCAAATAGCTTGTTTTTCAGTTCCCGTTCTAATCTACACAAGGATGCCGAGCCTCAAAACAAAGCACCCATCATATCCATTCAAACAAGCTCAAAAAAGGTACCGAGCTTCAACGAAAAGGCGTAATCATTTTCATGGGAGAACCTCAAAACTGGCAACCATACTTTGGATGGACAAGATCCTGCACCACTTAAGAATCGAAGGATGGTTCCCCTGTAAATACCAACAAAGAATGGTTTCAACGATCAAATCATTTCGTGGTATGACCATCCACAGGTAACCTAGTCTAGCCTTTCAACCAGGTGACAACTTTCCTTTGCTCGAAGTTTCTAGCCAGTTGAATATGTTTTATTTTCCCTAGTCGGTTTTAAAGGGAATGTATCACAACTGGACATATTTGTATTTTTGGGGGCTGAAGCAAATGGAAGGTTGGCTGAAGCAAAGTCGCTTCCAGGCGGAGCTTTTGGCGGCGGAGGCAGCTGCCATCTCTGGACTTCAGAGGTTGCCACCAGATTTCTGGTTGACATACTTAGGATAAGCCAAAGGGTAACGTGGGGTGAATCAGCCCATATGGCTTAACAACTATGATTCCGGCAAATAGAGGGAGCTTTGGGGTAAATCAGCTCTAAATGAGGCTTAACTGTCATCTGTGCCTTCTTTGGTTTGGTCTGGGACCCGGTCAGGGGAACTTGGGCCGGTCCCTTGGGAAGTCGAGAAGTCGAGAGCAGGCGCCAAAGTGGCAAGCTATGGCCTTGAAAGGGTTTTTTGTTGGTGGTTATGGGGAGGGGGTGAGGCAGGAAAAGCCGATGCGCTTGGCAAGGCCTTTTTGGGTGGCTCCCTGCGATTCGTCCGGTTCAACTGATGTTTTTGGGCCGGTTTTTGGCTGGTTTAGTGGTTGGGTTTCCCTTGTTAACCCACAAGTTATTCACTTGCAGCAGGGATCAGAGAATGGACAGCCCAGTCAATATTCTTTCCTGCTACTCCAAAATCCTACAAAAAAACGGGTTCCAAAGCACAACCTGGTTTTCAGAGGAGAAACCTGGGTTTCAAGAAGCATACGGAAAATACGGGTTTTGTACTGCTTTTATACGGGTTTTGTACGGTTTTTGTACGGGTTTCAGGAAGCATGACCAGGTTCTTCAACCGAAAACCAGGTTTTCAACGAGAAACAGGTGCAAAACCAGGTTTTTGCTGCCGACCTTTTTTTTTGTAGGTTTATCGAGTACCAGGTTGGGATGCTCTTCCCACGACTCAAAGCTTTTGAAGGTTTTATGGAAGCCACGTTTCTAAACTAGGTCCCTAAGCTAGGTGCCCTTTCTCACCCCTGTTTTGGTTGGGAGGGGGTACCCTTATTTTAACCTCTCTACAGGAGGACCTAGCAAAAGGTCTATGGGGCCTTTAAGGTCACACCGGTCAGACTTTGGCGTTGTGTGTGTGTGTGTGGGTGTTTTTGAGGCTTGGTATCGGCCCCACACACGGTCCGTCCCAAACACACCAGAGACTGCTGGACATTTTGACCGAACCGCGCATGTGTCTAAAAGGACAATTCGCGTTGATACACACCATTCCTCCCACCAAAATGAGAGGGTACCTGGAAAAACAGTTTCCTCTTCGAGGGATCCCCTGTGAGGTACTTGGGGTTGGTGGTTTATCCACATGTTTCCTGGCAATCAACCTTAAATGTTGCCAATCTGTTTCAATGCAACCAAACAAACTGGTTCAAGACTCCCGTGGTTTCGAAGTGGGTGTGGCTCAAAATTAAGCAGCAGGGGCAAACCGCAGGTTTTGGTCCACGTTTCCACTTACCAGGGCAACCCATTTTGGAATTCCGGTTTTTTGAGCCACAGCCAAGTGGTGCGAACGGATTTGGTCCATCCCTCAGTTGTTCAGTGGCTCCAATTCTTTTTCCAACTTTTGTTTTGGTGGCTGCCCCACTAAAATGGTCCAAGCCCAAAAAAGGGTTTCAATTCTTTTGTTCCAGGGTCACTGAACAACTGAGATCCACAGTATTTTGGGCCGTGGGGCCGTGGGGCCGTCGATTCGTCATAAGCAGCCTGGCCAGGGCACCTCTGCCGCACCCTGGGCACAACCCTCGGCCGAAGCCTCGTGTTTCTGGGTGTTTTTTGTTCTCTTCAGATTTTGTCCACATCACCTTTTTCGTAGGTGAGTTTCCCTTAGGGTGATGGTTTTTTGGACCCATAGGTGAGCTTCCCTTGGCAGGGGTGATGTTTTAAAGGTGTTTGATGTTTTTTCTTCGACCTCACACGACCGAATTCACCCCAAATGGCTTATGTGGGGAATAGCCCCCAAAACCACCTGATTTCAGGCTGGTGAAATATTACAATTCACCCAGATTTTCTGGCGGGGCAACCCATGGGCAATCCCTTGGGGGCAACTAGGTCCCCCAGCTAGGTGCCCTTTCTCACCAACTTTTTTTGTTGGGAAGACGCCCTCCTACCAAAAAAGACAACAGAAAAAAGTCGGGTACCCTTGTTCTAACCTCTCTACTTGAGGACCTGGCAACATGCACACCTTAAAGCTGAGTGCGAAAATCGAACCCATGTCATAAAGACACATTGCCCGACTTTGCTCACCTTTTCAATTCATGTTTGCCTTGGCTTCCTTCATTTTGCCTTTCAACCAGCAACCAGTATCAGTTTTTGCAGGGGGTCCAAGTCCTCTCAAGGTTGTCTTCCAGTTTTGTAAGAATATTTGTTATTTTCCCTTGTTGGTTTTAAAAGGAATTTATCACAACTGGACATATTTGTATTTTTTCCGCGGGTCTTAACCCAAATGGAAGTTGTTTGATCAATTTTGGCCCAACCCTGCTCCGAGGTTTGCAATGCAAGGATCCGCTCTGCGGAGGATGCCCGTGACTCTGCGGCGGAGTATTTGGCGAAGCAGCACGCCCTGCGAGCACCGCCGCTCGATGTGGGCAAATCGGAGTGTCGATTTGATGGGGTTCAATATTCTCAACCCAGAGTTTTCTACTAGGTCCCCCAGTAGTGCCCTTCTCTCTCCTTTTTTAGGGGAGGGTCTTCTGTTCCCCTACTAAAATTGACTACAGAAAAAAGGGTACCCTTATTCTAACCTCTCTACTAGAAGATTTAGTCTATATGGGGGTGGGTCAAGAATAGGAACCTAAAATGGAACCCTGGTAAATAGAAGCAAGGGCTCAAACCTGTGGTCCTCTGGTGGCTTAATTGGACTCATACCCATATTGTCTCAAAGGGTATCCTTCTTGAGTGGTTTTACAGGGAAATCCAAATGAGTTTGTCGCTTCCCTATATGGTTTGTTTGTTTTCGAGGGTTCCCCTTCTTAGTTGCTTTACGAAGAAACCACAAAGACAACCACCAAAATAGGGGTCCGATTCCTAAGAAAGACGGGCTGTTCAAAGGCAATTGGAGTTACGAATGGGGTTGTCTTTGAAGTGTTTGTTCCATGGATCAGGATTTTCCCCAGTATTAAAGTGAGTTTGGTTTGTTAATTGGGGGGGGGCTGAGGGCACTATGGTGCTGCTTGGATGTTCGGCCAGTAAGTGCTTAGCCATTTGGGGTATAACCCCCGAATAACAAGGTGAACCCCACTCAACGGGGGACATATTGATGCAACCTATAGTTACCAGCAACTTACTAACTTGGCCAATCGAGCACGTCCGAAGTGAAATGGCAACCAAAATGTGGGTTGTCCTTGCACAAATGGTACCCTTCAAAAAGGACACACTCATATATTGAGGTTATATACCCCGTTCCCTCGAAGTTTGGGGGCAGTGAAAAGCATCTTGTTGCCAGAGGCCCAGATCCAACATGCGGACTGTTACCTATATTTCAATCATTTAGGTCTGTCATTTTGGAGGACTTCCCCTTTGAAACTGGTCATTTTCAGATGCCCGCATGTGGCAGTTTATGTTTTTGTTTGTGTTTGTGTCATTTCATTTGGCAAGTTTGCTTCTGATGTGATGTTAAAACGAGGTCAGGCTGTGCACCCCAAGCTGGGAACGCCACATGATTTGCAGTGCAAGGGTCCAGGACAAGACATGAGCTACGGTCAAGATTAGCTGTTTCCCTATAGGGAAGTTTGGCTCCCCCAAAGTCATCCACGCTAGCAGCAACTTTCCAGCATGAGCGCCCTGGCCCGTTTGCTTGCATTTGCACTGCAAGCTATGAGTGGGCAGCCCTGTCATATTGTCATGTGAGAAATGGATATATATATATATATATATTCTATATAATTACATATTACATGTGCGTATATACATAAATATGTATTTACGTATTATGCCACTGCTCTTATGAACCAAGGTTCTGCGATACATATTTATGTATATGATGTATATGTATACACACACACTCACATACATACATGCATGCATACAATGGTTCATACATATATATATATATATATATAGACAGGCAGGCAGGCAGGCAGGCAGGCAGGCAGACAGACAGACAGACAGACAGACAGGCAGAGAGAGACAGACAGACATGCATGCATACATGCATGCATGCATGCGCATGTGCATGTGCATGTGCATTCATTTAGTCATTCATACACTACATACATACATCAGTCTAGGTATGCACATATGTGATTCTTGGTGCATGGTTCAGCATATCTCAGACGCACTGAACTCGTTAGCTGTGCTCTGAGCTTTGGGCACTTTGGAAGAGCCTGGCCTGAGGTTCTACCTCAAGGCAGCCCGGAAGAGCTTTGAGAAGGCCCAGAAGACCATGTCCACAATTGTTTCAGGGCGTGAATGAATGAATGAATGAATGAATGAATGAATGCATGCATGCATGCATGCATGAATGAATGAATGAATGACTGACTGAATGACCGAATGAATGAATGAATGAATGAATTAATGAATGAATGAATTAATGAATGAATGAACGAATGACTGACTGACTGACCGAATGAATGAATCAACATGGTATGAATATGGTATGAATATGGTTCTCTCCGCCACAAAAGAAACATGGAGTTGAAAGTATACCAACTAAGTAAACAAAGGTTATTTGGAGTATACATATAAAACTAGTTGTTAAATACCATTCTATACTACCTGATTTCTATAGGATAGAGGCTATGCCCCACCCGGCTTTTGAACACGTTTTACAACGCCACGTATTTGGATGAGTCCCTTGTTTCTCTGAGCGGGCTTCCCTGTAAGAACAACGCAATAACTCTCAAAACGGCTGTGAACACTTTCCTGTTCCCTTTCGTCCTCTTTTCCCCGCAAGCTGCTGCTTTTTCCTGGGTCTTTTGTCCTTTTCCGTGTTTCACCCGTGACCCACAGGCTGAAAAGAGTGTGTGTTTTGCTTCCTCGCGCTCGCCCTGCGACCGGGATTTCGGCTTTCGGATGTCGGGAAGCGACTCGGAGCGCAGGGTCTGAAGCAGCTGAAGGGCATCGACAAGAGCAACTCGGATCCCTTCATCAAGCAGCATGAGGGCCAGCTGCAGGCGATCTCGCTCGCTCGCCCGGTGTTTTTGTTTGCCTCCGCGGGTGGAGAGACGCCCGGGTCTTTTTCCTTTTCTTGCGCGGCGGACGCAAAACTTAAGTTTGATAAGGCCTTCAATTTGCTGAAACAAATGTTGGTTTTAAAGGGACTTTCTCACTACAGGAAGTAGTTGCTCATTTTTCTCAGCAGCTTATGCAAAAGGAAGAAACCGACACGGCCCCAAAGCTGGAGCGGTTACTATACCACGTGTTGGGTGGTTTAAAGGGAAGTCAACAGGAAAGCAGTGTTGGGGTCTCCAACCAGTTCTGTATTGGGGGTCATTTAGACAGTATATATGTAAGATAATCTGTTCTGTGTTCGCCAGATGTGGACCAAGCTTCCTGGGGTGTGAGCAGACCCTGGAAACCGCCCTTATTGCAAGGAAGCGGATGATTGACCAGGGCATCTTTGGCTCAGTTGAACAGGTCGACGAATTTCAAATTGAGTGGCACCCATTGGGCTCCACGCGGGGAACCTGAGCGCATGTCAGGCGAGGCGATTGCTTGAAGTCTTGGACTTGATGTATTATTTTTCGTGGAAACCACTTCCTAGTAGAGACGTTTGGCGCTAGTCACTAGGAAGTGAGTAGATACTTTTGAAGTTGTCCTGGCCCAAGGTGTCCTCAAAAGTCTCTAGTAATGAGTCCTTGCACCGCCAAGCCCAAAATATAATCTGCCAGACTAAGGTCCGTGGTGCTTACACTGGGCCCGGTGCTTGTTTGAGACCTGGCACATTGGCCTTGACACAAGAAGCACACCTGAAGAATGCGTGGTTCTACAAAACGACCCAACACGGGTGGCGTCAAAAGAATACACCTACGTGTTTGTCTTAACAAAAAAAGAGTATGTATTGTGAAGCACCAGGTTTGTATACTCGCTGAGTTCCTGGACTTGGTAGTGGCAACTGACAAGTTCCTGGACTTTTTTGGCCAATCCTCTCGATCGGAAGTTGTTGCTTTTTTCGATCAGGGTTTGCCATCTCCCTTGGTCTGGGGTCCCTGCGACAAACTCGCAGGTTTGGAAAAAGGAAGGGCTGGGAACCTGGAGTCTTTTTCTCACCCTCAAAAGATGGGCAGGCAGCGTTTCTCACTTCCTGAGTTCCGTTGTGTTTTTGAGACACAAGGCATGGCATAGTTCCCTATACCCTCTGTGGCTTACATGGCCTTGCCATGCCTTGCCAATATCTGGCTGACCTTGCCTCTGCCAAATTTAACTGCTTCAAAACGCACACACTGCTTCTTACCCGGTTGGAAAGTAAGAAGTTTAAGATTTGTTGGGACAATCCACTCGGGAAGTGAGGGCGGTAGATCAAATAGGTCTCACTGCTCAAGCCAGGTCAACTACTTCAAAAACCCGCTGAAAGGACCCTCTATGCAACACCTCTAAGCGCGAACAGGGTAAACACAAAACATGTCGTCATGTCCTTAACCCACCGGAGCACACTAAAACACACACGAGAATCGATCCGACCCTTGGCAGGAGATAGGGTATTGCTTATGGTTCTATGGGTTGGTGCTCCATCTTTATGCAATTATCTTTACACCTATTGTCCCTGTTTGGCCCGTACTGAAGCGCAGGATTTACAGCAAATGGACACGGAAGGTGCAGCTAGAATGACTTGACGCAAACCTCGCCGGGTTTCTCAAAGATTGTACCACCAGGACCCTGGAAGATGCCCATCCAAACATCAGGTGAGCCACAATCAAAACCCGGGTAGATGAAGGTTAGTAAGGGACAGTCCCAGCCAGAAATAGCTGCAGCCGCCTTCTTAATTCTTTACATGGTTCTGGGTAGACCATTTTAGTACCAGGTGTTGATTGCGACTCAGGTGACCCCTAGTTGGTAGTTTGGAATGGTGGTTGGATGTGGATTTGAACCCCTGTTTTTTTTTGTAGAGGGTAGCTGGGAAAGAACCCCCTAGCCACCAAAACACCAATCCAAGCCACCAAATAGGAAGCTGAAATTCAGGGTAAATAAGCCCGAAACAAGGTTCAACCGCCATCCTGTGGATGGACAAAATTTATTTCGCGCCACTTTGAATCCATGGTTGAAACCATTGTTTGTTGGTAAATTCCAGGGGACTCGAATCATTTTAGTGTTTCTTAGGTGGTGCGAAACGGATTTCGAGTTCGATCATCCACGCTAGGTTTTTGCACTAGTGCCAACTTTTACCCCTTTTTTGGGGAGGGAAACCCCCTAGTAAAATAGACAAAACCGAGAAAAGTTGGTAGCCTCATTCCAACCTCTGTACTGGAAGACCTAGCCCCCTTTTGGGCGGTCTTAAAGGGGCCAGTTCAGCTTGGGTCTAGTGGTTGGGTTCCATTTAACCCTTACACTGGAGGACCTAGCACGCTAGTTTTTGGAGGTGGTCCGACTCAGCGGAAGTCTTTGGAGGTGGTGGGCGCGTTGGACCTGGCCCCGGACTCTGCGGACATATGGCTGGAGGTGCAAAAAGCTGCACCGAAAGGGGGGGTGTGTGTCCCCGGAAGTCGGAGACCTTCAAACGACCGGGGGGGCGCAGGGTCCACGTGTTGCTTGTTTGTTTTTGGTTGGGGGTTCAGATACCCGAAAGCACCAGGGCTCACCTGAACAGGGGGTCAATCATATAACTGCCTTTGTTTGCCTGGAAGTCAAGTGCTCAAGATTCCTTTCGGCCCCAAATGGGTAGCTTGTCATATTCCAGTACTACCGTTCAATCAGCCAGGGGGTCCGGTTTACCGGTTTTGTTTACATGGGGAAATCAGTTACCACCAAGTGGGGTTGATCAACATTCCCTTCGGCCACCGGATCGGTAACTTATCATCTTAGTAGTTGCCAACCAATGGTAATCCCGTGATTTACGGTCCTTTTGATCAACCCCCACATGTCCCTTAGGGGTCTCCAATCCCAAAACAATTTTAAACATACTTTAGGATAGGCTAAACATGAACCATATTCAGACAGTCATATTTTCTGAGTAGCACAAATGCATCGTTGCCAGACTTAACCTTTTATATTTGTTGCCCTCTTTAAGTTCCCCTTTCAACAGCCAAAAGTGACGGCTTTTTGCGGGCCGGATCGGTTTGGCCCAAGACATCTCCCTTTTTGGAGGTTGAACCAAAAAGGAGAAAGCATGAACGGTTTCGACACTGCGCCCAGTTCCGCCCCTTGAAAACGCCTCAATGTCTGGGAAAAGACAGCCTCGTCAGGCCTGATGAGTTTGGATGCCGTGCAGGTGTTTGGCTTACGATGTGGATGGACATTTCCCGTATGTTGCTGCTCCGTAGGACATGACACTGGGTTTTGGGAATGAACCTCGGGATTCCCGTTGAAAGGAGCAAAGGGGGGAAGGTTGGGCGGGGCCATTCCCCGGAATTCCCTGCCTATCGAACCACCAAGCTATGGTTGATGTCAAAAGGGGTTTTGGAGGTGCCCAAAAGCATGGTTCTGGGACACCAAAAGGAATCCACCCATGTTGGTCCTGAAAACTAACAGCCGCCCACGTGGGGAAACCAGTAAGCCACCAAGCAAAACCTAAGCAAACCCAAGATTCCCTTTGGAAGTCAATCCGGGTTCCAACAAATAGGCAAGCCACCAAGATAACCTAATAAACCCAGGAACACCAAAGGACAACCTGAGCAAAACCTGAGAAACACCCGAGAATATCCTTAGAATCCCAAGAAACAAACCGAGAAACACCTGAGAAAACCCAAGAACACCTAAGGAAAACCTGAGAAGCCCACACCACCCGGAGACACCGCCGCGCCCCGCGAGCGGTGGGTGCGTTTCCCAGGCGGGCAAGGTGTCGCTGTCTCTGGCCTCGCTCGCAGACAGCGAAGGACTGAAATACAGGTGTATGTCCCATGTATATACTACATACATATATGTAATAATATGTGCCGATACCTAGATACAAACGCAGGAACCTACTCACCTGTGCATTGGCCAACATTCCAACTGTTGAACTTGTTGTTGGTGTTGCTGCTTTTTGCGGTGGATGGCACCAACATAAAGTTTTGGATTTCAACCAGTGAGCTCTCACTTGACCTGAACTGACCTTGCGGTTTGGTCCATGTTGAGGCAACAAAAATCCAAAAGGTTTTCACATTTTCTGGGTTGTTCCTTGAGTTGGCTTAGTAGGGGTGGAAAAAGGTGTCCGTTTTGCGCGCTGAGTAATTGAGTCCCCAAGCTTCCTGCTAGGGAATTGCCTCGAAATGCAGCCACTGTGTGTTTCAGGAACTTCTTCATCCTTGATTCGGGTTGCACAAGTTTAAGTGGTGCCCTTCGTAGTTTTCCTTGCAGGGATGGATTGGGATTGGCGGCCAACCCTTCATGTAGCCCAGCTTTAAGGTGCTGTGGGCAAGTGACGCGGCGGAGCCCTGATTGCACCTACCCTACCCCATCCCTTTCCTTGTGGGTGTGCTTCTTTTGCGAGGCGTCCACTTGTTTCTGGTTTTAAAGAGGAACCAAAGGGAAAGCGCGACACCGCCATTTGGGGGCCCTGAAAACAAGACACGGCCGTTTGTATCAGTCCCTGGATGTTGACGGTTGCTGCCTCTTGGGCTGGAGTTCCAAAACCGTTGACCTATGGGCTCGCCAGGTTCGCAATGTTTATATGTGCTGAGCTGTTTTGTTTTCTTCTTTTTTTTGGAATTTGTTTTGTTTTTTTCATTATACAGAAAGAAAGCAGTTTTTTTCTCAACTACTCAAGCAACTTGGAGGAGGTTTCCCTGCATGCCGCTGTTTGATGGTTTCAGCTGCCACCGCTCAAGACTCGAGGAGAGATCCAGCACGTGGTCGCCATGTTCGCGCGCGCAGCCCAGCTGGACGCTAGCAAGTTGGAGCCGGCGCTCAAGTGGCTGCAGCGGAAAGAGCCGGGATGCCCGGCCCGGCCACTGGGTGTGTCGTGTTGCACTCACTCCAATTGAGGGCACCCGTTCCTGGACTTTATACCTTGGGATTGGACCATTTTAGTGGTACATAAACACTTGCTTAGTGGAAGTGGGGTTGAACCAAGCAAATTGCAGGCACGGCAGCTAGAAATCCCTACGGTTTTTCCACGGCGCAAATGGATGGTTGAAGGTTTATGTTGATTCTTTGGGCTTTGACCGTTTCAGTGGCAACTGGACTCTTCTGGGCGTCACGAAGTGAGTTCGAGGCTTACTTTGTGATCTTGTTCGACATGTGTTTTACTGTTTAAGGTGCACTGGATATGTTTGGTTGCTTTTGTGGTATTTTGTCACCACTGAACCTTCTGCACCCGCTTGGATGGCCACCCCGCTTATGAGACAAAGCGATCAATCAATGCTTATCCTGGCAACGACTCATCTCCAAGGAACATGCGCCGCCGCGTATAAGTAAGCATCTCCCAAAATCTCCATTGGCCATTTTACTAGAGGGTTCTACTGAGATTCTACTGCCTGGATTAGTTGCGGTTGTACAAAGGCAATATAATCTTTTATAACCATACCATATAGTAGACAAGGTTTTTTTTGGCTCTGCCGTGAGAACATTGGCACAGCCATTCAGGGAAAGGTCAACCTCAGCCTTACACGGGACTGCCAAGGGGCAAGAAAAGCTTGCGAAAGCCGCGCTTTGGTTCTTGCTTTTGTGCTAAAGGAAAGCAAGCGAGCAGGAATGTTTTAGCGCCCCAAGTGAGTCCATTTCGCAGTATAGCAGGTAAGCCAAGGGCTTGTCAGCCTTGACCAAAGCCAAAAGGAAAATGGCGAAGGGCTACCTATCTGGGACCCACTGGGGGCCAGCAGTTGCCCCTTCTCCGCGACCGTTTTTGCCCCGCTTCAGGTCCAAGGAGAATGAGCAGGAGAAGCAGTTGAGGCCGAGCTGGTCTTCCATTTGAAATGAAGATGCTTTTCACTTGCCCCAGTTGGTTTCCACTCGAATCGAATCTACCAAAGCGAAAATCTGCCACTGGACAGATTTTCTTTCATTTTTTTCTGGGGTGAAGGTTAGGGACACCAAGGCCCGGTTTGTTTCTTGTTGGGTTGGCCTCGAACATCCAAGACGAATAGGCTTTTCGGCAAGGCTTGGTTGGCTGCCTGGGTCATAACCTACTCACAACAGGCTTGGTTCCCTTTTAGCTGAGCGAGAGTTACTATCAAGAAAGCAAATAATCCATCTCCCCCAATCAAGCTGCCCATTTGAGTCCTTTTCTCTTGTTTTCGAGGAGGTTCCCTTTAAAATCAGCCAACAACTTCCATTTGCTTGAGAATGTGTGTTGTCTCCCCTCTTGGTTTTACAGGCAATGTATTTTTCTTGTTCCGAAGAGACGCTACTGCAAATGGAGGACATGGAAATCCACTGGGTTACGTTCACCTGGCGGCATTCAGGTGAGCATGCCCAAGGTTTCCTAGGGCTGATGCTTCAAGGGGAAAGTATTTGGAGTAAACGGGGCGAAATCAGTGTCCCAAAAACTCGGGAGTTGGATTCTGAGTTTGTCAAGTTGTAGCACCTGGAGTCTCCACAATTCTCAAGAACTGGGGTCATGACATGTCATGACCCCTTCTTTTTGGGTATCGACCCCAGTTGTTCCAGGGTAAGAAGCAGACTGCTAAAGTTTGCAGAAAGAGACTGGCATCCCTGTTGAACCTCGGAGGATGGGACTTTTTTGGGAGATGGAGATTCCTTCCACCAGTCTGTGGAGATGGCAGTGGTAGAAATACCTGGGGTCTTTTTCCGACCCTTGAAAATTGGGTTATTACCCAGGGTTCATGACCCTTTGAAGGATGTTGGAGACTGCACTCGGATGTTCGGCTAAGTTACTAAGTGGGTATAACCCCTTACAACAAGGTTAAACTCACGCACGGCGGGGGGGGGGGGGGGCTTTCAAGTGGGTTGTAGTGCCGACAGGACCCGCCGAACTTGGCAAATCGAACACCCACTCAGTTGTTCAGTGGCTCCAATTCTTTTTCCAACTTTTTGTTTGGTGGCTGCCCCACTAAAAAATCGCTCCAAGCCCAAACAAGGGTTCGCAATTCTTGATTTTTCCCTTGTCACTGAACAACTGAGCCCAAGCAGGTAACTCTGATCGCCTGATCGCCACCATTCGGATGCCAGGAAGATTCTGAGAGGCGAGGTCAAGCGCTGGAATCACACGAAGTCCGTGCCCGCTGCTTGGCGCGCTTCGTTTTCTTTGGTTTCCCGTTGCAGTTCGCCCCCAAAAGCTCCAACTGGGGGTGTCTGTTGTTGAGGCTACCCCTTTTGGTTGGTGTTAATTAACGGGAAACCAAGAGGAAAGCCACATTTTGGGGGGTCCCCTAACGGAAGACCACGTTGGGTTCCCCGATTTTGAGACGTTCGCCTTGGGCGGATCCACGTCCCCTAGCCGGAAGTGGGAGAAGCGAAGTGGGTTGACTCGCTTTTTTGTCCCCCACTTTGGCAAGACTTTGTTTTGGTTTCCAAAAGGACTTTCCTCCAAGAATCATGTTTTTCGTTGGGGTTCCATGTTCATGTGTAGGGGAGAAGTCGTTACTTGGATGTTCGATTCGCAAAGTTAGCAGGTGGTGATCGCCACTTGGGTAAGCTTAACCCCACATTCCCGGGGGACTGATCAATTTGCTATAACCTCGGTTGCCGCTAAGTACCACTTCCTAACTTGGCGAATCGAACAGCCCAGGGGACCAACAAAGTGGGAACCCCCAGGGCCTTATTGAAAGCCGAATTGTATAGGGGTTCGCCGGGTTTGACCTTCACGGACTGCAGATTTATTTTCATGCGAGTCGTTGTCTCATTCAATCGGCGGTTTGCGTCGGCGGTTTGAAGCCCTTAAATCACATGGTTGAACACCCGCGAGTTGTTGCGGTGAGCGCATGCAAACACATGGCTGTGGGTCAAAACCAGTGGTACCATTTTGGGGTAGGTGCACCATCCATTTAGTCTATTTTCACTGGGGGTACGGGCTTTTGAGCCATGGCCACATGAGTAGTTGATTGCAAGAGAGCAACTTCAGCTGGCAGGCGAAAAAGATAATTCGGGCAGAATCCGCACTGCCAGCGGAACCTCTCCTTCTGTCTAAAATGCAGTTGTCCACTTCCAATGAATTTGAGTGGGTTGTTCTAGGGGTAACTTCCCCATTCTTTCCGGGGATCGTTGTTCTAGAAAACAACCAAAAAACCCTGGACAAATGGCTGGTTTTTCAAAAGAACGATGGCTCAAAAGAATGGGGAATCAACCCCTAGAGTTGTCTCGTGTTTTCTGCCTTTAAGAGGCGCCATTTGCCTTTTCTTTGGCAAGCCCCGTCTTATGTGGTTCTTAACGCAAACCCAAAAGAAGCGAGCCATTTTCAGCAGGGTTGTGGTCAAGGGCTTTATCCCAGCTTCTGTGATACAAGGGAATCTCCGCCTTTAACTGGGGTGTTAGTCTTCGGGAAGCCCTTTCTGTTGCCATTTCCCACAGCCCTGATTTTCAGGGTTCCCTAATTTTGGGCTCCAATTGCCATCGAGTGCCGTGAAAGTGGTGCTATCAAGCACTTACTGGCTGGTTTTCCCTCCACTCATTCCTAATACATGCAAATTGCTAAGCAGGTTTCCCATGGTAAGTAGCTCTTTTCTTTGGTCAAGGGTTGTTGACATCATAATTTATCAAACTATTTCTCACTTCCTGAGTTCCTGAACTTTAAACTTTTTGGGTTTGAACCATTTTAGTAGTACATATAAAGTTGGGATATTGTTTTTTGGCAATCCACTCAGCAAGTGAGAATTGGCTAGGGTATTTGGAGTAGCCGCCGGTGTCATCCACGTGTCATCCGAGGATGTGCCGGTGAACTTCGTGTCCACGCTCAAGCAGGGCATCTGCTTCAAGCAGGGGTCGAAGAGAGCAGGCAGGGTGCGGCTGTATTACGTTGTACCTTCAGGGCACTCCCAGACGGTGGTTCTCCTTTTGGCTAGGTCCCCCAGCTAGGTGCAAGCTTTTACCAACTTTTTTGGTTGGGAGGGTTCCCCTACTAAAATAGACTACAGAAAAAAGGGTGCCCTTATTCAACCTCTCTACTGGAGGATCTAGTTAGTCTCCCTTTAAACACTGCCCCAAAATTTGGACATTCAGGGGACTCCCAGTTGGTGGGTATCCGTGTAGTTTCCCTTCAAAACATCCCAAAAAGTTTAACTTTCAGGGCACCCCCAGAGGGTGGTTCTCCTTTTAGTTTCCGTGCAAAATCGCACTGGCAAAAAGCACCGACCCAGAGTGGAACCCTGAAATGGAAATGAAGCACTTGCTGGGCTTGTTTGTGAGCTGGGATATGGACGGCAGGTTTTTGTCCTTTCCAGATACCACGGCAACCGATTCATTTTTAGGTTCCTCTTAAATGAACCAGCCCCTGGGTGGACTTGCTGGTTCTCAGCCATCCCCTTTGCTTCTTACTTGTGTTTAGTTGGCTTAGTGGAAGTTTCGACGGAGACCACGAAAAGTGGTGGACCTTTCGCAGGGGATCGAAGGGGAGCCGAGTTGAGTCAGGATGGCCGGAAGATGTGGCCAGCATCATTGACCGGTTTCAGGCGCGGGCGCTGTGGCCAGCCGGATGCCGGGGTTTGTGGGGTTTCGGTGCGAAGGAGGTCGATCTTCAACTCAGACTGTTGTTGTGCGTTTGTTTTGAAGACTTGGTGGGCAATCTGCAACGGCTAGGCTTGTTTTACTGTGTATGCGGTACAACCGTCGTGTTTGGTTGGTTGTTTGCTTGGCTGGTTGGTTTGGTTGAGTTGGTTGGGTGTGGTTTGTCTGGTTGGTTGGTTGGTTTGGTTTGGTTTGGTTTGGTTTGGTTTGGTTTGGTTTGGTTTGGTTTGGTTTGGTTAGTTGGTTGGTTGGTTGCTTGGTTGCTTGGTTGCTTGGTTGCTTGGTCCGTTGGTTGGTCGTGTTGGTTTGTCTCTTTGTTTGTGCGCATGCCTGTTTGCATGCTTGTTTGCGCCAGCTTGCTGATTTGCATGTGTGATTGTCCTCGCTTGCTTATTTGCATGGTTTGTTGCATGTTTGCTTGGTTGCTTGCCTGCCTGTCTGCCTGCCTGCCTGCCTGCCCGCTTACTTCCGTTGTTTGTTTTCTTGCCTGATTGTTTGTTTCTATGTGTTTTTGCCTGTGTGTTTCTGTGTGTCTTATGTTTGTTGGTTCATCTTGTTTTATTGTAGCAACAAGATGAGCAGTTGGGCTTGGACTCTGGAATAATTCAATTGTTTGATCAACACCAGTGCATGCTTGGCTTACCCCGTGCAAGACTAGCTTGTTGGCTTAATACTTTTGGAATATGTGGCCAACACTTCTCAGATTGCTGGCTGCAAAAAACACTTGACTCATTGACTGGCTGGGATTGCTAGGTTCTACTAGATTCTACTTGTTGTTGAGGTTCTACCTGTGTTACTTGAGCTGGGCGCTTGTTTGAGGACTTTGTTTGCGAAATATGGCTTTAATAATATGTGTATACACATATATATATATATATACATATATATATAGGTAATTGTGGGACCTGCCGGGTGACGTTGAGTGACTTCGGGAAATGTTAGGGGATCGTGGGCGACGTTCGCTGATTTGGTGGTGATGGGACTTTGTGTTTGTTTGAGGGCTTCCTGGCAAGTTTTGTTTTCATGGGTTGGGTCTCAAAGGGGTACTTGCGCAAGGGCCGAACCAATACATCGAAGAAGCCCAAACGGGCTGGAAATAGGGGTTTTGTACTCTACTGTTGATGGACAAAATCCGTTCGCACCACTTTGAATCCAGGGGCAAACCATTAATAGTTTCTTGTTATTTACAGGGCGGAATCATCAGACACCGACCCCGGGGTTGCTTTGCTGCGAAATGGATTTCGGACAAAAAAAAACACTTGTTTAAGAAGGCGGGCATGGGTGTTGTATGTTCATCTTGGTGCTTTGAGCTCATGGGGTTTGAAGGACTCGGTACTACGAGACTGGCCCATCCGCAAAGCTCTGCTCCGGCACTGGCGATCTCCCCCAGGTCTTTTGTTTTTTTGGTTTTGAAAGCAGATCGGCACAGCTCACTCCCGGAGTTCCTGAACCTTTTACTTTTGGGAGTTTGCCCATTTTTGTGGTGCGCATCTAGGTCCCCCAGCTAGGTGCCCTTCTCTCCCCTTTTTTTGGGGGAGGGTTCCCCTGCTAAAATAGACTACAGAAAAAAAAAGGATACCCTTATACTAACCTCTCTACTGGAGGATTTAGTTTTACTTTTGAATTTTGTCCATCTTTGTGGTACGCATGGTACGCCAAAACGTGTGAATCCGCGCAGGAAGCGGCTGCCGATTTGATTTTTTTGCCGCTACCACCCCATCCCCTTTACATAAACATGAAGTTTGCCCTGGTGGGTGCGTTTCCTTTTTGTATGGGACCCACAAGAAGGTGGGCTTCCTCCTGGTTTTCCCTCAAAACCATATAAGCGGGGTACCCTCCAAAAGGACGAGCCACCCATGTGTCCTCTTTGGGAGCGAGTGAAAATACTGGGTCAATGGTTTGTGTCTAAAGAAATGCCGGGAGGTGTCTGTTGCGAGGGTACTTGTGTGTTTGGTGACCGGAAACTAAAAGGAACAAGCATTACAAGCACCGTTTCTGGCTTTTCTCATTTTAAGACACATCCTCACAGTTCTTACAGGGCAAATGTCTATCCCTTAAAAGACCGTCCTAAAGATCGCGACGGCAGGAGAGGAACGTGTTCCCGACAAAGATTCTTTCGGTGTGCCTCGGCTGAGAGGCCCTATGTCCCTTTCTGCATTCTCGCAAGGACCCTCTGCTTTGGGGGCTTGATTCCCCATCTGGGTGTGGCTCAAAATTAAAGAGGAGGGGCAAACCGCAGGTTTTGGTACCCATGTTTCCACTTACCAGGGCAAGCCATTTTGGAATTCCGGTTTGAGCCACAGCCATCTTTCAACCATCATTTTGTTCAAATGTTTCCAGAGTTTTCCTGGAAAGGATCTGGGGAAGAATGGAAGGTATGCCCAGTTCTGATGTACGCTTAATGACAACGCCAGGCTATTCATGGGAAAACATCCTTGTTTCGTCTGGGGTTGACATTATACCCGAAAAAACAAGCGTCAAGGCTAAATATGTATCTTTATGTCACACGGAATCCAAACACATTACGTTCTGTGTTCCCCAGATGTTTTGGGCAAGAAACATCACAAAGGAAGCAAAGCAAAGCTTTTTTCTGAAGTCTCCACAGACAAATCTATAATTTTCAGGTTGGCGAAACTTTAGTGCCTCCGGCTCGCTGAGATTGCAAACGTGGCTCATGTGTGTGTGTGTGTGTGTGTGGCTGTGTGTGGCTGTGTGTGGCTGTGTGTGTGTGTTTTCAAGCGTTTTTGGGGTGTTCCGGTACAAAACGGAAAAGGTTTGCTTTGTTTTATTCACTGCAGGACTTGCCGCATGGCAACTTGGGCCCCAAACTCGCCGAGGGAGTCGAACGAGGGAACCCTCCTGTGCCATTGATGTCCGACAGGCGCAACATTGGCGGAATGGCACAAAGTTAGCACGTTCTTGTTGCGCGGGCCAAGCTTTCCGCGTCAACGGGCAGCAGTCGGATCTCAGGAACCTTTATTGTAACTGAGGTAACTGGATTGGATTTTGGACTTTAACTCTTTGGTTGAAACTTTTTTGTTTGGTGTCACAGACAGTTTTCATTGTTGTGAAACAAAAACAACAACCAATTTATATGCTACTTCTATTAGGGGTATAGACTGCCTTACCAGCTTATATTGATGGTATACAAGCATCCAGACTGTGGATGACGAACTCCACTTCGCATCAGTTGGGATGAATAAAGCCCTATTGAATAATTGGGATAAGCCCTTTTGACTGTTGTTTCGGATTATCAAAGTCAGTCGCAAGTGAGTAGAAACTTGTTGCAGGTAAGTGCCTCCCCCTGGGTACAATGATGGGCAAATCCCGGCAAAAGCGTTTTCTTCTTGTATATTTGGATGGGCTTTTGTAGGATTGTGGCCGCAGATTAAATGTATAATGTATATGCGGGGGTCCCCCCTCCCCCCTACATACTGTGGATGGACGAAATCCCGCACCACCTAAGAATCCCTGGAATGATCATTTCCCTGTAAATACCAACAAACAATGGCTTCAACCATGGTTTCTTAGGTGGTGCGAAACGGAGTTCGAGGACCCATCCACAGTAGGGGTCCCTCGATACAGGTCAGTCGCCTGCAGGAACGTGCTCTCCATGCTGCCGGAGGGTTTTGCTGACCGCCTCGCGGGCCTAGCGGAGGCCAAGTACCAACAGCTCCGGCGCCCAGAAACCGCGAAACCGCCGCCGCGGTTTGACAGGTCTCCGAAAAAAAGGATCTTTATAATGTTGTTTGTCCATTTGAAACATTTGGCATTTTTTCAGCAAATAAAGTTGGAGACCACCATTGACAAGTTGCAATGTTCTGGTGTGTAATGTCTGGATCCCTGTTTGCCGCTGTTTGACGTTGAAAAGAGACGAGAACCCCAAAAGGGAACTGGGTGTGAGTGGTTTTTTCCCCGACTGCTGAAAGCTACTGTGGATGGTTGCGAAATCCATTTCGCACCACTCTGAATCTATGGTTGAACCCATTGTTTGTTGGTTTTTGTAGGGGAATCGATTCATTCATTTGGGTTTCTGAACGGTGGTGCGAAATAGATTTTGTCCATCCACAGTATGGGGTCTCTGCCCAATAATCTCCGAATTGGTTCGGGGCAGCTTTCGGGATTGTTCCGGAGATGCCCGAGCTGAATTTCTTGAGAGTCGCCCCATGTTTTTGTTTTTTTTTGTCTACAGCTGAAAGCTTTGGGGTCTCAGCCCAGATTGGCTCCGGGGGTGTCCGGGGCAGCCCTGAGGTAAGGTTCCAAGGGTTCCACCAGGGATCCACCAGGGATCCACCAGGGTTCCAAGAGGGTTCCACGAGGTTCTGCGAGGGCTGCACTAAAAAGAGCACCGCATGCTGTTGAACATATCACCTCAGCTTATTTGTTTTACGGAACAAGGGAAGCCACCCATCTGAGGATTCCGGTTCCTATTTTGACACACACACACACAAAAGGGAAACAGAAAGGAACATCCTTTGGGGGGGAGGCTCCCGTTTGAGACAGATACGGGGATGTGTTTGTGTGTGTATTGCATGCGTGTTTCTCGGAGGGCACCGAGGGAAACCCCAAAAAAAAGTCGAGGGTTCGATTTTGGCACATGAAACACAACCCCCCTTAACAAATCACTTTGTATCAGCCAAAAGCTGGTGTTTAAACTTACCCAAAGGGTAAATGCAGGTAACACTGAAAGATATTGGAGCGTGTCTTTTTCTTTGGGGCCCCAAAATGGTGGTGAGCTCCTTTTGGTTTTCCTTTCAAGCAACCCCAGCAACAGGGAACCCTTCGCCTCAAAGAAAGATGCACCTCCAACGAGGGACAAGTGGCTCCAATCCAGGGTTCATACGAGTAAGTCAACGGCATTTTTAGGAGGGGATTTTGAGGTATGGAGATGATATACGACTTACATAAGGGGTATATACTGCCTTACAACAAGTTTGATGGTATACAAGCATCCATACAGTGGATGAGCTGCTGGTGCAGGATTTTGTTGATTCAGAGTAACTGCCTCCAAAGTCTATACCTGGAAATGTCGCCTTCAACCACTGCGGATGGACAAATTCCTGCGGTTGGTGGGTGGTTTGTCCCAGTATTCATGCCAACTGCCCTAAGGATCCCAACTCTTTTCGGGGCGTCGTTTTGCATCGGGCCCTCAGGGACAGAATGGCGAGGGGCCATAGAAACACGACCCCTCGTAGCGAGGGCCCCGGCTGCTCCGGGTCTGCAACCACTATCGATCATTCAATAACAATCGCTTTTATTGGCCCGCACACCGTCCTGGCCGGCAAACAAAAGATTCAGTTGCCACGGACAAGTCGGTAAGCCCAAGCATGTCCTGGCAAACACAGATCTCGGACGGCTTTCCGACATCTGCTTTCCGACGGCGTTCTCACTCATGCTGGCATTCCGCGGTTTCTGAAAACTGTCCGACGGCTTTCCGACGGCTTCCCGGCGTTTCTGATGGCTTCCCGACGCTTCCGACGGCTTCCCGACGTCTTCCTGACGTTTCCGACGGCTTCCCGACGTTTCCGACGGCTTCCCGACGTTTCCGACGGCTCCCTGATCTTTCCGACGGCTTCCCGACGTTTCCGACGGCTCCCGACGTTTCCGACGGCTTCCTGATCTTTCCGACGGCTTCCCGACGTTTCCGACGGCTTTCCGACGCTCGGGCCCTCGCGGGCCCTCGGTTTGCCTAGTTTTGAGGGCCCAAGCGTTAGCTTCCCGACGTGTTTCCGACGCCAGACCTTGACGCGTGCCGTTCTAATCGGCACTCAACTGGCCCATAAATACAAACTGTGACTTTACGCCATTGCAAGCCAATAGCAGCGACAGCGCGTAACCAAAGGAATTTTGCAGGGCTCATGGGCCTGTCAGACACACGCACAAACAAGCAAAGTCAGCAACCTTTTGGCAAACACGGGATAACACGGGACTCCTGCCAAGAAGCTGTGAAATACCAAGCAAGTGAAGACACATCACCAGCCCACAAGTACATCCGAAACAACAGGTAACGCGTTAGCGATAACACTGTGGACTCAAGCCGCCCAGCCTTCACCCATAGCGCCTGGCCTTTTTTTACAATTATCTGAAAAACGGATTTTTGTTCTGCGCAGGGGTGTCGTTGCGGCCAGTGGCCAGTTGGGTTTCAGACCTTGTCGCGTGCGCTCAAAACGGGTCTGGGCCCCCGGGGCGTCGAACTGTGAACTGCCAGAGCCCCGGAACGTCGTCAGCAGGGTATTTAGGCCGGACCCTTTCAATGCACATCCCGACCCTTCCAATGCACATACCAAAGAGCCTTAGGGTGGTGCGACACGGGTGTTGTCAATCCACAGTAGGGTTCGGGTTCTACATTTAGATTTTGGAACTATTGTAGAATTTGCCGCTGCATTGTGGCCAGTCAAAACATCACTTTTGACAGCTAGTTCAGAGGATCCCCTTGTAAAGCAAGTAATTGTAAACGCTTCGCGTTGCCCGCCTCGGCCCAGCCTAGTTTGAGGGAAGGGTCAGGAACACCGAAATCCAGTGTTGGGAAGGTCCGAATACCTGAAGCTGGCTCCAGACAAGTCAGACAAGCCGGCCTCGCCTGGTTGGGCTGGGCCACAGGCTAGTCTCAGACACATCAGATAAGCCTGCGCTGGGCCTGAAGCTAGTCTCGGGCAGCTTGGCTGGACCTTGCTTGCGTGGGTTGTTGGTTGAGCTGGGCCTGAAGCTAGTTTACGGCGGGCTGGGCAGCCGCACTGAGGGGGCTGGGGCTGGGCCTGAGGCCGGCTTGGGTGGGGTTGGCTTAGGCGGGTTGCTGGTTGGGCTGGGCCTGAAGCTAGTCTCAGCCACGAGGCTGCGAAGCCATGGGTGGCTGCTGGGCAGCCGGACTACGCTGTTGGTTGCGCCTGGAACTTCGGCTGGGCGGGCTGGGCTGAGCTGTGCTTGGGCGGGTCGCTGGATGGGCTGAGGCTGGGTAGCGAGTTGCTGGCTGAGCTGGGCCTGAGGCCAGTCGCAGACACGTAAGACACGCCAGCAGGCGGGCTGAGGGACTGGGCCTGGGCAGGCTGGGCTGGGCTTGCTGGATGACTTGGGGCCGTGCTTGGGCTAGGCCTGTTTCAGACAAGCTTGGGCCTGAGGCTGGGTGGGCTGGGCTGACAGGCCTGGCCAGCAGGCGGGTTGCTGGTTGGGCTGGGCCTGAGCCTAGTCTCAGACACGTCAGACAGGCCTGGCCACGAGGAGGTCATGCCTTTCAGGAACAATTGTCAGCACATGTTCGACAAAAAATGGACCCACGGCGACGAACCCCGAAAATTTCAAGGCCCGCCGGACAGGATTTTGGGCCAGCCGACATGGGTGGGGGGGCTCTTTGGAGAAGAGATCTGAGCGTTTTTGCCTATCCTTAGAAAAAGAACCCCGGTCGAGCTTGCCCATCATGAATCATGCTCCTTCAATTTCTTCAGATTACGTGTTTTTGTCCCCGAGCTTGGGAGAATCCTAGCTGTGGCGCTGAAGAAAGTCCGATGCGGGGGGCCCCCCAGAAGCTTGACCTCCAAAACCCATACCTCCGCCTAATTCTTGGCAAGCTCACCTGGTTGGTAGTAAAACGAGCTCACCATGATAAAGATCCTTTACATGGGGATTCCGTATTTTGGGTTTTGGAAATATTGTACGATTCGCAACCTGAAACTGCCCTTGACTAGAGTCGTCCTGCTAGGGTATCCGGCATGTGAATCTTCTTGGTGTTTCCCACCATTGAGAGGGCAGTTTCGAGGATGCCTAACACGCCGAGCACTGGGCATCTCCTAACTTGAAACCTGCGCAGCCGAGGTTCAGCAAAAAGTTCCCAGACATCGACCCGAACGACTTGAATGATAAGCCGCTCGCGTATCGGAGGGATCCGATCCGACTCGACGGCGGTTTCTTTTGAACGTTTTGGAGCCTTCGACGTTTGCGAGGTTCAACGGCACCCATTTAAATGACGATGTCCTTGGTTGCTCGTTGGTACGCCCGAAAAGAAAAAACAACTTGAACACGTGTTTGTATGTGGTATGTTTCCTTTTGAAACAACAAATTGCCCGGGTGGTATCCCCAACATCAACTCTGGAACCCGAACACTAAAGCGCTCGGAGCCGCTATGAAGCACTCCGGAGTCTATCTGGGCAGAGACCCCGAAGCTTTCAGCTGCCAAAAACCTCCTCATATTTAAGGTCAAAGGCTCCCAGGGGTTCATTAAAGTGGTATGCATGTTGGTGGGGTTCTCATGTTTTTCTTGTTTTTGTTTCCCTTGAACCGACAAGGCTACTTGAGATGCGGCTGAAACGGACCCACGTTAAAGAGAGCATATGCTCCGAACCCTTAGCCTTAACCAATTCCCCTGGTTCCCTGATTGCATCCAATGGCCTGAAAAGGCCTTGTTGGAGTTGTGTGATTCGGGGGAAACAAGGCAGAAGGGGGAAGCAAACCATCCCTGCAGCTTGGATATTACTTATTATTGTTTTTTTGTTTCTGGCGTGTGCTGCTTGCCTCGCTTGCCTGTTGCCTCCCTTGCACAAAAGGCATCCACCTTGTTGAGATAAGCCATATGCTTAAGGTGATAACTTTGTTTGTTTGTTTTTAAGGGACGTTGTCATTACGTAGTCAATATGTTGATGCTTGGTGCAGCTGCAAATGCAAGCCTAGCTAATCCCTGGACAAGGCCCTTTTAGGAACTATCGGGCAGCGAGGGTTGGTCACAACAAACTGTTCACGTTTTCATTGTGTCTACCTGGAGTCTCAGTAACCCATTAAACATGGGGTCATGACCCCATTTTGGGTAGTGACCCACCATTTTTAAGGGGTCCTTAGGGAGACTCCAGGTAAAGGAACCAGGGGACCGTTCAACGCCACAACTTCGCTGCCAAACCAGCGGCTCCGAACCAGCTCCTTGAAGGGAAACTGCGCGGTCAAATTTGGCTGTGGCTCAAAAAAGTGGAATTCCAAAATGGCACCAAAATGTCTGCGGGTTTTGAGCAAGTGGCTCAAATGACGATTCCTGAGCACACTATTTGCAGTAGAGTCCCCTAGTAACATGAAGTGGTAAGTGGAACCAAAGACTAAAACCTGCGTAACCCTGGCTCTTAAACTTTGAGCCACACCCATTTGTTGACACATACTCCTTTTCCATCCGCTCACGGACTTTGTGAGCTGCTTTTGTTCCCCCTTTTTTGTTGCAGGGGGGTTGCTTTCAGATGAACCTGAACCAACCAAAGAAAAAGGGATGTCCTTCTTTTTTCATGGCAAGTCAGCCTTGCAAACTTGGTGTGGGATGGAAGACTTCGGCAAAGCAGCGCAGTCTCTGCTTCTAGTCTCCGATTCGGAGTTGCCAAGATCCGGGTCTCGCCCAGTTTTCCCACATGAGAGGGACACTCTTTAGAATTCCCAGAGGCTCACTACTTTTTTCGCTGCCCTGGTGCAGGGAACCCTTAGTTAGTGGTCTGGATTGGTTCACCAATCCCTGGCCCCAATTAGACAGAAGCCGGCTTGTGGTTTTCAAAGAGGGGCTGTTCCATCGAGAGGTTGGCGTGTGAATTTTTGGCGTTAGGCATGTGGATTGTAAAGGCTTCACTACTCAAAGTACGCCGTCTTTTCTGAAGGGTATAGTTTGGATAGCCAGGTTTTCCGTGGTAAATACTCAGGGGTTGACATCATACCGAAACACACGTGGGTGTTACTTGAGTGTTCGGCCAAGTTTGTAAGTTGTTGGTAGAATCGAACACCCAAGTAAGGCCTTCCGGATTATATAACAAATGTGTCCATTTATGTCCCCTGTTGGTTCTAAAGGGAATCTATCACTGTTCGAAATATGTGTTTGTAGTTGTTGCTTTTTACTCTCAACGGGCGTACCTCACGAACGGCAGATGTGCGAAAAAGGCTTTGCCGAGGTTTTTCGGGTTCCAGTCCACCCACGCGAGTCGGCTGGGATCTGGCGATGTGAAAAAGTGGCCTGCCGCCTGGCTGCAAGCTGCCCGCCCGGTCTCATTCACGGCCGAGACCGATCCATTGGCTTTCCCTAGAGTCTCCTGACCCCTAGAAAAAGGGGTCAGAATCCCTTAATTTTGGGTACTGACCCCATTTTTCAAGGGTCATGGAGACTCCATGGCTATGTTGTCGCACCTTTGGACTTTAACTTGGTTGAAACAGTGGACAGTGGATGTTCCATTGCACCCAGAAACAGAGGGGTCAACAAGAACCAAGTTTGCTCACTCCCTTCCTCTAACCGTACCTTGACCATTCTCTTCAGCTTTTCCGAGCCGTATCCCTTTTTGGAACGACCAAAAGTGGCGTTCATGTCAATGGAAGCTGCCAGCAAAGTGGAATTTTGGTGGGGAAATCCAGTGATCCTGTTATTTTTAGGAATCCTTCTCTTCACAAGTTTGCCCCTGAAAAATGGGTGGTTTCTAAAGAGAACGATGGTTGAAGAGCACCGGAATCAATCTCTAGATCCCTGAGTTACTGGACTTAGTCACGTTTTGGTGTGGACCATTTCTGCAATTTGAGTGTTAAACAAATCCTGAACCTGTTTGGCCAACCCACTTAAGAAATGAGGTTGCTTTCCTGGCTGCTTTGTGCTTGGACGGATCGCACATGACCAGGGCTCGGTAATCTATTTCACCACACCAACAGATCGCAAACTGGATCGCAAATTCACTGTTGTTGGCATATATTAGGTTTGTTTTTGTTGGTTCTGTTCATTTTTACTAGGCTGCTGCTACCATAGCGGGGGTTGGCCATGCTAAGACTTGCTTCTTCAGAATAGTCGACACCGAACATCTTGCTTTCTTGGGAAGCAAGGTGTACTTTTCGGTTCAACCTTTGACCCTTTGCTTCCTCGGCTTTTTTTTTTGTTTGTTTGCCTGTTGGTTTCCCTGTTGGCCCATATTCAGCTACGGTTCCAAAGAGTGATCTTCGATTTGCCCAAGTTTGTCTTTAGTGTATTAGGTGTATATATCTATATATATATATATACATATTCCCCGCTTGGCTTTAAAGGGAATCTATCATTCCTGGGATTATGTGGTTCTAGGGGACTTGGGCAAATGGAGGTGATTAAGCTTATTTTATGACCCGACAGTTTCCCACTACTGAGGATGGACGAAATCTGTTCGTACCATTTTGAAATTTATGGGAACCCATTGTTTCTTGGTATTTGCAAGATAATCATCCCAAACCAGGGTTTCTGAACGGTGGTGCAGGATTTGTCAGAATGAATCCAGCAGGTCATTTATCCGGGGTCTACATCATCTCGCAAACAGCTAGGTTTTTGTTAGGGTCAAGTATATACCGGCACGTTCCAGCCCAACCGAGTGGCACCCGTGATTGAATTGTGGATGTTCTTAGTGGACCAACAAGAATACGGCTTTCCTTTTACCCATACCGGACTAGAGGGCTGTTTGTGGATGAACGGACGAATACCAGGGTATTGTTGTTTGATGGTCTATCGGTTTTGCAGATTCGTGGCAGGGTTGTCAAATCTCAACGGCAGTCTGTTGGGCATGAAGCATCAAACGACGTCGTGTTTGAAAAAACGGGCTAAACTGTCCTTCCAATTGCTTAAGAGTATGTTTTTTTGAGCTGATTTTGCACGGATTCTATCACTACTAAATAGTAGATTTTGCACATCGAGTCCATGTGGGTTTGTCTCAAAATAGGAGAACCTCCCCCCCCCCCAAAAAAAAAAGGAAAACATAGATGTTTCCGGGTTTCCAGGAGCTCCCCAAAAAGAGAGAGGTTTCCTCTTGGTTTCCGGGTTTCCAGGAGAACCCTCCACAAAATGAGTAGCATCCGCTTGGTTTCCCTACCCACCACGGGTCCCCACGGGCCTGAGTGACGCATAGGAGATGTACCGCTCGGAGGACTTCAAGATCCTCACGCGCGCCCCGCGGCCCAAAACGAGACCTCGACGTCGTGTTCCGAAAGGCCTAAGGCTCAGCACCCAATGGACCCCAACCCACCATTGGCTTAGGACCAATGGTCGACCAGCTCGGCGCCCTTCAACTTTACCTCTTTTTTTGTTGGGTTGGGAGGGATCCCCTACTCATTTGTTAAGGAATACTGGCTCCCCCAGCTAGGTGCCCTTCTTAACTTTTTTTTGGTTGGGAGGGTTCCCCAAAATAGATGATTGTGCTAACCTCTCTACTGGAGGACCTAGAATAGGTTTGATTTGACCTGTTGGTTTCAAATGGAATCTATCATTACTGGAAATATATTTGGTTGTGGCTCAAATTAAAGAGCTGGGGTTACGCAGGTTGTAGTCTTTGGTTCCATTTACCTTTTGGTGCCATTTTTGTACATGTTGAAATGACCCACAGCCATTTCATGTTACTAGGGGACTCTACTGCAAATAATTTGCTTAGGAATATTCGTCGTTTGAGCCACTTGCTCAAAACGCGGGGATTGGAAATCCGGTTAGCAAGGGACGATCCCGTTGCCATAGCTGCAGCTGCGGAGATCCGCCTTAATCCTTGAAGCACGGTGCCTGGAAACCAATCAATAGAACTCCTCTCTCAAGCCAACAGGCGAACATGAGGAAGATTTCTAGCCCAGAGGCTCCTGATTTGGGCTTCGGCTTTCAATGGAGGACCCGACCCCGAAGCATTGGACACCCCGAAGGTGGTTGGGGGTCTCAAAACCAGGTTGTTTGAAGGCCCTAAAACCGGTCGCTATTAAAATGCTCGTAATCCCCTAGGCAAATGGAGGCAACCCTTCCAAGCAGGCATGTCTTTCCAAGCTGGGATTTGTTTTGAATTTCTTTTATGCTTGGTTTATGGATCAGAACCCAAAGTTGAATTGGGAGCTGAGGTCACGGTGAGATCAATCTTGGTCTACGGGTGTCCCCGCACCTCGGACCTCTCTTTGAAGAGGTCATTTTCTTCGGTGAGTCTCCTTCTGATCGTCTCGAACTCACTTCCTCAGTTCCGTTTCGGACTTTAGTCACTCTTCGAAAGTTTGGTCGCCATTTTAATGGAAAACACAAAGCTTAGACTTTTGTTGGACCATCAACTCAGGAAGTGAGTTGAAATAATGTCATGTCCTAGAACTCTCCATGGACCAGGAGCTGAACATGTCTGATATTTTGTTCATGTGCCCCAGTCCAAGCTGCCGGAGGTCCACCATTGGTTGTTGGATGTGTGTAGGGATTTGAACGGGTCCCGGGAAAAAAAAACATGGTGGTCATCATTTAGGGAATGTATGCCCACCGCCCACTCAGGGGGGCTACCCTCCCATCAGTTAACATGGAACCTGGAGAGGAAGTCCTGGAAGACCATTTTCCTTTTAAATGGACCCCCTGTCAGATTCCATGTTAGTGGGAGGGTACTCTTCCATTTTCAGTTCAAAATGGTGGTTATCATTTGCCCACCGGCCACTCAGGTGGGTTCCTCTTCAATTTTCCCTTTCCCTCGCGTCGCGCGTCCGCGCGGCGTCTTTGACGACGGGAACGGCAGACCGGCCCTGAGGTCATGGATGGCGCGCTGAGGGGCTTTCTGGAGCGCACCGGCGCCGCCGCCACGGAGGCGTGCCCGCCGCGCAGGTTTTAAGCAAAATGAGCCTGGATCCTCGAAGTACCCGTTAAAGAAAAATGGCCATTTGCTGGGTGGGTCTAAAGGCTAGGTCCCCCAGATAGGTGCCAACTTGTACCAACATTTTTGGCTGGGAGGGTTCTAGCTGGGAGCTTATCGGGCCTGGACCCTCGCAGTACCCGAGGAACAAATGGAATTCGCCTGGGTCATTATTTTGACGGTTTCTGGGGGTTATCAAAGTCAGAAAATGGTTGGGTGTGTCCATTTTGCCCACTTAGGGGGTGACTTTGACCATGGTAGAATAATGAGGCCAGTATTCACCCACCAGAATTGTGGGTTGCAATCATCCATTTTTAAGGTAAACAATTCCATGGGTTCCTTCCTGGAGGCCCAGTTACATGCAGAATTCTGTGCTCGAAGTCTTTTCGCAACAACAAGAGGGAGCGTCGGAGCCGTTTTTAGGAGCGGACGAGTTGGCGCTAGTGCAGCATCTGGAATTGGGCTGGCAATTCCGCGCGGAGTTGCACCCGAATTGCGCCGAATTTCCACGTCGGGTGCGGAGGTTGATTTGTCGGGCGGCAAGTCTCAGCTTTCCCAGACATCCAGTTTGGTTCCGCGCCATGTTTCTTCGTTGCTTGGAATGAGTGGCACATGTCAACACCTCGCGAGGATGTCTGTGTGTGCTTGCTATCGTTTTCTGACACAACAAATACTTCTTTGATTTGGACTTTGGGATGTTTGGCGATGGATTTCTCATTGGAAGTAGGGGAACACGGAAGCTTCTGATCCGTGATCCACCCCTGGTTCTGTCTGGTTGGTTCACTCATGGCATGGGCATCCACCTCTTTTTTTTGACGTTCGGTGGTCCAGGCACCCCGGTTACTTCTGAAGCCGGGAACCGGTTCCCCTCTGGAGGGTGATGGGAAGGGCATGTTAAGCCAACCATGAGAAGTGGCTCACCTGCCTTTCGAGGACACCGATTGCAAGGGAATGGGACAAGTTCCAGAGGTGAACCCCTGAAAAGCAAACGAGTTCAGTTGAAGTTCCATTTGCTCAATGTGGTTTTCTTTTTTCCGCGATGTTCTCCGCTGTAGCCAATACCCACTTTTTCAGGGTCCTGATGTCAACCACTGACTGAAAAGGGCAGTATTTACCACGGACAACCTGGTTGTTCAACCCATCGACATACCCCAGAAAGCAGCGGCTTGGGGATTTGATCCCAATTCCTTTGGAAACCAGATGGGAAAGGTACCCCAGGTCTAAACCTTCAAGGGAAAACCATTGAGAGTTAGAGGGCCGTGGGCACCTAGGCGTCTGACTACGATCTGGTGTGCTCTGGCAGCAAAGGCGATGAGTCTGCCCGCCTTCCTGGGCTTCTAACAAATTTCGGGTTTTCGGCCAGTTTGGAGGCAAACAAACAGTTCAAATGGGTGTGGCTCAAAATCAAAGAACCGGGGTTACGCAGGTTTTCCTTTTTTTTGAGCCACAGACAAATTATAGTCCAGGCCCAAGCAAACATAACTGTTTCTGGCCACCTGGGGTCTCCATGACCCCTTACAAATCGTAAAAATGGTTGGCCATTGCCCAAAATCATGGGGTCATGACCAACCATTTTTTAAGGGTCCAAAGCGAGACTCCAGGCAGTTCTTTTAGGGGGTCACTGCTAAGTGAGGCTCTGGGCTGCCGTATACCCCGGCAACGGCGGCCGACATGGGCAGCGCGGCCAGAGAGCTCGAGCCGTGTGACACCTGGAAAGGCCCCCCCGCCCCAAAAACAAAAGCCCAACTAGGCCCCCCAATAGCGCCAGTAGTGCCCTTTTGCCATTTACCCTTTTTTGGTTGGGAGGGTTCCCCTACTGAAATAGACTACTGGTGGTAGACAAAGAGTTTCGACATTTTCTGGCCCATCCACTCGATCGGAAGTGGGTTTTTCGAGGCTCCCTGTTCAGGTTGGTTTTAAAGGGAAACCAAAAGGACACGACTCAATATAGGGGCGCCTTTGACATACCGTGGATGGACGAAATCCTGCACCAGTTTGAAACCATGGTTAAAGCCATTGTTTGGTGGTATTTTCAGGGAAAACATAAGAACCCAGGGTGTCTGAACGGTGGTGCGAATTGGATTGCGCAACCATATTTGTGGGGCAAAAGCTGAGAGTGAAAGTTGAGGCCTGGGGCTATGAGATTTTTGCAGAAGAAAACGATTCGGGATTTGTTCCACAGGAATTCTGTCTCCGAAATTATATGTTTTTGAATGTGGGCGGCTGTCGAATCATAATCTGAACATAATTTTGTGTGTGTACCCCAGAAGTGGCTAAGTTGATCTTTGCGTTCGTCCCCTTTACTTACCAACACAGAGGAATTTGTGCCATCTACATTCATCCTGGTGTAAAGCGAGCTCGCCAACGATGAAGGTGTTTTATGGGCGGGGTAAGGTGCCTTACTGCGGTTTTTAAACCGTATTCCATTTGCCCTGTACTGCAGTCAATCGACCTGCATGCTGGAAACTACTAGAGATGCTCAAACTTCTGGGGATGGTTTCGGACCAATACAAAGGTCCCTTGTCAGGGAACCATTGCCCGACACTTTGACAACTTTCACCATTGCGCGTGTGGGTTTTTTGATTGTGGGGTTTTTTGGGAACCCCCTTTTGGATTTGTTTTCAAGGGAAACCAATGGAACATCATCCATGCGGGAGGAGTTCACTAATTTGTACAAAATCTTTACAGGTCCTTTGGACACCTTGGCTTCTGAGCAGACCTTCTCCTGCATCGGCGCTTCCAATACAAACGGGTTCAAGACTCATTGGAGGGTCGCCGCAGGGTGCACCCTCCAAGCGTCTTTTTTTCAAGGGGTATATGTCGAAGTGGTAAAGTCCTATATGTGTAGTCAAGGGTGGACATGTTCTTGCTTGTCCCATACCGAACTTTCAAACCGCCCAACTGTAGTATGATAGCACAATGGAGATGATCATTATATAGATTTCAGGCCGCTTTTTTTTTCACCCAGTGGTGGCTGTTTTTGCCCTGAGGTTGAACTTGAAGCAGCTGGATATTAATCTGTAGGCAGAGGCTAAACCGGAACACATGGTAGTGTTAGGTTGTGATTATTTAACAACAAGAACACAACATACTGCCATAGGAATTGTCCCTGAAGATGCAGATGGGTCTGTTTTGATGTGAGGGTGCCCTTTTTGAGGTGCTTCAAAGACAAAGCAAAGGGAAAACGATGCAAAATTGTCGGGGACCCCTGCTTTAAGATGCGCGGATACCTGAGGGTCTCACTTCCTGAGTTCCTGGACTTGATTGGCCAAATTCGCTCGGTCGGAAGTGAAGGAGAGAGCTCCAGTGACCCCTGCTTGGCTGCTATGGGGTTGGATCTTGTGGATTTTCTACAAAAATCCACACACAGTGTTTCACTTTTTGCAGGGGGGTCGTTGCAGCATCCAAGGCCAGTGACCCCTGAGTTGACCCCCTCAATTGACTGCGCTTCGCAGGTATCACGTGCATCAGGGCTCCGCCAGTAGCTGCGTGCTCTACGCCAAAGTTGCAGGCCGGCATCGCACGGGTGGGTTTGAAGCAACGCAACTCTACTGCTATTGGGTTGGATCTTTAGACTTTAACTTGTTGGATTCCCCTCATATTTCCTTTTAACCAGCAAAAAGTGTAACTTTTCGCCAGGGGATCTACAGCACCCAAGGTAAGGGGAAACGGATCTTGGTGGTTCCCAGCTGTCTATTTTTGAGGCTTTAATGGTTGCGTTTTCATTTCATAGAAGTGAATCTGAAAACGGACAGCCCAGTGATCCATTTTTCTCGGGTCTCCTCAAAACAACCTGATTTTATATTTAGACCAAGTATGGACCAACATCCAGGCTTTTGGTTCGTAGGAAATCAGGACATCGTTGGACTGGGGTTTGGGAACGCACTCTTTGAGTATTCCCCAAGTTTGTAGAGGTGTTTCCCTCGTTCCCTACTAAGCACGTTTCGGGCTTTGGCTCCGCTAGACAAACCTGGGCCGTGGAGCCTGGCAGCTTGGGACTCCGGGACCTTTCGCCTCGAGCCATGAAGGTTGCAACGAACGCTTTGAACCGCTCAGTTGCGTTTTAGGATATTAGTTGTTTTTCTCTGTTGGTTTTAAAAGGGAACCGATTTCACTACTACTACTACTACTACTACTACTACTACTACTACTACTACTACTACTACTACTACTACTGACACTAATGTCTGATTTTTTTTGTCCCAGGAGACTCTTCTGCCAATGGAAGAACCGTGGCCTGAAAAGGGCAAGCGCCCTTTCATTAGTTGGGTTACAGATTCCCCTTCTTGGGAAGAAGAGAACAGCCCGGCTCAGCCATTTGTTCAGCTGGTTGCCCTCGTTCCCTTTGAAGGGAGACCAAGGAGTTACAAGCAATACTCAGTTGTTCAGTGGCTCCCGCTTGCCCTTTTTTTTGGTGGCTGCCCCACTAAAATGGTCTTCCCAAAAAGGTTTCCCTTTTTTTCCAGGGTCACTGAACAACTGAGAATATATTGGCACATGAGTATCCCCTACTCCAAGTACCCATGACTTAATGAGGTGTTTGCCATGCAAAACCGGATTCTTGAAGATATGACAACGAAAGAATGCCGAGTATGTGGAGCGTTCAGGCGGGTGTTGCCATGAGCATCCGAACCCTCTCCACGTAACTCTCCTGTTGATGGTCGGAGATGTGGGTTTCCTGCCCCACAACATCCGAGTTCGTTTGGGAAGACCATTTTAGTTTTGTAGATGAACAGTTTGGACTTCTTGCCCAATGCGCTCGATCCGAAGTGACATATACCTGTAGGGTGTGGAGTTGACATCCTGCAGGTATTTGGAGGTTGCAGGAGGCTTTAATCAGTGACCCTGGTAGAGCAATAGGAGCCCTTTTGGGGTTGGTGCCAAACAGCAGGGTAGAACATGATTCTCCTGAATGCGCAGGCGGAAATCCATTTAGCTTCATTTACGTCCATGCAACTTCAGATAAATCCACATAGCCTTTAAAACACTTGCTCAAAACCACTTACATCCATCAACCACTTACTTACCTGAAGTCTCCATGACCCTTTGAACATGGGGGTCATGACCCCATTGTTTTGGGGTAATGATCAACCATTTTTAGGGGGTCCTTAGGGAGACTCTAGGTACCTCCATCTGCATCCAGACGCCCACCTAAATCCAACCTCAGTTGCTCAGTGGCTCCAATTCTTTTTCCAACTTTTTGTTTGGTGGCTGCCCCACCCCAAAAAAGGGTTCCCTTTTTCTTTTTTTTCCCCAGGGTCACTGAACAACTGAGAATTGGTTGATGACAATCCAGAACCGTAACAGTTACTGTGGTTGTATCAACCCAACGGTTGTATCAACCCAACAACTGAGAATCCAACCGACGGGGCGCTTCGCTTCGGAGGTGCCTCCACGCCCATCAGCTTCATCGATCCCCGGGGCGCGCCGCCGGTGGCAGATGCTCGGCGTGGATCGGAGCGGATGGGATCGGCGGGATGGATGGAGGCGACCTCGATGGAGGCTGCGTCTTTCTTTTTTTTTCTCCGGGTACCCGGAGCCTCCCTAAGGACCCCTTAAAAATGGTTGGTGATTACATGACCCCATTTTTGAAGGGTCACGGAGACTCCAGGTAGCGCCAAATCGCTTTGGAGGCGTGAGGGTGTCCTTTTGATCGGTTTGTGTGGTTTATGATATAGACAATTCGCACTGGTTTAGATGAATCTTGTATTCCATTGACCATGGAAACCCATGTATGTTTCCAAAAGGACACCTATGTTTCGAGGTGGTTACCCTTGAAATTCAGTTCGCCATGGGGGTGTCTTTTTTGGAGTTGGTACCCTTTTGGTGGCTTTAATTAATGGGAACCCAAGAAGACACCCACGATATTATTAGGTCGGTCCCTTATGCAGAAAGAAAGCCACAGGGGTTCATTACCTTCCATTTGCGGTTCCGCATATGCTTTATTTTCACCCGTTGGTTCAAAAGGGAGTCTTTGCAACTGGAAGTAAGTGGATTTCATTATATTCGAGGGTCAGTTCGTTTTATTCGGGGGTTGTGTTGGGGAATTTAGTGGGCCCATTCTTGCATTTTGAGGTCACAGCCATGCCGCCCCATGTAGCCTGTTGGCTTGCAGTGAAGCACATGGAACTGGCAAATACGCGCTTGAAAATGGAGAACATGATTGAGGTACTTGTCGCTTATATACGGTGCTTCTCCAGCCCGTGCGGCTAGGTCGAGCAAGTTTGGGCACTTAAGGTTGCTTCGGCCCCTAGCGCCTCAACCGGCGAATTACTGCTGCCCAACCAGGCTCTGTGAAGGATATCAGCTTCACACTGTCAACCCTGCAGCCGTCTAGCCACACCATTGCAGTTGAAAATGCTTTTCAAAAACCGCCCACGAGCCAGTCTTTAAGGTGTATACTAATTCAAGACGCCAACTGCCTGCAGCTGAGAAAAGCAACGGGGTCAAGCAACTTGCTTTACACTTAGCAGTATTTGCAAGCATTGCTTGCGCCAACTTCTTCCTGCAACACGCTGAGATCCAAGGCACAGTGAGAATGGGAAGGGTTTTGTTCGGGTTCAAAAGCTTTTGCTGCGGGGCGAGTGCCGATGTGATAGGGGCAACTGCTTCAACAAGTTTGCTGCAAAGCCAGGCCTAAAAGCAGAACTGAATTCCTTCCTGAAAATGTTCTAGGATATAAAACCTGCTCAAGACTTTCACGAAGGAACCTTAGCTTGGATCTTTCCTGCGCAAAAAAATACACATAATCCCTTGAGGCACCCCGACCCCTCCCTGAAATCCACAAGTTCGTGCGGGAAGTCACCATTGCCAAGCTCTAGACCAGCGTTTCCAGCGCATTGGGGCGGTTCCTTTGATTGAAGGGTTAGGACCATGTTTCAAACATGTTGGCCTGTGCAACTCCACCCCCCCCGGCCCCCAAGGTTCACAAAAGGAAGCCAGTGAAGCACATAAAGCTCGACATATTCTTCATGAGTCTGTATGCTTCCCAACAAGTGTGTTGTCCAATGCAGCAAGAATCAGGCAAAACACTAAGGTTCCAAAAGCTGCCCGATCTCGCAAACCGACACCAGAGGTGGTGAATGTGGCGAAACCGTGTGGATAATGGAAAGTGGATATGAGTGTCATGGGTTGTCAGGGCACAACCTTTTTCAGCTAGCCTAATCTACCGCTCCCCCCCCCCCGAGTTGCCGAAGATTTAGAGGTTTCAAAGAAGAACCTGGATGACGATGAGTGATTTGGCCACTCGAACTTGTGCCAAGGCTAGCAGAACCAAATTTTGGGTGCAATTTCGAGACCCTTCGCACCAGAAGCCTGCCACGGGGAAACCTGAAAATGCTGCATTCTCAGTGTCCACGCAAAGTGGGGCTGCTTGGCTGCTTTGCTTTGGCTTGGCCTCTTCATGATGCGCGGGTTATAGGTGAAGCAGTGCCAAGCTTTCCGGCGTGTGACACGTGCGCCTACTGCAAACAAATTTGTGGGAACTGTTTTCTAAAGGTCGGTGTTAACGAGTCAGTTGGGTTGCTTGACGTGCCGCTGAGGACTCTACATCGAAATTCGAGCGGCCAGGGCCTACACGCGCCGTCTCGATAAGATTGCAGCTGAAAGGAGCTTGGAAGAAATCTTCCGGGCACAGCGTTTGCTTTGGCTTAGAAAGTGTTGCGATGGTCACTCTGCAGCCAAACGCAGGCCATGAGGCCATTGGACTATCCCTTGCTCCCCTATGCGTTCGCAGGGTTACTTGGCTATTGCAACAATGCTTGCATAGCGCTGCGGAGACGCAGCCCAGCTTTGGACATGCTGCTATTTTCTCACCCGCAGCACTGTGAGGGTTTCGTGCTTTTACTACGCTGTGTTTGCGCCGCCGCCTCCTCTTCCGTCCTCGACGTCCTCATTCACTCAGTCTCACCCGCCCACCTGTGCTGAGCCACTCATTCTTTCTGAACCGCCCTCACTCACTCATCGTAACTTCTCACCTACCCATCCGCACTCACTGACTCTCAGTCGCTCATTCTCAACTAGTCTCACTCATACATTCCCGCTCCCTCATTCTCGCTCGCTCTTTCTCACTTGACTCACTCATTGAAAAATGCATTCTTACTCACTCAATCTCATGCGTCTCACTCTTGCTCATTTCCGCTCACTCAGTCTGACATTAGTCATGAGTCACGCTCACTCCTTTTCACTCATTCTCCCTCGTTCTCACTCCTTCTCACTCCTTCCCCTCCACATCACGCATCACCTCCCGTGCCTTTAGCATCGCCTATCCCTGTATTTCCGCACTTGAGCACTGAAAAAAGAGCGGAGGGAAGGAGTGAGCGAGCGAGTGAGTGAGAATGAGTGAGTGAGTGAGTTTGAGGCAGAATGAGTGGAAAGCACAAAGATGAGGGATCAGGCGCTGGTTTTGGAAGCGCAGGTACGGAAGTTTCGCACCACTTCTAAAGGGGTACGTACTTCCCAACATGCTTATGCGCACAGTTTTTTCATTTACGTGTATGTATGCGCTCGCGAAGCATAGCCCAAAATGGCATCCCTTTACACCAGCCAGCAGAAGGTACAGCGCCCTCAAAACAAAGCCGCCTGAGGCCTGAGGCCTGTCCTTGTGAGCCCTGCTGCAACTTCGGCCCAAACTTTCTTTTTGCAACCTTGCCCCTGAAGATCTTTGTACATATCATCAACTCTGGTTTTTTCACTTGGTCAGCGCTCCCTTGGTTCCCTGAATGGTTGTTTCCCTCTCTAAACAAAAGACTGGTGAATACTTGGGAGTGGAAAAGGCGACTATTTGGCATCCCTGGCAAAGGCGACGGTTTGGCATCACGCTGCGTGATCAGTTGGCTGATGAGGAACTTCTGGAATTTCAGGAGCCACTCAGGCAATCAAAAGCATACATGGGTCACCTTTCAGGGATCCAAGTTGTGGCTTTTCAAAAGGTGATGGTTCGGTACAAACCGTCGCCTTTTGACAGCAGGATGTGAAACAGAGGGAAGAGCGAAAGGAGAAAATCCGAGAAAAGGGGAGGCCGGAAGAACTTAGAACGGTTGAGAAAAGGGGAGCCATTCTTAGGTTGGCTTGGTTGGGGGGCGGGGGAGGGTTGTGGCAAGGGGGCAGAAGGTGATGGTTTGAGGCAAACCGTCGCCTTTTCAAAATCCAGGATTAGAACCCCAAAAAGGTGACGCATTTATTCTGACTGGCGATTTGTTGGGTCAAATCGTCGCCTTCCGCGGGGAAGCGAAACCGTCGCCTTTCCCAGGGATGCCAAACCGTCGCCTTTGCCAGGGATGCCAAATAGTCGCCTTTTCCACTCCCAAGTATTCACCAGTCTTTTGTTTAGAGAGGGAAACAACCATTCAGGGAACCAAGGGAGCGCTGACCAAGTGAAAAAACCAGAGTTGATGATATGTACAAAGATCTTCAGGGGCAAGGTTGCAAAAAGAAAGTTTGGGCCGAAGTTGCAGCAGGGCTCACAAGGACAGGCCTCAGGCCTCAGGCGGCTTTGTTTTGAGGGCGCTGTACCTTCTGCTGGCTGGTGTAAAGGGATGCCATTTTGGGCTATGCTTCGCGAGCGCATACATACACGTAAATGAAAAAACTGTGCGCATAAGCATGTTGGGAAGTACGTACCCCTTTAGAAGTGGTGCGAAACTTCCGTACCTGCGCTTCCAAAACCAGCGCCTGATCCCTCATCTTTGTGCTTTCCACTCATTCTGCCTCAAACTCACTCACTCACTCATTCTCACTCACTCGCTCGCTCACTCCTTCCCTCCGCTCTTTTTTCAGTGCTCAAGTGCGGAAATACAGGGATAGGCGATGCTAAAGGCACGGGAGGTGATGCGTGATGTGGAGGAGAAGGAGTGAGAATGAGTGAGAAGGAGTGAGAACGAGGGAGAATGAGTGAAAAGGAGTGAGCGTGACTCATGAGTGAGTAAGAATGCAAAGTAAGAATGAGTGAGTCAAGTGAGAAAGAGCAAACGAGAATGAGGGAGCGGGAATGAATGAGTGAGACTAGTTGAGAATGAGCGACTGAGAGCCAATGAGTGCGAATGGGTAGGTGAGAAGTTACGATGAGTGAGTGAGGGCGATTCAGAAAGAACGAGTGGCTCAGCATAGGTGGGCGGGTGAGACTGAGTGAATGAGGGCGTCGAGGACGGAAGAGACGGGAGGAGAAGCAATCGGGAGGCGGCGGCGCAAACACAGCGTAGTAAAAGCACGAAACTTTCACAGTGCTGCGGGTGAGAAAATCGCAGCATGTCCAAAGCCGGGCTGCGTCTCCGCAGCGCCATCATACGCAAGCATTGTTGCAACAGCCAAGTAAGCATGCGAACGCATAGGGGAGCAAGGGATAGTCCAATGGCCTCATGGCCTGCGTTTGGCTGCAGAGTGACCATCGCAACACTTTCTAAGCCAAAGCAAACCCTTTGCCCGGAAGATTTCTTCCAAGCTCCTTTCAGCTGCAATCTTATCGAGACGGCGCGTGTAGGCCCTGGCCGCTCGAATTTTGATGTAGAGTCCTCAGCGGCACGTCAAGCAACTCAACAGACTCATTAACACCGACCTTTAGAAAACAGTTCCCACAAACCTGTTTGCAGTAGGCGCACGTGTCACACGCCGGAAAGCTTGGCGGAATTTGTAGGAGGTGTTTCAACTTGCGCGTGAAGCGTGTGAACAATGGGGAGTACCTTTGCTTCACCTATAACCCGCGCATCATGAAGAGGCCCAGCCAAAGCAAGCAGCCAAGCAGCCCCGCTTTGCGTGGACACTGAGAATGCAGGCAGGCTTCTGGTGCGAAGGGTCTCGAAATTGCACCCAAAACTTGTTTCTACTAGCCTTGCCACAAGTTCGAGTGGCCAAATCACTCATCGTCATCCAGGTTCTTCTTTGAAACCTCTAAATCTTCGCCATGGCCTGCACCCTCATCAGATCTTGCAACTCGGGGGGGGGGGGGTAGATTCGGCCAGCTGACAAAGGTTGTGCCTTGACAACTTATGATATTTATATTCATTGTTTATTATTTACGTTTTCGCCACATTCACCACCTCTGGTGTCGGTTTGCGAGATCGGGCAGCTTTTGGAACCTTAGTGTGTTGCCTGATTCTTGCTGCATTGGACAACACACTTGTTGGGAAGCATACAGATTCATGAAGAGTATGTCGCGCTTTATGTGCTTGACCGGCTTGTTGTTGTGAACTTGGGGGGGTGGAGTTGCAGGCCAACATTTTTGAATCATGGTCCTGACCTTTCAATCAAAGGAACCGCCCCAATGCGCTGGAAACGCTGGTCTAGAGCTTGGCGATGGTGACTGCCCGCACGAACTTGTGGATTTCAGGGAGGGGTCGGGGTGCCTCAAGGGATTATGTGTATTTTGTGCGCGAAAGATCAAAGCTAAGGTTCCTTCGTGAAAGTCTTGAGCAGGTTTTATATCCTAGAACATTTTCAGGAAGGAGTTCAGTTCTGCTTGTAGGCCTGGCTTTGCAGCAAACTTGTTTAAGCAGTTGCCCCGATCACATCGGCACTCGCCCCGCAGCAAAAACTTTTGAACCCGAATAAAATCCTTCCCATTCTCACTGTGCCTTGGATCTCAGCGTGTCGCAGGAAGAAGTTGGGGCAAGCAATGCTTGCAAATACTGCCAACTGTAAGGCAAGTTGCTTGACCCCGTTGCTTTTCTCAGCTGCAAGCAGTTGGCGTCTTGAATTAGTATAAATCTTGAAGACTGGCTCGTGGGCGGTTTTTTAAAAGCGTCTTCAATCAATGGTGTGGCTAGACGACTGCAAGTTTGACAGTGTCAAACTGAGAGCCTGGTTGGGCAGCAGTACTTGGCCCCTGAGCAGTCAGCAGCCGCTTGAGGCGCCAGAGGCCGAAGCAACCTTAAGTGCCCAAACTTGCTCGACCTAGCCGCATGGGCTGGAGACACACCGTATATAAGCGATAATTACCTCAATCATGTTCTCCATTTTCCACTAGCGCATTTGCTAGTTTTATGTGCTTCATTGTAAGTTAACAGGTTACATGTGGCGGCATGGCTGTGACCTCAAACTGCAAGACTGGGCCCATAAATTTCCCCAACACAACCCCCGAATAAAACGAATTGACCCTCGAATATAATGAAATTCACTTAAGTACTTTTTTTTGTTGTCCAGGCGGAGGTGAAGAGAACATCTCCCGAGTTCCGGGACTTTGGTCTCCTTTCGGGTTTGGAGCATTTGAGTTTTGACCCGGATGAAGAATCCTTGACTGCTATTGGGTTGGATCTTTAGACTTTAACTTTTGGTTGAAATAAAGGTGTTTCCACTAAACCCCCAAAAAGTTAAACTTTCAGCAGGGGGTCAACAGCAACCAAGAATCTAGGCAAAATCCAACGAGCCCTTGTGAATGGACCCGGAATTTGTGCTTGCAGTTGCATGCCACGGGCTACGCAAGTGGAAAACTTAAGGGTCCATTCACAAGGGCCAAATAGATTTTGCCATACAAAGAAGTCCGCCCTTTTATTAGCATTATTAAATGGTATTCCCTCCAAAAGTGGTCTGAATCCCCACAAGGCCACGAGGGGACACCCCCGCTCAATCTAGTCAACCAGCATCAGTGGTAAATACACAAGTTGCTCAACTTGTTGCCAATTCACTTCAACGCAGTGAGTGAACTAGAAATTGTCATTGGTATGTGTCAAAAAAGTAGGACTGCACGGGTGGCTGCGTTGGTTGGTTTCAAGAGGGGATATGTCTCAAAATCAGACTTTGGCATTTTTTTCAGCTGTTGTTCTGTGTTTCAGTTCCTGTCACGAAATGGCAAAGAGGGACAAGACAAGACCTTTCGAGGGCCTCACAAGCTCGTCGTTTCGTTTTTGGCCAGTCCCTTAAAAGGAGTGAACCAAATAGGAATCCAAGGAAGATGGCAATTTCAGTTGTGTCTGATTCCAAGTGCAAGGCTACAAGTTGAAGCCTTATTTTAATCAAGATTCAGTTGGAATATGTTTTTGCAATTATCATCTAAGTAGGAATTCATCTCCAGGCACATAGGATTGACATTTGTTGTTGTCTATAATTAGTTGAAGTGTAACGTGCAGTTGAATTAGATGTTAAACGATAGTTCCTTTCCAAGTAGAAACCTAATTAGACGTGCCAGTTCCATTGGTTCGCAAGTGCAAAACAAAACAAGGCTTCAAGTTTCAGTAGGGTTTTGATTGGGCTTCTATTAATGTGTGTTTTAAACGTGGTTTCCTTTCAGTAGGATTGTCACTACAATTCCAATATAACTCAACGCACTAGTCTCCCTCACTTTGATTGTCCGACTCATCTTTGATTGTTATTTTGCAACTGCATGGATGACCAGCAACAATTGTGTTGATTCATTTGATTGATTGATTGATAAATATTGATTTCATAGACTGACTGATTTTGTTGATTTGGTCCAAATTGGTTGGTTGGTTGGTTGGTTGGTTGGTTGGTTGGTTGGTTGGTTGGTTGGTTGGTTGGTTGGTTGGTTGGTTGGTTGGGTGGTTGGGTGGTTGGGTGGTTGGGTGGTTGGGTGGTTGGGTGGTTGGGTGGTTGGTTGGTTCATTGAATGATTGGATTATTGGATTATTGGATGATTCATTCATTCATTCATTCATTCATTCATTCATCCATCCATGCATTCATTCATTCATTCATTAATTCATTCATTCATTCATTCATTCATCATCATTCATTCATTCATTCATTCATTCATTCATTCATTCATTCATTCATTCATTCATTCATTCATTCATTCATTCATTCATTCATTCATTCATTCATTCATTCATTCATTCATTCATTCATTCATTCATTCATTCATTCATTCATTCATTCATTCATTCATTCATTCATTCATTCATTCATTAACTTATTCATTCACTGATTTGTTTGATTGATGATTTGATTTGGTTTGATTTGATTTGAATTGTGTTGATTTGATTGTTGTTGTTTTCTTTGATTTTATGGATTGAATGATTGGTTGATTCGATTTGATTTGAGTTGATTTGAATTGATTAAATTTGATTGATTCATTGACTTGATTGATTTCATCGATTGATTGATTTATTGATTGATTTGATTGGATTGGACTGGATGGCTGGATGGCTGGATGGCTGGACGGCTGGATGGCTGGATGGCTGGATGGCTGGATGGCTGGATGGCTGGATGGCTGGCTGGCTGGCTGGCTGGCTGGCTGGCTGGATGGATGGATGGATGGATGGATTCGGATGGATTCATGGATTCATGGATCCTGGATGCATGGATGCATGGATTCATGGATTCATGGATTCATGGATTGGATGGATTGTTTGATTGTTTGGGTCTTTTAGGGTCTGGAGTCAACATGAACTGGAATCAGGGTACTCAGGATCAAACTTACATGAGATAATCCCTATTTGGTGGTTTGGTTCGGAAATTTGGGGAGTTGAACCCCTGGTTCTTGTAGAGGGTGTCCACACCCCAATGGGAGGGAAGCTGGTTACAGGTGGCGAGTGAAAGAGCGGTTGGCCATACACTGTGCTGGGAAGAAGCCTGGAGCGAGCAGAGGGCATAGAGCATAGGCACCTTTCGACAAAGCTGGGGCCCACATAAATTGGAATGTTGCAGGGTTCAACCAAGTGTCCCTATGGGATAGCAATCCCGAATCCCTGTATTTCTTTTCTTGGAGCCTGTAAACACCATCTTTTTTTGGCCAGATAGTTTCCGTTTGGTGATACATGCAGCGCCCAAAGAACCAAGGACTATGAGCAGTACGAGAAGGCAAGGGGTCAGTGAGTCAGGGGGCCGGGGTCCGGGGCATTCCGACACGCAAGATGCTAGATGCCAGGCCCCCGCTCCAAAACCTATTATAGCGAATTGATGCTTGTTTTTTTTGTAGAAAACATATATATTCATAATAAATGTTTTTTTTTGTTTTTTTTTTATTTTTTAAATAGATGTGGGTTATATATACATGTAAAAGTTACCCCTCAGACCAACCTGGAAGCTGCCAGAAGTAAATGGAACCAGGAGCCTTCCCAAAAGTTGTACGAGCTTCCACGGAATCGCGCAATTTTCCATGGCCAGAGTCCTGCACCACTTTGAAATTATTGGAACCCGTTATTTGTTGGTATTTACAGGGGAATGATTCTTCCAGGGTTTCTTGGGTGGCGCAGGATTTCGTCCTCCCAGAGTATTCACTTGTCTGCAGCCAGGCCTGCACCCCCTACCCAAGTTGTTCAAGGTATGACGTCAACGCCAAAGAGCGAAAAAGGAGGTTGCTCCATGGGACAGCCCCGGAGCAAGTTGGTAGGTGCCTGTATGGTCTTATGAAAAATGCCGATCGAACTTTCGGAGCAACCTGCCCATTGTTTTGCAAACTTGATTTTAGGACCACTGTCTTTAATGCTGAGGGACGCCCCACATAAAGTGACTGAGTAGTCATTGAGTAGTCATGATATGGGAATTTTACTTTGGTATCACAGATTTTGAGTGTTGCACAACCATGTTTTCGAAGCAGCTTCCTCTGAACATGATGGTTTTTCCGGTTCCATGTTAATCTGCAGGGGAGCCGGTCTTGAGCGCTTAGAGTTGTTTTCAAGGTTCAACAATAGTTGTTTTATGGGCCTTTAGCATGGGACGTGGGATGAATGAAATCAATTCAATAGCTTTAGAGCATACCTCCTCTATCCACTTGTTTTAGAGCATGAAGACGTGTGTGTGTGTGTGTGTGTGTGTGTGTGTGTGTGTGTGTGTGTGTGTGTGTGTGTGTGTGTGTGTGTGTGTGTGTGTGTGTGTGTGTGTGTGTGTGTGTGTGTGTGTGTGTGTGTGTGTGTGTGTGTGTGTGTGTGTGTGTGTGTGTGTGTGTGTGTGTGTGTGTGTGTGTGTGTGTGTGTGTGTGTGTGTGTGTGTGTGTGTGTGTGTGTGTGTGTGTGTGTGTGTGTCTGTGTCTGTGTCTGTGTCTGTGTCTGTGTCTGTGTCTGTGTCTGTGTCTGTGTCTGTGTCTGTGTCTGTGTCTGCGTCTGTGTCTGCGTCTGCGTCTGTGTCTGTGTGTGTGTGCCTGCGTGCGTGCGTGCGTGCGTGCGTTTGTTTGTTTGTTTGTTTGTTTGTTTGTTTTGCTGATTGTATCAGTGGCACCTTGGTTTCGAGGGGAACCAGGAAGTCCACGATTTGGGAGTGTGTGTGTGTGTGTGCGTGTTTTGTTAGGGGGCCAAAATGGCTTTTGTTTTTCTTGTGGTTTCCCTTTGAAACCAGGTGCCCTCAAACATGACAGATCCATGTGCCCCCCCCCAATGAAAAAAGACATGGAGATTTGGTTGTCGCAGGAGAGGGACTTCGAGCCGCAGGCGCCTTTCCATCACAACGCCGCTCGGCTGGAGGTTGCTTCTCCAAATACATTTTTAGGGCACACCCCAACGGCCCCAACATGGTCGCTTTCTTTTTTCGTTTCCCTTCTTAAACCAACCAAAACGGGGCACCCTCCCAAAAAGGGATTTGCCACGAAGTCGGATTGTACGAAAGGGAATGCAACCATTGTTCATGACTCCGGTACTTGGCCCTGTCAGTTTGCGTGTTCGTGAGTGGGAGGGCTTCATGCGACCTGGTTTAACATGTGGTAGGAAAGGTATTTGGCGCTTTCGGGGGTAACCATCGAGAAAGGTTTGCTTTGATTGAAGATATTTCAAGGAGTTCAGGAGTTAGGCTCCTTCGACCCTTCCAGCGCTTGCAGCTATGGCAGCCATAGGAAACCATTGCGTAAAACCTGGCAAGAATTGTTGGTTGCCTATGACAACTGGACGCCCTGCATATAGGAGAACTCGGCTTTTGAGCTGTGCCAGCTTTCAGTGCTTCAATGTACCTGTGCTGGAAACCTTGCGTTTAAGCTCCAAGGATCAATCTTTGGGGAACCCCTACTGAGATTTAAGCAGTGTGGGATTAATAGCTGCCAAATAGTTCCTGATCGTTTGCTCTAGTTGTGACTAAGCTGGCTTTAAAGTATACAGCCCCAGTCATTTTTTTGTTGGGTTACTTAAGGCTTTTTGAGAAAGCCATTTAGGTAAACAAATGATTCGGACTTGTTCTTTTGGGCCATCTACTCTTTCCCGAAGTGAGTATCGTTTTTAGTCAAGAGTACCCATTCTTGTCAATCACAGTTCTTTTCAATCACCAGCTGTTTCCCCTGGGTTTTTGCTGGCGTCCTGGAAAGAATAATCCCTGGAAAGAGCGGAAATGGAAGCTTGTTCTAGATACCTGGAGTCTCCTTCTGACCCTTTAAAAATGGGGTGATTACCCAAACTTAAGGGGCTATGACCCCTAGAAAAGGGGTCAGAAGGAGGCTCTAGGTAGATATACCTAGTGCGACTAAACCTAGAAACCTAGTTTCAAGTTCAAACCTTTTGTTTTTTAGCACCCCCTGCCTTTTTTAAGGGTTTGGGTGCTTTAGGTCGCCTTTGTTTTATCGTCGTTTTCTCATCATTTTTTCTAGATATTGTTTCCTAGGTAGATATATCGTCGCACCCTGCCTTTTTTCACGGTTCGGGTTCTTTAGGTTGTCGCTTTTAGATATATTTTTTCCTAGGTAGATATATCGTCGTGGAGACTCGCTGTTTGTTTTTTTCCTCTCAGGAGTCTATGACCCCTTTTTCTAGGGGTCATGCAGACTCTAGGTCGTCGTGTGTTTTTCTCCTCTCAGGAGCAGGGCTGTGGGAAATGACCACTTCTGTGATACAACAAAAAGGGCTTCCCAAAGACAAAGCCCCTCCATATAAAGGGGGAGATTCCAAAAAGTATCACAGAAGTGGTTGGAGACACCCCGAGTGATCCACCACAAGCCTCAGGAGTACTTCTTCCCGCAGCCGGGGGACCTGGTGTGCTTCCCCTCGTGGCTGGTGCACAACGTGCCCTCGCACTGGGAGACCGAGACCCGGGTGGCCTTTGCCGCCAACCTGCAAGGCGTCGACAGCGGGCGGTTTCCGGGTGGTTCCAAGGCCATGCATGGCCCAAAAGGCCGTCCGGTGCATCTGAGCTTTTGAGGCTTTCAGTTGGGGTTCTTTAGCTTTTCGAGCTTTTAGTTGGGGTTCCTTAGCTTTTTGAGGCTTTTAGTTGGTTTAGTGGTAGTTTCCATTTCACCCACTAAACGTGAAGCTTTTTGGGATTTGGCGCCCATCTTTGCGGTACGCATCTAGGTCCCCCAGCTAGGTGCAAGCTTCTCTCCCCGCTTTTTTTTTTGGGAGGGTTCCCCTGCTAAAAAAGATGTCCAGAAAAAAGTTGGTACCTTCATTCTAACCTCTCTACTGGAGGACCTAGTAGTTCGAAGGGTTTGAACTGCAGGGTTTTTCTCATGTTGGTCCGAATCAAAGCAAATCGAATAGCGTTGTTTTTTTTTGATGGTGCTAGTAACTTAGCACTTTACTCTCAGGCCAGTGAATTGACCACTGACCGTCGCAACCAAAGCGAGTCGACCGCATCTGAGCCTGTGAACCAGGGTTGTGTTGCAAACAAAGGGGCTGTCCAGGCTTTCCATAGTAAACTCACTTGCCCAAAGCCAACCTCTTGACCTTTTGGTTTCCCCTTTTTGGTTCCCGTTAGTCATGGCTCTTGAAAAGGTGATCGCCCTGTATTTCCCGGTCAACAGGCAGGTGAGATGCGCATGCGGAGGGATTTGTTTCTGGAAGCGGAGACCTCCAGGCGCCTCCAGGAACCAAAGATGAGCGTGTCTTTTTTAGGGGGAACCTGCTATTCGGTTGGTTTGAAGGAAAACCCAAAGGACAACCGCCAGGTTTTTCTTTTTGGAGGGGTCCCTAAAAAAGGACACGCCAGGATTGTGTGTGGGTCTTCTCATGGTTGTTCGATGTTCCCTTTGTATAAACCAACCCAGAAAGGGTAATTGCCCTCGCACAACATGTGTATGCGTGTGTATGTGTGTGTGTGTACCTAGAAGCAGCATGGGAGAGTTAGATTCTGCTCGATGTGTTTGTTGGGCTCTGTTTGTTGGGTATGTGTCAGACTATGGGCCTCCTGAAAATGGTTGGAAACCCTTTGGGTTCCCTTTAAGCCGCAAAGGGCTTTCTCCACAAACTCGCACATATTGATGGACGAAATCCATTTCGCATAGGAATCCTGGACTTCGATTTTCTAGTGTTTGGACGGATTCGCTGCTTCTTTCGGTCGCGGATCGGTTAAAAGCATGTCACGGGAAGAGCTTTCCTGGGCTGTGGTTGTCAAAGCCGATGGGATCCCATTTTGGTGGGTCCCGCTGCACCACCTCCTGGAAGTGTTGTTTTTGTTTCCTTGGAACCGAGTGGAAAGCACGACATTTGGCTGTGGGTCAAAACCAATGGTACCATTTTGGGGTAGGTGCATCACCCATTTTAGAACCTTTTTTAGTGGGATTTGGATGTTCACTGGGGGTACGATTTGGCTTTTGACCCATGGCCGAGTGAGTTTGTGGAATGAAAAACCAACCCCCCGCAAAACCCGACACCTTTTTTCGCGCAGGCAGGCACCCCTGGGATAGCTGGTTCCACACAGCCGTGGCGTGGCATGCGCAAGGCGCGAGATGCTTCCATGGAGCCACGGTGGGTGGTTCCCCCATTGGTTGGCGTCCTCTGAAATCTGAAACGCTTCAAAAACCCCACCAATGAAGGGTTTCCCGAAAGACAAAGCCATGTAAAACTGCGTAACTGACAATGTTCGATTCATTAGAAATAAGGGACCGGTTTCTATGAAAGGTTCACTATGAGCGACGGCACAACCCTTCCCCACCAAAACGCGACGCCAGATTTGGAATTTCGCTACTCAAAAACCGATTGGCGCCCCTCCAAGAAAGAGAGAAAGGGCTGGCACAAAACAAGAGCAAGCTATCAAAAGATCAATGGAGAAAATGGAGGTCCTCTTCTTGCGTTCCACCCACAATTCCAACTGCTTAGTCAACTGTTCGTACTCTTTTGGCACCTTCCCGCGCTATCAATTCCGCAAATGAGGGTTTTGGTCCATGGGACCCGAAACGCTTCGAGGATTTTGATGAGTACTTCCTATTGATTGAAGTTCATTCGGTGGGTGTGTGTGTGTACGGCCCATGTCACCCCTTGTTGATATGATAGACTGGTTGACTGTGAATAATCGGGTTGTTAAACATCGGGTCATCCTCAATCACAGTCTGGACTCAGGCTCCACTACAAAAAGGGAAGCACCTCGATGGATTTCCCCCTCAACAATTGCAATTGACTAGTGGTTTCCACTGAAACTGCCATTTTTGGAGGTTCCGAAGCGGGAAATGGAGAAAACACCAGATGACTCTTGAGTCTTTGAGACTTCGGAGAGTGAGACCCCGTGATCACTTTTTTCGGCTTTTTGTGCCGCTTGCGGGGAACCTATCAGGGTTCCATGTTTTGATTCACCCAAGATGGACATAAACCCAGGGGTCCCGGTTGGTTTCTCCCAAAAGAGAAACTGATTGTTGGGTTTCGATGTGCCTTGAGGCTAATCAACAGATGCAACCTTGATCATCATTAGTTATGAACTTGCCCGACGATGGCCCTTTGAGTTGCGTTCATGATTGAATGTGAACTTTGCCTGAGCGCAGAGTTTGGCCAAGTTTACATGACCCAAGGCCCCCCTTTTGACCCGCTGACGAAACTGCAGCGACCCTTTCGTTGAGGATCCCACAAGCAGCATAATGTCCCCACGCCAAATATCGGGGTACGATCTCAACCCCTGACCTAATCACGAGGTGTTTTCCGTAGACATAAACGAACAGCAGCACGTGTTTTTTCACACCCGTCAAGCACAGGAGAACAGGTATTCGCAGTAGGGGTACCCTCACTCTCACTAACATGGCACCTGACAGGGGATGAATTTCTCCAGGCACTCTCCAGATGCGGTCTTGTTTTCCGAAATATTCATATCTGCCGTGTCTGCGCGTCAGCAGCTTTTGCTGGTCCCGTCAGGCCCACCGTGATCAGCGAGTAAAAGAAGAGCTGCGCCAGTGCAACGCCCACTGTAGAAATCAAATTGGGGAAGAGGAATCTACAGGGGCGTTCTCAGGGAATAAGCCCAGGTATCCCAACGACAGCCCCGGAACCCCCTGGAACCATCCTTTCGAATCCTACCTGAAAGCTGTTGCAACCATACTGGCAGAACTAGAAGTGCATGGGTTTTGGGCGCTGCTCAATTTGAGTTGAGGGCTGCTCAAGTGAGTCACACTCGAAATCCGACTGTTCCGCCGCATTTATGGTTCTCAGACATGGCGAGTGATGGATACCATGACTGCCTCGCCACGTAAGGACGCCTGCGACACGACTCGACTCAACACGACTCTCCGCGGCCATATGGACGCAGACACGACAATTACTTACGTTTTGTTTCATTCAAAGGGTAATACGCAAGATGCATCATTTGCGCGTGGCTTGTGTAGGAGAGATTGGTTGCTCTTGGGCTTGTTGGACAATTTCCCCATCAACTTGTAGGGGATCCCACTCATTGTAGAGGGCCTCAGGTCTCTATCCCTGCCTCAAATGATTTTGCTCGGACAATGTTTTACGTTCTTCTGAAAATAGTAGGATCAATCCCATTCCCCGACACATTCAATATGTACAGGCATTCGCTTTAATGAACCATTTGCAGAGATTTACCGTAAAGTGGCATATGTGCCGGGAAATATTCACGTGCCTCGACCATTTTACTCTTGACCCCGCGGTCCGGCGTTCGGACCCTTCCTGATCCGAAATCCCATGGCGCACGCATCCATGGTGGCCCCGATTCCATTCGGCGGACTGCCAAGGCGCGACTAAGATAATGTTAACCCCGGATTAGTAAACCCTGGTTGATTAATAGGGGGGTGATCACTTTTGGAGGGAACACCCCCCTAATATTGGGACGGGTTTATTAATCCCAGGTCAACATTAGACCCAGCGATGCAGTGACCTGCTTGGGTGTTCGGCCAAGTTAGTAGTTCGCCCTTCTGGGGTGTAGCACCGTTATAACCCCCTACAAGGTCCTTCAGTGGTGCCTAAAATCTCACCCCTTCTGTGGTTGGGAGGATTGCCCTAATAAAATAGACTACAGAAAAATGGGCACCCTTATTCTAATCTCTCCTGGAGGAGTTACAAGAAGGTTATACTAACCTCACCTAGGCAGGCTTAGTGTGGGTTACAACTAGGTTACCAACAAGTTACCAACCACCCAAGCAAATGAGGAGCCCCCCAAAATGGGTTTGGTTCCCCTTTGCTTCTATGCTGCTTTTAAAGGCAATCTATCACTGGATGTGTTTTTTACCCTGGCTCAAGCAAATGGTTGGTTTCCTTTTGGTTTATCTTTGGTTTTTCTTTGGTTTCCCTTCAAATCCAACCAAAAGTGCGGGTGTCTCTTCCGCCGTCTTGCAGTGGTTGATCAGAACCTGGAACCTATTCCCCGGAAGGTTCAAGTTACGCGGTTCGAGTTTACGTGCTAATACTGAAAGGGGCAAGGTACTTAGTGGTTAGTAAGCCTGGTTATAGCCCACTAAATGGAAAATTCATGGCAAGTGGGATATAACCAGGCTTACTAGCCACTTACTAAGTAAAATGCACCTTTAAGTAGGCAACCAAATGTGGTGTATGCTAAAAGTACGGCCAGCCCCTGAGGGTTGCTTGCGCCCCAACGCAACGCCCCAACGCCCGAACCTAGACTTCTTAGAGACCCAGTCCGCCTATTCCCCCGTGCTCGAATTAGTCATAGTCAAGCGCTAGGGCAGAGACGTCCGCTGCTTAATGTGCGGTTCGGACAAAGCTAGCCGATACTGCTTGAGAGCTTCTGAGGCATGCGCTAACAAATCGCCTGCAGAGGGTCACGACGTACTTAACGCCTAAACCTAAACCCTAAACCTAAACCCCAAACTTAAGCCCTAAACTTAAACCCTAAATCTGCACCTTAAACCTGCACCATAAACCTAACTAGCAACGTTGGGCGCGCCGGTTGGCCTAGGCCTTTGACATTCGGGCTGCCGGGAGTGTGGATTGGAGGCGATTTGATATGCCTTCAAGGCAAGAGGCATCTTCACGGATTATCTGGGAGAAGTCCCTCTTGTTCAATCCGAACCCTGCATACCCGCCAATCAACTCGGTTAGCTTCGCACCAAGATGAGTGGAATGCAATACTTAGAGCTCGGGACATCAAGTTTGGTGGCAGAGTGGCCAGAAGTCCTTCACGTGCTACGCATTCTTCCTGAGGCAGGAGTTCTCCACACCAGACAGCAAATCGATGTGCTTTTGGACTGCGCAGTTGAAGCGCGGCATCGCCCGATCTATCTATTTATCTGTCTCTTTATTTATCTATCTACTCCTTTCTAACTATCTAATTTCTACCTACTATCTTATCCATTTATCGCTATCTATCTATCTCCCTTTCCCTTAGAATCCGTCACGGCAATTAGCGAGCCCCACGGTAAAATGAATTTTCACGGCAATTTGACTTCACGGCAATTAGTGGATGCTTAATTGTCTTGGAAAATAAACTCTTCGCGGCAACGGCAACGGCAAAAAAAACGGCAACGGCAACGGCAATTTTGGAAGCAATTGCTGCAAAAGCCCCCGCTAAATGTCTTGACGGATTCTAAGGGTTCTGTCTCTCGTTTTATCTATTTATCTCTTCATCTATCTATTTATCTTTCGCCAACTTTTTATCTATCTACCTATTGCTTCATCTACCTATTCATCTATCGATCCATCTGTCTCTCTCTCTCTCTCTCTCTCTTTCTCTCTCTCTGTCTTCATCTATCCATCTATCTACCCAGCTACCCATCTGTCTATCTGTCTACCTATCTATCTATCTATCTATCTATCTATCTATCTATCTATCTATCTAATCTATCTATCTATCCACCTCTTTGTTTATCTATCTATCTCGCTCTGACTGCCTGCTTTCTTCTTTATCAATCTATTTATCTCCCTCTTTTTATTTGTCTCTCTATCTCTCTATCTATCTCTCTAGCTCTATATCTATCTACTTATCTATCTACCTGTGTATCTATCTATCTGTCTCTTTATCTTTATCTATCGGTTTATCTGTCTATCTATCTTTCTATGGATCTATCTACCAGTGTATCTATCCATCTATCTGTCTTTTATCCATCTATCTATTTATGTATCTATCTATCTCTCTGTCTATCTGCGTCTCTCTCTATTTTTATCTATCTATCTACCTATCTATCTATCATTCCACCTATTTACTATCCATCTATCTCTCTCTCTCTCTCTCTCTTCAATTATCTATCTGTACCTGAACTTGCGAAAGTGCTGCGCCTGCCACAACGTCTGTACCTGACCTTGTGAAAGTTGTGCGCCTGTCACGAACTCTCTAGTGGACCTTGCGAAAGAGCTGCGCCTGCCACGAAATCTCTACTTGGACCTTGCGAAAGTGCTGCGCCTGCCACGAAACCTGTACTTGACCTTTGAAAATGGCTGAGTTGGGGGTAAGGCCACGACGATCCCAATCCAGCCCAAAACTTGCAAAAAACCACGCCCGGAAGCAGCCCAAAAGCTACTGCTCAACCAGCCCAAATCAGCCCAAGGCAGGCCATGAGCCGACCCGAAGTCAACCTTAAGCCCTCCCAACAGCATCCTGCCCGATAGATCGAAATCGCCTAAATTTAGGCTAAACTGAAATTTACTCCTTTTCGGGTGTAAATTCCTCATTTTTTACTCTCTTCACCGGGCATCAGCCCCTCCTTACGATGTCAGCAAGCCCAACACCCCCAAACCAGCCTTGGGCGCCAGGCGTTCCTTGGTACTACCTCCTTTTTTGGGTGTGGCTCAAAACTAAAGAGCTAGGGTTGCGCGGGTTAAAATCTTTTTTTTTTTTTTTTTTTTTTACCAGGGTGCCATGTTGGTACATCAGTTTGACCCACAGCCTTTTGTCAGGGGTTCAAGTCAAACGTCAAACTCAAACAAGGTGGGGTATTTGGATCTTCCCTCACTGGGTTCTTGGACGGTCACTGTTTGGTAAAACCAACATAAAGTGGCAAACAAAGAATATGGCTACTCTTCTTGGCCAACCCACTCTGGAAGTGTGACCTCTAGCAACTATACAAAGGATGTGTAATGTGTTTTTATGTTTAATTTGTATACATCACCTTCCCTTGGCGGAGGGGGTGGCGAGTTGCGGGGTCGCTATTTGGGTCCGCCCAGTCGCGTCCTCGAGAAGACAACTTCGGCCCCGGCGCCGGTGATGGAGTCGCATTTGGAGGATGGGTTGCAGGTTCCTCCTCTTTGGCGAGCGTTGCTGCTCTCAGCAAAAGGTACTCGAAAGGTTTTGTTGAAGTTCCAGGCCCAAATGAATATGCGTCAACTATTTCACCTTTTGGATTTCAATGGAGTCAATTTCATGTTGTTGTTCCAGATTTTTTCCAGGGGGGACTTAATTAGGCAAATGTCGGAAGGGTGGGTACCAACTCTTGGTTGTGTCAACTGATGGATCGTGATTTGTTTTGTCCCACTCGGATTTGGATTAGAGATCTCTTGTTGAACAACCTAGTGTAGGCCCTCCGAGGGGTGGGTCTTAAATTCAGAACTTTAACTTGGCATTGGCGGGTTTCCGAGCCATTTGCCTTTTGAAGTGGCGATCGTTCCAGAGGTAAAGCACCAGTCAATCGCAACTTTTGTCGGGGAAATTCAGGGACTGGTTGAAGTGCCTCCAAACAGCTGGTTGGAAAACCTACCACCTTGCGTGTGACCAAGAGCGCCATCCTCAAAACTCACTCCCTGAGTTTCTGGACCTTAGTCTAAGTGACTTTTTGGTTGGACCATTTCAGTGCAAAGCAACAAATTTGGCCCATCAACTCAGGAAGTGAATTTAGGGTATCAAGTTCAGAAGCTTGGGAGGTTTGTTATCTCAGGAAATGAGTTGAGCTAAAACTGGCTGCTTAGCTCCTGTCTGGCCCGAGAGAGTAGACCTTCCAAAGTTCTGAGCTCCCGATTCCTGCGCGTCAGGAAGGGGACTGGATCTCTCAACTACCCTCCTGTCCGTTAGGAACCCGCCAGAGGGTCCCTTTTAAAGGAAAATCGTCTTCCAGGACACCCCCAGGTATGTTAGAGGACAGGAGGTGACCTAGCCCGAAACAAAACACCAAACACGTAACACGCTCTTTCGGAGATTCGAGATTTGTCATCTTTCTGGGCAGCCTTTCAGGAAACTGAACTCACTGCCGATCGCGTAAATCGTGCAGAGAAAGTCTAAACTTTTTGTGTAACACTAAAATGGTCTTCTCAAAAACGGTAAAGTCCGGGAGCTCAGCGTGTGGACATGTTTTAGGGTTCACCAAATTTGGGCCACAACTAAAAGAGCTCTTGAGGGGCGCGGGCCGCGGGGCAAAAGCTGATGTACTTAGATGTGCGGTTCGCCACATTAGTAAGAAAGGGAAGCGTTGATTGGTCTGAAGCCGGGTGGTTTGGAGGTTCCGGCCCCCATAAGAACCAGGTCGGATCAAAGCCAAGCCACTCGAAACCACCAAGCTTGGAGGGCGAAACCCCCGGGCCTGCATAGGGGTCATGAGCCTTAGGGAACCAAGGGTTACCTGAACACTTGGCGTTACGGACAAAAAATTGCGGTTTTCCTTTTGGTGCCCTTTTCAAAACCGGAATTTTCCTTAAAGCGTTGGTTTCCTTTTGGTTTCCTTCGAGCCGCCAAGTAGTTACCTGAAGTGAGACTTCACGCCAAGCAGATCCAGGCCTTGTCAGTTCCAGCAGAAATTGCTGGCGAGTTTGTAGGGTCTGTGAACTGACAGTATAGCAATCGGAACCACCAAAACGGTTTGGATCCTTTCGGTGTCCCTTTAAAAACCAGCCCAAAAAGGTAGCCTCAAACAAAGATGCCCATTTCTCCTCACTTGAGACCATTCTCCTTTACACCCCCCTTCGTAGGGTTGCATCCAGTCTCTCCAAGAGGGACTCTACCAGTGATATATGGCAATTTGTTCAGCGGTATGCCCGCCCGCCGCCTCCCCTCCCCACATGGCATGACACACGGCCATCAACTATTTACTTACTTTTCCTGGAGCCTCATTCTGGTGGACAGTTATTTTCCTGGAGCCTCATTCTGGTGGACAGTTTGTTTGGTTTCCCCCATGCAAGTTTGCGGGCAAACCATTGGTTTCATTCCATTCGAGTCGATCGTCGCCAGGACTCAGCCAAGCTGGTGCGCACACGGACGCTCTCGGTGGTGTCCACTGAAGCTTGGCGTTAGAGGATCGCGGAGAGGCACGCCAGTACCATTTGCTTGTTGTTTGGTTGTATTCATTTTGGTGGGCTGCGCAAAGCACGGTTCCCTGGTCACACCCAAGGATCGGACAGTTTCTTGTGTTTTGTTTCGTCTTTTTATACGTTTAACAGGGAACTGGCTCCAAAGTTGCTGGTGGCAATGTCAATCCGCACCGATCCATGATCCAAAGGGTCCCCTGTTCCTACTTTTTGTTTAAAGGGTGGAAACCCCGGCTCCAAACCACCAAATAAGGAGAAGCTGATCAACTCTACTGACAAAATCCACAAGACGCCAGTTGGGATCGGTGGTATGCTTTTCAGTTTCGGGGCTTCTCTTTTTCCATGGAACCCGTTTTTGTTGCGCTCTCAAGGGAAACCAAAAGGAGAACCACTCAGTTGTAGGGAGCCCCCTTTTCGTTGGGTTTCAAGGGAAACCAAAAAGAAAACCGCTCAATGCTAGGGAACCCCATTTGTGGGGGTCGTTTGAAATGAAAAACCAAAGGACACCAAGCAAATCGGGGTCTGTGTCAAGACAAAACCATGTATCTACGCCCAATACCTGCTTTTTGAGTACTGAAAAGCCGGGTTTCCGTGGGGTATGTTGACCAGGGTTCAATTTGCAGAGTCCAGTGAGTAACAAGTTAGCACATGGAAGCCCAAGTGCGGCCTCTTTCCTGGAAAATCTGCGAATGGGTGTGCAATTGGCTGGGTTTGCCGACTATTTGTTATCCACTTCCCCCAAGGTAGACGCAGATAGTGATGTACTTTCCCCAAAGGAGAGCAAGGTGGTCAAACAATTGGATACCTGATGTTGGCAAGCCAGCTTGAGAGTTCAGAGAGAACAAGATGCCCCTTAGCAACTTAATCATCTCCCCTTAGAGTTCAACATAAATCCCCATGTCTGTGATTGTTCAAGTGGGCCCGTCCATGAACATTGATACTCGCTTCTTTGACCAGACTTGCTTGCCAAATGTGGCTTTCAAGGACAGCTCGACATCTGCATCTTGGCCGCATCTGAATTCACTGGCGACTTGTCAATTTGCAGGCGTCAGAATTGGCATGCAAGTCAAAAAAGGGGTGTTTGTTGCTCCGGAATGCTTCGATGCCGTCAGTTGCGGTGACATGAGCATACACTATATGGGTGCAGAAGTGAATTAACCACCCGGTGGTGGAGATATATTTTAGGCGATTTCTGTCCAGCAACCACTTTTGAGGGATGTTTTGTTAAGCCATATGAGTTTGGGTCATTTGGGTCCTTTGGAGATGTTGCCATGTTTGAAGTTTGAGCGCAAAGGATGTTCACTAGGCTGGCGGTGGCTTATACAAGTCTCACAGGGAGCCAAAGGATTGGCTCTTTTGGGACTGCTCTTCGAACATGTTTTTTGTTGGGTCTTCCAAATCATGGGAATTTCACGGTAAACTCCGGAGTCCGGAGACGGCCAGTTTTTTGGGGTCTCAGTTTTCTGAGGAACCAGGTTGGAATCTGATAAATTCAAGAGCAAGCCGAATCTAGGTCAAGTGAGCGAGTGCAACTTGTGGCGCTCAGGAAACGGCTTTTCACTTGGTCTTTGGGAAGGCAGAGTGACCCCCCCTACAGTGTAGCAACCACTATGCATGTTGAGCCCTGGCTATAGAACACCCTCCCCCCCCCCCCCACCACCTCCTGGAAGTGTTGCTTTTGGGAACCAAGTGGAAATCACGACATTGCCCCCCCCCCCCACCACCACCTTCTGGAAGTGTTGGTCTTTTGCCTTGGAACCGAGTGGAAAGCACGACATTTGGCTGTGGGTCAAAACCAATGGGATCCCATTTTGGTTGGTAGGTGAATTCACCACCCACAGGCTTCCTATTTTAGTGGCTGGATGGAATCGGATCACTGGCTAACCGATTTGGATTTTGAAAAGCCCATGGCCATTTGGGTTGTGTCACGGCCCTCGGAAGGCCCAATCCCCTTCCTCGACGCCATTCATGTCTCCGGCCTCGGTGGGTTCGACGGCCTACATGTCGCCTGCGGTAGGAGTAACTGGACCGAAATTGGGAGGTACCCGTTTTGGGAGTGGCTACCCCCTTGAGTTTCTGGACTTACTTTTGGGCACCGTTTTAGGTGGGGGCGCCCCTACCGCGCCCTGCGGGGTGCCACCGAAGTTCCACCGAATTTCTGTGGGGTGGGGTGGGGTGGGGGGGGGGGATGTTGTAAACATGTTTGCAGCAGTGTGGCTCGGCAGCATGGATCAGTACGCTGAAGCGCTCTCGCTGGTTCTCATTTTGAGATTGGCCCATGTTCGGTTGCCGCTGTTGCTGAAGAACTGGGAAGCTGTGCCAGTAGAAGATCTAGATGAGTGGCACTCGGTCTCTTGGACTTGTATGGCCCTACACATTGCGTGTGTAAGATTTTATTTATGTTTGTCACACATTGCGTGTGTAAGATTTTATTTATGTTTGTCACATTGAATCTTGATGCTCAGGTTGCTTGCGGTGTTTGCAAAGACACATTATCCAGAAACATCTACGGGGACATTCTTCGGCCTGGGGCGCCAAAGCTGGCAGACTGGGATGAGCTGAGCATGCGGGTGGGGGCTTACCAAGCCAGGTATCCGCAGCCAAAGCCGGAGATTGCTGCTGCAGTGGCGGTTTTGCACTGGCGCTGGCGACGGAGGAATCAGCCTGCGCTGGCACTGCCGGAGACAGAGTCTGACGAGGAAGACCTGCGAGAAGCAATGCTGAGTGCATGCTTGCGTGCAGAGGCTGAAAATCCAGCATTGGGCTTGCCATCGGCCTCTTTCAGCACTCCTGTGCGCAAGCGGTTGCGGTCCTCGTTTGCCCCTCCCAGTCCGCGCACAGAAGCTCGCTTGTTCGACACTTGCTATTGCAAAAAGCCTTACTGCCAGGTTCCGCTCTTGAGTCAGAAGGGGCGACCTAATCAATCAACTCATAACTTGCTTTTCTAGAGTCACTTTGCGCAGCCTGAGGATCAATCCTTCGGCCTGAACTCGCCAGTCTCTCCAATCAATGGCCGCGAAAGCCCGTTCCACAGGCATTTCAAGGAATGGTATCAGAGCGAAGTGCGGTGCGAGTTTGCAGAGGTTGACATCCCTGAGCTGCCATCTCCAGACCGCGACCCAGAAGCAGGACATCCAAAAGGCCGTGTCTTCAAATGGGGCGCTTGCCCAATCCACAAGAACAGGAGCTTGCAGCCACATATTTTTAAGTCCGGTCCCAATAGTGGAGACCTTGTGCTATACTGTTCGGGGTTTTGGGTGCTGACTGCTGAAAGCCGCCGCTTGTGTTGGCATCGGCAATGTTTTCCTCGCAGTCGCTTCAAAGAGCTGTCCTTTGTAACCAAAGAGCAGTACACATGTTTGAAAAACTCGCTGAAGAGGGGCTCGCGCAGATAACAAGAACTAAGACACTTGCCCATCTGATGCCATTGCCTGTCAGGTTGTTCGAGTGGGTGCGATTGCTAGATGCTTCTCAAGGATAGAAGCAGTTTCCTTAAGTGACCGTTTCACGTTGCCAATGCCATGTCAGCTGTGCGCGGGGGCGCACAATCTGCGCACATGCACCATGCGTGGTGCCGCTGCCTTTCGTGAGTTGCGGGAGCAGATGGCGCAGCTGCCAGGGCATGGTAAACAGCCCCAGCAAGGTCGCAGGCCTCCTCGGCTAGGAGCTGTGACGTTTGGTGCGCGCAAGCGGCGCGCGTCCAACCAGTACTCCGGAGACCGCAAGCTCGCACAAAAAAAGAAGAAGCAGGATGCCAGCAGACGCAAGAAGCAGGGGGGCCTGCCAGAGACACCAGAAGGCCAGCGCGTTGTGATGAATGCAGGTGCCCTCTTGGCACACCATGTGTCAGAGGAAAAAGGCATGTGTACCAACGATGCATAGATGGTGACTGCCGGGCGGAGTTCAATGTCTTCACGAAGGCAAAGTGGTGGCCTCGTGCAAAGCGGAATTCCCTCAGCCCCATGCAGGTTCACGAGGTGCTGCGCGGACATGCAGCAGCATTGCTGGACAAGCCAGTTTCTGCCTACAAGTTAGCCCGACAGGTGGGAAGCACATACAAGCCAGTGCGAGCAATTCTCCAAGCTTGCCGAGAGCGTGAGTCGACCTTGGGGAAGAGGTCGAACGCACGCCTGTGCATGCAAGGGCCTTTGGAGTTCGACTGCACCTCTCTCCGGAAGATCCGTGTGGGACCTGCCTCGAAAAAGTATCAGGGCTTGGTAGAAGAGTGGCGCAAGCGCCGCAAACATGTTCGCCTTCCTCGCCATTTCCTGCTGTACTTCCGCGTGGTGGGAGTTTGCAAGCGGGGAAGCGGCCAGTTTGCAGTGCGGCCCCTTCCTCTTCGCTTGGTGCCCGCGGCAGGGAAGCCGCCGGTCGAGTCGACTGCAGAAGTGGTGTCATCTGGCATTTTGAAATGTGCTCAGTCTGGCAGCACGTGCTTCACAGACGGCGCACAGGCGTACAAGGCAGCCCACCGTGCCTCATGCCCCGGCAAACGGTTGAAGTGGAGGGAAGTGGTGCATTCCCGAAGCCAGTTCACTGCCACAATTCGGAAGACCAGCGGCGTCAAGCTCTCTGGCACACAAACTCTGGATCGGCTGTGGCATCGACTCAAGATGGCAGTTCCCAAGGAACTCAACAACCGACAGAAAGGATGGATGAATGTGGATGGCTTTATGAAGTTCGTGCACGCCTGGATGTGGCGAAGGTCCCAGAAGAAGGACACCTTGTTCTTTGCCTTGGGAAAGGCAATGCGAGACTAGCTAGCTGCAACCCCACAACTTCACAAACCACCCATCCAAGCCGTTTTACCCTCCAGGAAGTTATTATAGGGCGGTATCAAATTCAGTGGGGCGTTCCCTTAGGATGAAGCCGTTTTTTCCCGCTGGGACGTTGTGATTTCATGGTCGTTGTTGGGAAAATACATGTTTGCTTCTGGTGGTTGAAATCCAACCACTGAACTGCTAAATGTCCATTTGTTGCTCCCCAAACCCAACGTCAACCACTACTTTGTGCGGGCGTCCAAGCATCCAGCGCTCAGGATGAGAAGCTCGAGCTTCAGAGGGCGCCCTCCTTCCCACCGCCCGGCTTTGCTCCGGGCCTGGTCCTGGGCCGCTCGACTCGGGGGGGTTGGTCTCACTCGAGTTTATGCTAGGTCCCCCAGTAGTGCCAACTTTTTCCGTTTGCTTTTTGGTGGAGGGTTCCCCTACTAGAATAGACTACAGACAAAAGTTGGTACCCTGATTTTAACCTCTACTGCAGGACCTAGTATCCATTTTTGTTCAATGGCGATTTGCCTTGGCTAGTGGTTTGGAGCCCGTTGCTTTGGAGGCTTGCACCCTGACTTTTGAAGAGGGCCGGAACTTCTCCACCAAAGCTGAAATACCTTTGATTTTTGGGTATGATGTCTGAATGGGTGGTTTCATGTTGGGACCCCCCCCCCCTCAAATGGGAGAATGTCGAGCCCTGACTGAAAAAGGAGGTTTTCGCCGTAGACAACCAGATTTCGCAATATGTGGCTAAGCAAGCGGGTATTGGGACTAGGACTATCGCAGGAGTTTCCTTCCTTCAAGTTCGCCTAGTGTGTGACCCTGGATGGAGCCTTACTGAGCCGGGGCTGTTCAAGTTTGCCTTTAGAGCAGGACTCCTTGAAAGATCTCCATTTTGCCCCATTTGAAAAGTGGCTTTTCCACCCAAAGAAAGGGAAACCGCCAGTTACAAGTTGCAATGTTCAGGTGTATAATGTAAGACTCCCTGCAGAGCAGCCTTTCGGAGCTAGAAGGAATTCTGCAAGGACGCGGTACCTTCAAAAACAAGACAACTAGGTCCCCCAGCTGGGTGCCAACTTTTACCAACTTTTTTGGGGAGGGTTCCCCTACTAAATAGACGTCCTGAAAAAATGGTACTCTATTCTAAGCTCTCTACTGGAGGACCTAGACAAAGCCAAATATAAACGACAAAAAGAAGGGTGCCCGGGTGTTCTCGCAAAAACACCAAACACCAAACCACAGGTACCCTGGAAAAAGGACGCCGGCAACCGACCCTTCAAACATGGGGCAAGGACCTCTTTGGGTAACAGCTTCAATTTTGAAGGGTGAGAAGGAGACTCCAGGTACTCATCGTTGTTTTGTGGAGCCGCTGACAAAACATGGCGGTATTACCACGTGCTCCAAGTACTCCCGACTTCGTCTATATGCGGCTAACTTGGCTTTGAGTAAACACCCTATTTGGGTGCTCCACCAAGTTAGTAAGTTGTTGGTAACTTAGGTTATCACCCACTTATAAGTCCCCCGTCCAGTGGGGTTCCCCCGTTCAGTGGGGCTAAGCCTGTTACGAACCCAAGTGACTAACCACTTACTAACTTCATCCAGGTGTATTTCCTGTTTGGTTAGTTTTACACATCGACTGTTAAGAGAGTCTTCTTTTGGTGTGATGTTTATGGGGGATTATGGAGTGAACCCTGTTTTGGAGCACCCCCAAGCTACGCATAAACAAGGTGGAACTCGCCCACCAGAATTTTGCTTTGCAAGCACCCAAGTTGAAGTTGGAATGTTGGAGTGTTGGAGTGTTGGAATGTTGGAGGGTCCCAGCTGCCTTTTCACCTTTGGGTCCGATTCCCTCGAAAACATCCCCTTGACCGAGGTGAGCTCCCGCGGAGCTCTTCGGTGCAGTCGGTGGGTCTCCAGCGCAGCATCTCGGTGAAGGCGCCGTATCCCCCGGGCCTAGGCTTCACGCCTCAGCACACGCCCAGCGGAGGCGGGGTGGGGGGGGGGAGGGAGGGGTGGGGGAGGGGTGGCAGTGGCTCAAAATTAAAGAGCCAGGGTTACGCAGGTTTTGGTCCGTGTTTCATTCCACTTACCGGGGCGAGCCATTTTGGTACCCGTTTTTAGAACAAAGGCGGGTGGGGGGTGGGGGGGTGGGTGGTGGAAGGAGGGGTTGGGTGGGGGAGGGGTGGGGAGGCGGGTGGGTTGAGTTGTGGTGGTGGTGGCGGGGTGGGGGGGGTGGTGGTTTGGGGAGAGTGGGAAGGAGCTTAGAAATACCAAAGGCAAGACACCCCAACAGGGAAATCCGGTTTACCCCAACCGTATTTACGGTCAAGGATGTGGATCTTTGGGATTCGCTACGAATCTGGAAATGTTTAGGATGCATTGCTGTTGGATTCCACCTCTTCTTCCCCATGCCGTGTGCTCATTGTTAGTGCTCGTTTAGTACCCTGACTGAGTTAATTACATGGCTCGAAGCTGGAGTCGGGAGGTATGGATGCCTATACCATTAATACAAGCTTCCAGTGCAGTATGTAGCCCTTAAAGAAAGGGATATATACTCTCCATACCTTCAAACCAGCTCTTGTAACTTGTACCGCTCATATAAGTGGTTTGTAACCTCAATACTGTGGATGGACAGAATCCTACACCACTGTGAAACCATGATTGAAACCATTATTTGTTGGTACTTACATGGTATTTACTGGGGAATCGACTCAGACACCAGGGTTTTTGAACGGTGGCGCGAAATGGATTTCGTCCATCCACAGTACAGATGCTTACATACCATCAATGCAAGCCTGTAACCTGATGTAAGTGGCATATAACTGTCAACCTCCATACCTGAAAGCTCCCGTGATCCCTCCAAAACAGCTCTGTACCCCTCATATAAGTGCTACATAACCTCCATACTGTGGATGGACGAAATCCATTTCGCACCACCCAAGAATCCCTGGTTTCTGATGATTCCCCAACGTAAATACCAACAAACAATGGTTTCCCCTGGTTTCAAAGTGGTGCGAAACGGCTTTCGAGGACCCATCCACAGTACCTCCCAAAACCCAAGCAAAACAGCTCTCCCTGAGAAAGCCCAAGATATTTCTCAAGGACTCCAGCGCAAGATCTCCTTCGGGCTCACTGACGAGCCGAAGCTGAGGCGCGCTGAAGCTGAGCCCTGGACCTTGTTTGACCTTTTGCAGTGCCCCTTTTGGCGCCTAGTTTCAGTCAAAGACTTGTCCAAACAAAGCAGTCTGGAGTTTTGTGGTTGCCTCATTTGGTCTAGTTGTAGTCAAAGTTCCCGCGTCGGCCTTTCTCCAACTTTTGCTGGAGCGGGTGCCGATTGGTTTTGGGCCTATGGGAATCCAGTGGGCTTGGGACACCAACTTTCTATCTGAGAAGTTTGCTTGGTTGTCTTCGTTTAGCGGCTGGAATCAACATGCAAGTTCAACAGCATAGGTATCCTTCGATCGCTTAGTTTGGCTAGAAATAGATGAGTTCCACTGGTTTAGATGGGTTTTACGCCCAGACCACAAAAGAAAATGTCTATTTCCCAAAAGGACCACCCAGTTGTTCAGCAGGGAAAACCAGTTAAGTGCAAAATTCCTCGGGCCTAGGGATTTTGAAGCTTCAAGGCCTCAGGGCCTTGTATCGTCTTTTTTTTAATGATTATCTCTGTACCTGCAGTCTCCGTGACCCTTTAAGAATGGTTGGTCATGACCCCACTATTTTGGGTAATGACCAACCATTTTTAAGGGGTTAGACCGTGTTCTTGCCCAATTGACTCGAGTGAGTCAGACTCGCTCATGCCAACTTTTTGTGGGTTGGTATATTTTGGAGAATCAGGTACCCATGGTGAACTTTGTTTTTGTCAGTGCGACGCTGGTGCCGCTAGCCCCTTTTTGGACCTTCCGGAAGGAACTTTAGCTTTTCCATCAAGCCTAAGATGATCGTCCCTTAAGCGTTCAGGTTGTTCAGGGATTCGTGTTTCGGGGTTTCCATGCAACGCCGACGTAGCAGGGGATCAATCCGTTTGGCTTGAGTCGGCTTTTTGGTCAGGCTGACCCCAAGATGCTCTGAGAGGAATCTACGGCTGACTCCATTGTGCGCGTCCGTGACTGTTGGCTGGTTAAATAACACCCAGGTCCCTCTGAAGCGACCCAACTGCTCCAAAGTTTGCATCTTTGTGTTTCCGGAAGGATGAACCAGATGTTCTAGTCAGGGCTTGACTTAGCAACCCCCGCACAAAAGTGGGTATTGAGTGTAGGGGGAATTACTTGCACATGTTCCTCGGGTGTGCCTTGCGAAGCACCGCAGGCGCATGCCGACCGACCTGGATATGGTGAATGAGCATGAGGAGGCAGGTCCGAACAGGGTGAGTTTGCTTTTCGACCCGGCCTGTTAAGGGCCATATTGGTACAGCGGATGCCCTTAATACTGCAAGCAAATGAAGTAGAAATTCAGAAACCACGGAATTTAGATGGTTTCCCTTGTTCTCTACTTGCCATACGCAAAACCTTAAGTTCATGGACTGCACAATTTTTGTGAAGGGCCATCCACTCAGTGAGTTTCGGCCATCAAGTGGGTCAATTCCAAGCAGATATGGGCATGGGTCAAAATTGAACCACCAGGGGACCGCAGGATTTAGTCCTTGCTTCCATTTACTAGTGTTCCGTTTTTGGTACCTATTTTTGACCCACATGGGTGCGGTGCCATCGCCCAATTCACCGACAATTGATTGTGTATTGATACGGTCGGAATACCGTCACAAACGTAGAGATGTTGCTGTGAAACCAGATGGGTCTGCCCCCCCCCCCCCCCGCCCCAAATGAATGGGTGCAAAACGAGATTAATTCATGTTTGCCGTTGTGCTAGACAAGTAATATAGTCGGCTGCTGACATGTTTTTCGGTAGACTCTTTTGCGAGGTTTTGATTGTGACTCACAGGCAATAGGTATCCTTTCTAGGAAAGTTTGGTTAGAAATCGATGGCCCCATATATCGGGAAAGCCGCGAGTCAAGTCGCCGGAGAAAGGGCCATCAGTAGGAGACCCAGGGGTTAGTGACCTCTAGACAACAAGTACAGGGAAGGCGTATACATTGCGTATACATACAATATTGTTTTTTGGGCAGTGGTTGCGGGGTAGTGGAAACCATTTTAGACACATGAGCGCCCAAAACCCGGTGTTGGCAATTTTAGGCGATTCCACCGTCTGGTTTCAATGTGCTTCTGGTAAGGCTTATGCAAGTTGTTTTTCTTCATTTTTTGCCAACCGTTTTTGTAAGAGTCAATGTTGTGGACCTTTACAGGGCTTTAGTGCCCAGCCCAAGCCTTGAATGAGGCCTTTTTCGGGGTTTCTAGGAGAAGCCGGACAAGTTTTTTTGTCTCCACAGGAAGTCTTTATCAGTTCCGGTGGTACCCAGGAAATTCTAGGTGATAGCCTTTACCTCCCCGCTCCTACTGTGGATGGACGAAATCCATTTCTCACCACCCACGAAACCCTGGTTTCTGATGATTCGCCAACGTAAATACCAAGAAGCGTTATGGTTTCAGCAATGGTTTCAAAGTGGTGCGAAATGGAGTTCGAGGATTCATCGACAGAGTGGGTTGCAACCTAGGCTGACTTACTTACGAAATTTGGGGTCCAACAAGTTGTCACCCCCACATCGGGGGACGTATATCCGCAGGATCTCCTGGCGACTCCTGGCAGTTCCGGCGGTACCCGGGGTGTTTCCAGGTGATAGCCTTCACCTCCCGGCTCCTACTGTGGATGGACGAAATCCATTTCGCACCACCCAAGAATCCCTGGTTTCTGATGATTCCCCAACGTAAATACCAACAAACAATGGTTTCAACCATGGTTTCAAAGTGGTGCGAAATGGAGTTCGAGGACCCATCCACAGATTGTTGTAACCTAGGCTGACTTACAAACTTGCGAATTTAGGGGTGCAACTTGTCACCCCCACATTCACGAAGTATATCCACAGTTTTGGGCTTCCCAAGCACCAGTCCAGTTGATCTCCTGGCGACTCCTGGCAGTTCCGGTGGTACCAAAGGGGTGTTTCCAGGTGATAGCCTTCACCTCCCAGCTCCCATTGGGCTTTCTGGGCTTTTTTTTTTGAAATTTTTGAATCCCTGGAATGATGATTCCCCTGTAAATACCAACAAAACATGGTTTCAACCATGGTTTCAAGCTCCGAAATGGATTTGGTCCACAGTTTGCTGCCTCCCCGCTCCCATTGGGCTTCCATGATGGCACCTTGGTCAATGGAGCCAAAGACAAAAACCCGCGTGAGCACGGCTCTTAAGTTTTGAGCCACACCCATATCCGCCATTCTTGTTGATCTCCTGGTATTAAAGGGGTGTTTTTAGGTGATAGCCTTACCTTCCCGTAGGTTCCCCAGTGCCTTTTTTTGTTCTCCTTTTTTGGGATGGGAGGGTTTTTCTACTAAAATAGACGAATCAGAAAAAAAATCGGGAACCCTAACCTCTAACCTCTCCACTCAAAAAATCCTAGCCTCCTTTTGGGTAAATAGACTACAGAAAAACATCGGGAACCCTGGATAAACGCCTTCTTTTGGGTCCTTTTAAAGCAGGGTTGTGGGATCAAGGGGTTTCTCCCCACTTCTGTGATACAACGGAATCCCCCTTTATATGAAGAACATAGTCTTTGGGAAGCCCTTTCTGTTGTATCACAGAAGTGGTCATTCCCTTCCCCACAGCCCTGTTTTAAAGGGGCCAGTGCTTCGGTGTTTCGGGGCTCGATAGGAGCGCCAGTACCACCGGGAGCTGCTGCTCTTCTTCGCCGCTGCTTGTCCCCCCGTGGAGAAACTGCCCTGGCCGCAGCCGGGGGCGCTGCGCGTGATGGCAGGCGCGCGGAGAGCTGATGCAAATTGGGGACTGGCAGCCACACGGGCACTGGTTGCTGTTTTTTTTGTTGGTTTGGGCTGGGAATTGGTTGCTTTGTTTTTTTCGTTGTTTGTTGTTGTTTGTTGTTGTTTGTTAGTTGGTTTGGTGGTTGGGTTTCAATTATCTTTTAGCTCGCAAGTTAAGGTTTGAGCAGGGGATCAGAACACGGACAGCGCAGCAAACCTGGAAAACTATGAACTACGGGGAATTGTTACTACTTGGGTGGTTGGCCAAGTTGGTAAGTTGTTGGAAACCTAGGTTGTAACTAGCTATAACACAGCTAGCAGCCCCCCTGAGTGGAGTTAATCTTGTTCTGAAGGGGGGTTATATGCCTAAATGAATAACCACTTACTTACATGGGGTCAAGCTTGTCATTCGCAGATCTAAATGAAGGTACTCATTTTGGGGGTTCCTCTTTGACGCATGCCCAGGATTTTTACCTGGTTGCCCCTGGTTTAGCACTCTGGTATTTGGCAGCGGGCAGTCGGAAGTCTCTCTCACCTTGAACAATCAGGTTTTCCCAGCATGAGTACTTCAAGTCAGGGGTGGACGTCAACAAGTGGGTATTTGTGTTACGGTGTAGGTGCACCGCATTTGGAACACTTGACCTACCCCGGCCGTTTGGAAGGCAAACTGGGACACGGCATAATTACACATGTTCCCGAGGAAACCGTGATCACTTCCCGAGTTCCTTTTCGGAGATTGGTCAGTTTTTCGGGTTGAACCCCGCTTGGGTAAACAAGTTGTTGTGTTTCGTTTGGCTTATGCACTCAGGAAGTGAGCATTCGTATGGAGCAAGGCAGCTTGTTGAAGTTCCCTCCCCCACCCACAGTCGATGCCTGTTTGTTTGCCTGGTATGGCAGCTATGATGTCATTCCCTGACTAAAAGAGGAGGTATTCACCATGGACAACCTGGTTCTTCAATACAGATCCTGAAAAAAGTGGGGATTCTGGTGTTGAAAGGCCCTGTGTTGAGTTGCTTCGGCGTTTTCGCCTGAATGTTTCTTTGGCCGGAGGCCATGCCGCAAGGATGCGCTAAAAGATAGACCGAGAAAGAGTATCACCAGCTACCCTATACATCCAGCTGTGCTCGCCTTGCTCAATCTTCAGGGATCCTTCTCTTCAAGTCGCAATTTTAGTTCGAAACATGGACCCCACACAAAATTCATAGGATCGAAATGTCCAAAAGGGGGACCCCCGTTTTAGGTTCCGTGTTGAACTATCAACAGCGATGGGCATCAAAATTGTCGACCCAACAGCATGTAAATTATCATGCGGGCGGATCCGCACCCATTTACGGCTGGGACTGCCCTGTACTAGTGTTCATCCACCGAGGTTTTGATGGGGCTCAACTTGCGCAAACCACAGCGATGTTGGGTGAGTGGTGTGAGTGGTGTGAGGAAGCCCCCCCCGATTTAATCTGAATCAATCTGGTTTATGGACGAAGTCAACGAAAAACCACGAACACCGCCAAGAAAATGGTTGTTTTGCTCTGTTCTTTCGCAACCCAGTTGCCCAGTGATGCTCTTTCTTCTGTTTTTTCCCCAACAGCTGACAGCTTTGGGGTCTCAGCCCAGATAGGCTCCGGGGTGGTCCGGGGCGGCCCTGAGGTAAGGTTCCACGAGGGTTCCACCAGGGTTCCACCAGGGTTCCACCAGGTTCCACCAGGTTCCACGAGGGAGGGCTGCGGGGTGCCGCATGCTGTTGGGGATATCACCTGAGCTTATTTGGGAAGGGTTCCCTTTAAACTCAACCAACAAAAGAAAGATGCCGCTTTTTCTCCCTGGCCACTGGGCATCTGAGCAAAACCAGCGATGGTCGTTCTTGTACTGCAGAGCGCTTTCACTTAGCGCGGCATTTTCTCCCCTACGCCGATTCTTCGAGGGTGGGCAGGTGTGCAGCCTCCTTCTCCGCCCGCTGCGAGGAAGGCGGATGGGGCGATCTCATGTGCGTGTTTTTTTGATCCAATCATGGTTTAGAGCTGGGTGGCTGGGTGAGTGGGTGGCTGGCTGGCTGGCTTGCCGGCCGGCTGGCCGGCTGGCTGGCTGGCTGGCTGGCTGGCTGGGTGGGTGGGTGAGTTTGAGCCTGAGTTCTAGGAGGCCACTGGCCTGCAAACCATTTGTTTGTTTTTGTGCGTGTTTAGGGTTGTCGATTATGCCATACAACGATGCCTACCGCCCCAAGCCCTCCACATTCCTCTTGGCTTTAGGGTATACTTTGAAGAGCTAGGTGTTTCATGGTACGTACCTTCTTTTTTGGTCAGACATCATTCCCGGAAAAACAAAAAGAAAGAAAGAAGCAAAAACACATGAGTCTGTCTTGTCTTGGGGCCCCCCCGTTTGGTAAATGTTGCCGAGTCGGTAAGCCTGTACAGCCCCTCCTTGCCCGCGTAAAGAAGGCATGCAATTTATTGATAGAGGCAAGCCTTAAGGTATAGCTCATTTGTTTTGTGGAGTCTGGGTTCACTTCCGGCCGAACGTGAGCTGCGGAATCGAACTTAGGCAAAAGAGCCCAAGAAGGAGACTGCAACCAACCGGCCAAGCGTCCCGGAAGAGGCGCGAGGGAAGAAGACTGAACTATGTATGCTCAGTTGCCCAACGTCGACCTTTTCACCTTTTGGCTTTCCTGTTAGGCCCATATTTAGTCAAGGTCGCAAAAGTCTAACCTTCTATTTCCAGGTCTTTTGGGCAACTGAGCATGTCGTTTTGAGGGTATCTTTTTGATTTTTGGTGATGTGTTGAAGCGAAATCAAGGGCTACACTTGCTTTGGAGTTTCCAGCTTAAGACAACCACTTGTGAGGTGTGTTTAAGACGCCCTGATGGCAAGCCGACAAATCCTCGTGAGGTGTTGAGTGGCCGGGCCCGTGTTTTCTGGGTAGCTTGGGGCAGCCCAGATTCTTCCCTTGAATCCCGAAATTATTTGGCCTGCTTTCTCCCTTGGCCTGAGGGTTGGGTCCCCGACAGTCTCCCAATAGGGATGGAACGATGGCCGTCCATTTCGAACGGATTTGGGACGAATCAGGGCGACCCTGAGAGAGAGCTTCTGCACTGGAGAGGGAGTGCCCTTGACCAAGGTGAGCCACAATCAAAACCTGGGTAGATGAAGGTTAGTAAGGGACAATCCCAACCAGAAATAGTTGCGGCCGCCTTTCTAATTCTTTACATGGTGCCGGGTTCACCATTTTTGCACCGATCGGTTTTGATTGCGACTCAGGTGTGTCAACATGCAAACATGGGAGCCGATTGTCGTAAGCGGTCAGCGAATCCAGGAAAACATGTAAGACCTCGGAGACGCATACTTATTGAGAGAACAAAATCAGGGGGAAAGGGTCAGAGAGTCCAGGAACCAGGCTCGGAGGCGAGTAGTTGTGGGGGTGTCTTCTTTTAGGGGACCCCCAAAATGGCTTCAAAACTTGGTGTTTTGTCCGCCGTCCCAAGAAGCTTTTTAGGCTTTGAGTGGTTAGTGGTTTCCATTTAACCCACTAAAAGCTAAACTTTTGGATTTGGTACGCATCTAGGTCCCCCAGCTACTCCAACCACTTTTTTGTGGTAGGGTCAAGGATCTGAGGATCTGAGGATCTGAGCCAGAAAACCACATGAGCCACAATCAAAGCCCGGGTAGATGAAGGTTAGTAAGGGACGATCCCAGCCATAGCTGCGGATATGTGTCTTCTTAATCCTTGAAGCATGGTTCTGGGTCAACCCATTTTTATACATGGCTTTGATTTTGACTCACATGGCTTTGTGTTAGCAACAATCTGCCGCCCTGTCTGCTCTTCGCGGCCTCTCTCAATGTCTGCTTCTTGGTCAGGGTTCCTTAAAAGATACATTTTGCCCATTTGAAACATGGTGCTTTTCCACCAAAATAAGGGGAAACCACCATTGACAAGGCAATGTTCAGGTGTATAATGTAAGGATCCCTGTTCCTACGTGCGTTCCCAGCCACCCCTGAGCTCTTTAGTTTTTTAGGGTTTTGCGGGGGAGGGGGGTCGGGTCCGTTTAAGCCAGTAGAAGTTTTTCACGTTTAGAAGGGGGCTTCCTTTCGGCCAATCCACGACTCGGGAAGTGAGACTTGCGCCTTGCAGGCACCTGAGAGCTTTCCAGCCACTCGGCGAGCTGCCACGTTACGCTACCTTCCCACGAACCTTGAACCTGTCTGCTGAAAGGGGCATTGTCATAACCCACAAGAGCCATGTTTTGTTCGTTCAGTGGGGTATAAACAGGCTTACCAACCACTTGCTAAGTACCCTGCCCCTTTAGGGTAGGGTTTCCTGGAGGTTCCTCTCAAACGGTGGGCTTCCGGGCAAAACTCGCAAACACATGCCGATGGAAACCCAAGGAAACGTGCCATGAGTCAGTTTTCCATACCCCCTACGCAAAAGGGGTTTATCCCCCACTTTTGTGACACAAGGGAATCTCCCCCCTTATATGGGCACTTTTGATTCTATCACAGAAGTGGGCATTTCCCACAGCCCTGCTACGCAACAAGTTCCATGTTCTGCAGGATCAAACATTACAGTTCCATGGCTGTGGTGGAAGTTGTTTTTGTTCCCATGCACGTTGCCATGTTTCGGCAGGACTTCCCGCCCCCAATACTGGCTTTTGTGGAGTGTGTCATGGAAAACCCAGATTTTGCGAATCGAGGCTTCTCAAAGTCATGGGCATCTGTTTTGGGATGGTTTCAAGAGGAGACTAACAACATTTAATTCGTCTGTGGCCCTGTGTGTGTGTGTGTGTGTGTGTGCGTGTGTGTGTGTGTGTTTTTGAGGGTGCCCTTTTCGGGTTGTTTTAAAGGGAAGCCGAAAGGACAACCACCATTTTGAGAGGCTCCCTAGAAAGAGACACACTCAGGTGCTTGGCCGAATGCCGGCTCAGGCAGAGACGGCGAAGGAGACGAAGGACGCCAAGGGCAAAGGGGATCATTCGCAGGGCGGCGCGCAGGCGGGAGTGATTTGCCATCCGGGATTGTGAGCTACACCACATGTCCACTTTTTCCCGGGTATGACCTTGTGGTTCCCAGCCATCCCCTTAGGTGTTTAGGGTTTGGTGGGGGTTTCCATCTGGCCCACTAAAAGTTAAACTTTTAGCAGGGTATCTGAGGACCCCAGTGATGTCAATCTCTATAGAAGTTGGTATTTGCAAGGCGTTTCCAACATATATGCCCCAGAAAAAGAACGGTGTTTTGAGTAGGTGGTTTGTAGCAATGCTTCTGCGCGGCACCTCAAATAAGGCCCACACAGCTGTGAGGGGCTGTCTTTTTTTTATGCAGGGGGCATGGGACGGCTGTTGATTGTGATCGGGGGCTGTCCCCTTTCAGTGGGGTTCTGACCACTTTTGGACCGGAACACCCCCCCTAAGTACTATATAGGACGGGTTAAGTCAACGTTATTGTTCAGGTGCATAGTCTGAGAACCCTTGCTTTGCACAAACAAGCTCACCAATCCAAAACGAGCTTGGCCTCATCATGGTCACTCAGACTGGGGAGTGAAAGCTGTGAGTGTAGATATTTCCATCTACCCAGCCCCCTGGTTTCAAAGGGCTCAATCTTGCACTGCTTGAAGGACGAGCAAATGCCATCCTGTCCCGTTTCGGGCGCAAGCTACAGACGTGTGGGGATGCAGTGGGGGTAGAGGGGGGGGGGTTAAGCTTGCGACAAGGGGGTGAAAAGCCCCAAATGGCGAGCGCCGCATCAGAATTTTGGGCCTCGACATATGGCCTCAACATATGTCCTTCTGACCCCCCCCCTTATTACTACAACTCCTGGTGTGGTACATCTCAATCGGACCCTTCGGGTGTGTGTGTGTGTGTGTCTGTGTGTCTGTGTGTCTGTGTGTCTGTGTGTCTGTCTGTCTTTGTGTCTTTGTGTCTTTGTGTCTGTGTGTCTGTGTGTCTGTGTGTCTGTGTGTCTGTGTGTCTGTGTGTCTGTGTGTCTGTGTGTCTGTGTGTCTGTGTGTCTGTGTGTCTGTGTGTCTGTGTGTCTGTGTGTCTGTGTTTGTTTTTTGCTTTTTTGCGAAAGCCTGAAGGATCCTGGCATAGGGCCTGGTGAGTTGTCCAAATTAGGCAAGATTTACGCGCTTGCCAATTCTCACTTGCCTTAAAATCAATGGTTAAAATGGACGAACCAAGGGAAACTAAAAGGTCAGATTGGATCAGGTCGATTCGCTTTTGGCTTGCGTGAGCAATACCCAGTGGATCCCAGGCATTTCGTCAGTATAGCAGGTAACCAGTTATTGTCCTATGTTGGTTATTTTTCTGGGTGGCAAGCCCTGGGTTACCTACCTGCACCATGCAAATGGATCCATAGATCCACTGGCTAGGTTTGAAGACTATTTGGACCCGCAAACCCACAACAAAAGGACTTCGCACCATTTTGGGTCGCTATAACCCATGCTTACCGGAATTTTCAGGTCCAGAGACTCCTTTTGGCCCAAATGGACGGTGACGCCGCTAGCTCGGGTTGGCATCCAAGGCGCGTCATGCGAAGGGCAAGGGTGCCGGAGGCGCTCGCTCGATCTGCGCTGCTCGCGCCGATTGGAAGAACGTGGAGTCGTTTGGTCCATTCCTTTTTGAGGTTGCTACTAGGTTGGATCTTTAGACTTTAACTTTTTGGTGGATATCCAGGGGTTTTCCCAACTTCACCCGCCCTGGCGCTAAACTTTAGCAGAGGAGTCCGTCTCGACCTGGCTTGAGCCAACTTGGGATTCCCCTTTTTGAGGCACCACGTTTTTTGTTTCGTTTTTTTGTCTTTCCAACTTTGCTTTGGAGAGGGTATCCTGTTAAAAGCAGCCTCCAACAAGAGTGGCCGGTTGCAGTTTCTCTCTCTTCTTACCTCTTAAAAACACAACTTTTCAACTTTTTGGGTAACATGGGCTATATGTTTGTAAAAGATTAACTTCCCCAGGGCTTGGAGTTTTAAGGGGTAAGTCTTTTTGAGGGGTTTTTCCTTGCAAATGTTCAACCGCCAAAACATGGGTGCCCTGTTCCACGGCCGCGTTTGGACGTTTGGGAGGCAGTCCGCTGGTTGGTAATCCTGACTTAGACGCTCCGAATTGCTCAATGCCTATCCGACTGTTGGCTTTTTTTTTCCTGCTCAAGGGTTTGTAGCTTCTCGAAAGGCCCCTTTTCCCTTTTCATTCCTAGCCTTTGATTCGTGGGAGAAGTGCAGCTTTCGAAAGCCCAGGCAACATTGAACCTAAAGACTACTGCAAGTGAAAAACAACCATAGACTGCACCAGCTAGGTGACTTATCCCAAGAATTACACGGTTCCATTCAACCCAACTGCGCAGAGGATGTTTGTCCATCAGTATGTAATACTGATGAACTTCTCACAGCTTCCCTAGGAAGCCAACCCATAACTAGGCTCCCCGTCTCAAAAGGGTCACATTGTAGGGTCAAGGATTGTGCTATCCAGATCCGAACTTCTGGCCAGCTCGCTAGGGTAGCTTTCTTCCTTTCGGACTCTGAGCTGTTTCATGTTTGGAGTGAGGGGAACTCCTACTCGGATGTTCGATCTGCCAAGTTAGTTCAGTCGCCATTAAGACTTCCCCCTAACAAGCTTCACCCCACTGAACGGGAGACTTCGAGGTGGGTTAAGGTTACCAACAGATTGGTAGCTTGGCCCACAACTTGTTGGTTCCCAGCCATCCGGTTCCCTAGCTTTTTAGGGTGTGGTAGTTTTAATTTTGCCCACCAAAAGTTTTCATTGTGGGGATCAGAAAACGGACAGCCCAAAAAAGGTTTAGCTTTTTCCCATGGCTCCTAAGGAGCAACTCAATCACCAACATGAAGAGTGGCGATTCTTTATGTCCCAAAATCCACGGATCTGCTTGGATGTTCGGTTCGTCAAGTTAGCTAGCTCTGGGTAACCGTTCGGTCACAACCCACTTATAAGTCCCCGTGAATGTGGCATTAACCTTGCTATTAGGGGGGTTGTACCCCAAATAGCCAACCATCCAAGTAGGAACATTGGAAACGGAAAGCCCGAGTTTTGAAAACTGCGTTTGACCCTCTTCAAAAGCCCTTTTAGATGGATTGCAAGGCCCCCGCCCGACACATGGGTGAGTGCAGTGATGTTGCCGCCGAACTTTGCAAACAAGTGCCCGGCATTTCTGACCAATATCTGCCCGCAGGCCAATACTCGCAGGACTCAGGGAAGGCAGGGGGATGAAAGGCAGTTAACTCTGGCAAATCAGAACAAGCTTCCCTCTCCCTCACTTTCAAGCGAATTTTTGGGGGTTCAGGCAGGTCACCAGCATCATAACGTTTACCGAAGGATTGTCATCATCTGCATTTGGTCAACCAGGTTGAACCTTAGGGTCCTCAACCTAGAATGACCTTTGGGTTTTCCTGATTTGGACCATTTTTAGTGTTCCAAAAGCAGGTCAATCTATGTTTTTCTGACTTTCTGGGTCCCATCCGGGGCATCTGAGACTAACAGGCTACCTAAAAAGGCGTCATCTTCCAGGTACCCTCCACTTGCTATATGGGAGGAATGGTCCTTCTTGTCGTGGTTTGCGAATTACTTGGCCGGATGGATGAGAGGCAATCCTCAATCCTCTCGGCTTGGAAGGCTGCATATAGGGATTGGCCCTTCTAGGGGTTTAAGAGCGAGGGACCAATACAAACGCTGGATCGGTCGATTTGGATCGGGTGTGTGTCCCCTTTTAGGGGGTAGGTTAATGGAGGATGCGTTCAACGTAGATGTTTCCCGACCCTTTTTGAGTGCAGGTTGGAGCTGGGTGGTTGTCAGGACTCATATGCCTGGTTGGTTGTCCTGGTTCTGGCTGGCATTGGAATGGGTATTGCCCCCGTTTCTGCCTGCCATCGTGCCCGAATAGACCAGGTTGCTTAGCGGCCGTAGCTCGCTTTTTGGTTTACACCCGGGAGAGCTTCAATAGACCCTAAGACCTGAACGCTTTGTTTGAAAGAAACCGAGAGGAGTGTACATGCTTCGCCGAGATGAATATTATATACTTGGGGATTCCTTGTTGGTTGTAGAACCATTGTAACATTGCCAGACTAAGAATTCCTCGCTCATTGCTCTCTTTGTTTGTGATTATTGCATTTTTGTTTCGGTCGCGTCAACGTGTAATCTTTGTTGCGGGTCCAAGTAGTCCATGCTGCGGATATGTCGAAATTTCCGCAAGAGTTTCTGCAAGAGTTTGCGCTAGCTCTAAAGGGTGGACTCCCTGAGTTCCTGGACAGACAACCTTAGTGGCAAAAACAAGCAGTTTGTGTGTATTCTTTAAGGCAATTCCACTGGATCGGAATCGGACGTGAGGCACACCAAATACGCCTAAAATGGAGATTAAACCGTTTTTTGTTTGTTTCTCCCTGTTGTTTCCTCGTACCATTTTAGTGGTAAACAAAGAGGCTCGGCCGTTTTTGGGCCATCCACTCGGCAAGTGAGGTTTTTTTTCTTGCGCCGGTCCCGGACTCGGAGGGCGGATGGAAGGGCTGGCCAGCAGCCAAAGGCGGGGCGCGTGGTGTGCGACGCGGGCCCGCGGCTGGGCCTTCAGCTCCCGCCAGGTTTTGAGACCGGGTCCCAAACCCCAATTCCCGGGGTATCTAATGCTTCGGGGGTCGGGTCTTTTGAAAGGTCCAGGAGCCTCTGGGTGTTTTTCGCCTTCCATGTGCTGGAATATGTTACGCGATACTCCCCTGTTGGTTTTAACGAGATTGACTTCACAGGATGATTGTTTTTGGAAAAGGGGGGCTTGAGCAAAAAATGGCAGTAGTTGGTTCAGTGGGGATCCGAACAACTCAAGGGGTGTGTCTTTGTTTTAAGAGACCCCCCAAATCTAGCGGTTCCCAGCTGTTTGGTTCCTCAGGTTTTAGGTTGTTACTTTAGTTGGTTAAGTGGTTGGTTTCCATTCAACCCACGGGTCAAACTTTAAGCAGGGGATCAGAAAACGGACAGCCCAGCATAAACGGTGAGCATTTGTTTGTTTGCACGACTCAGGCGGGTCTTGTTTTCAATGGGTAATCCGTTGTCACCCTTGGATCATACACCCCTCAAGGTGTTTGTTCGCAGTTGTGTAGTGCAACCCGAGTCATTCCCTTTCCTGCAGATACTCAGCAAACTGGGCTTCAGCTCACTTCCCAAGTCCATGGACTGGATACTTTTTGCGGAGACCATTTTGGTCGCAAACCAAAGTGTGCACGTCATTTACGTGGTTGTTGTTGGGAAACATTTTACATTTTGCTTATTCTGGTTTAGTGGGAAATCCCCACATAACTGCTAAAATTTAAATTTCTGCTCCCCTTCCAACGTCAACCAAGCTTTCTTCAGGCCATGCTTCCCCCTTTGAGCCGATATACGTCTACCCAGTACTTTGATCCCTTGCCCCAGAAACCCTGAGACCCTTTGGGCACCCTTTAAGATCTCTTTGGGACCAGTTTCGGTTCCCATTTCCAATTCCCTCCTCTTTCCATTTGCCCCATGAATTAATATTATATACATTCAAACAAAAAAAACATCTTAAAGTGATCGGTGGACACGAATCGAAACCGCATTGTGCCCGACTTGGGGGTCCTCTATTAAAAATGATACCCGTTCTGCTCCGCCTTACATGGTGGGAACCATAGGCGGTGGAAAAAGAGAGGCGCTACGGTGCTCGGACAGCAGAAGGCCTAACCTGACAAAGCTGGGGGTTCAAATCACCCTACCACCTTGCAACTTGTGAGTCAATGGACAACCTTTCTCTGTCCTCCAAGAAAAAAGCGCGGTTCCCAGCGAATCGTCCGGTTCCTTAGGCGTTTATTGAGTTTTTGTTTGTTGGTTTTGTGGGGTTTCCACTTCGCCCATTTCGCCCACTAAAGAATACACTTTTAGCAGGGATCATAATTTAGTTTTTCGTTGGTTGAGTGCTTGTGTTTCCATTTCGCCCACTAAAAGTTTGCACTTTTAGCAGGGATCTGAGGACAGCTCAGGTTAAACCACATGCCTATTTCTGAGCCGCGCGCAGGCTATGGCTGGAAGGGTTGGAGCAAGGGCTGGCCGAGCTGGAACTGGTATTGATGGATGCCCCTCACAGCAATTTTGGCGGGGCTCGCGAGCGAGAAGCTGCAAAAAATATCCGGTTCGTTTTGGAAGCTGGAACTGGTTTACCATGGTGGTTTGCCCGTGCCCAACTGGACAAATATGTGTTTTTTCTTTTCAGCAAGGCGTAGATCGAGCTGAGACCCCCGCTTGCCCACAGCTTGGCTTCCCCGTGTTGAGGATCAGTTTCAAGCCTTCCCCCACCTGTGCTTCTGGTGTCCTCCAAAGGCCCCCCCCCCACAGCAAGGGCTTTTGGCCAAAGTCACTGGGCAACTGGATTACGCTGACCCAATGGCGACTCCTCTTGCAACTCTTACAAGCATGTCGTTTACTTTGCGATTCTGAAATAGGGAGGGGGGTCTCCTGGATTGAGTTTTAATACCAAGAGCGGGTTCTCATGTTGATCATGTAACCTTCCCCAGAATTAGCTCTCCCTTTTGCCCTTTGTTTTCCACTAGCCAGGCAAAGAATATATTTTTGCAGGGGTCCGATTTTTCCAGCCTAGTAACATGGACATTGGTACGCTGTTACGCTTGCCTGGATGAGTAGATTCGAAACTTGTCATTCTTTGGCGCATTTTGCCAAGGGCTGTTAGGACTGAACAAGAATTTTTGATCCAACTCCGGGGTTTTCCGTACTAAGCCACCAAAGGTGAGTCACTTTTCTGCAGGTCTTCGCAGATGTCGCCACCGAGTAATTACGAAATCGCTTCCTCATGGACGGAATCCTGCACCACGGAGCTCGGGGGGACTATGATATGATTTTCCCCCTGGAAGTTTGCTGAAAAGCGCCGTGGCGTTTTTGTTTCATCTTCTTTTTTTTCTCCATGGTCAACATAGATCAAGGGTTTTCCATGGTTTTCCATGGTTTCCCATGGTTTCCCATGGTTTCCCATGGTTTCCCATGGTTTTTCATGGTTTGCGCAATTTGGTGCGACATAGATTCATCAATCCACAGTAGTTTGAGTCAATGATTAGGTCATTACTTTGCTGTGGTCAGTCAATTTAGCTTGTCACTTCGTCTTGATACAGGTTGGTTTTAAAGTACCCTGCAACTGCGTTCTCATTACCTTGCTTGCTTGACTACTGACTTGCTACTTGACTGCTTGCCTACTTGTTTGACTAGTTGCCTCCTTGCCTAATTACTTGCCTAACTTGCCTAGCTTGCCTACCTTGCCTACTTGCCCACTTATCTGCCTACTTATTTGCCTACTTGCCTACTTGCCTCCTTGCCTACTTGCCTACTTGCCTGCCTACTCGCTTTTCCAGCTGAGGTCTGCCGTGGGTTCGCCCGCCGCCCAAAATGGCATGCGCCGAGAGCGTGTGGTGGACTCCTGGTGACCTTACTGCAGGTCGGACGTTTGGTTGTGGTCACACCATGGGTAATCATCCTTGTTATTACACTTGGTGGCTCCCAGCCATCCCCTTAGCTTTTTAGCCTTTTAGTGTTTAGTGGTAGTTTCCATTTAACCCACTAAAAGTTAAACTTTTTGCGGAGGATCTGAGGGCAGCCCAGTAAAGGAACACCTTTTGTGGGTGTCGTTTTTGAGGGTAACCTTTGTTTTTGATGGTTTTAAAAGAACACCTGTTGTTGGTGTCTTTTTTGATGCACCCTTGTTTAGTGGTCTTAAAGGGAAACCCAGAGGCAAACCAGTGTTTTGCGGGGTCCAGCACACACACACACAAGAGGTGCTGGCTTTACACTTTTTCTGGCTGATTGCTGGGGGGCGCGCAAATGAGCAGGACTTGGTAATCTTTTTTTTTTCAGTACAAAACAACGAAGCGGAAAAGGTTTGGCTTCCAGCCAGCTTTTGGAATTCTGCACACAAAGCTCACTTTCTGAGACTTTTTGAATGTATGCTTGCTTTTTGGGAAGATCGTTTTAGTGACGAAAGGTCCGGCTTTTCCTGGCCAATCCACCGAAGTGAGTCATTTCACCCCTCAAGGGCCTCAAGGGCCCCTTGTCCCGGAAACGAGAAGCTGCCCGACCAGGGCCATAACGCCTGATGAATGAGGGTCAGTACTCGTATCAATATGGCCGTGGGTCAAAACCAATGGTAAGGGGAACACGGAAACAGCTTATGAGCACGGAGGTTTTGACGCATGAGCCACGGAGAGTATGGGGAGAGGGCATCAAAAGATGGCCTCTCGGTTCATATGTGGCCTGTGTTCTATCGGTGGTCCTTTCAAGCCACGGAGTCCATCCGTTTTGGGTGCACCACCATTTCTCAACGTTGTACAGCTTGCGACCGGAAGCGCGGCAAAGCCGATCCGATACCCGGTTTCCGAAGATTAGAGGGTTTTTGTTTTGGGAACTCGAGACTTGGGAAGATCATGTTTAGCAAGCCGAGCTTTGGCTCTTAAAAGAAAGCCGCTTTGGGAAGAGCATTTCGGCTCTTGGCCATTTTAAGCAAACCGAGTCTACCGAGCGCTCTTTTCCGTCCGCTTGGATTCAAGGAGGTCAATTTGAAACTGGCCGCCTGGGTCTTGCCCATCTTTTTGTGGCTTGAAGGAGAGTTTTGTGATTCGACCCCTGCAAAAGCTGGTTGAAGGTGCAGAAAAACACCAGGCGAGTTGTATGTTTGAGGTTTCTTCATGGTTTAGGGAGAAAAGAAGACCTGAAGGATGAACCCCTTGCAACACAATAAGTTGCTGCTGCTTGAAAATGTAGCAAAGCCAAAACGATGAATGCCTTGAAAGTTGCTGCTGCTTGGAAAGGAACATTTGGTTTGTCTTGGCCCAAAGCCAATTTGGGTGTGTCTTAAAATAGGGTCTCAAAAAGACACACACACCTGTGTAGCAAGGCTCAAAAAGATTGATGTATCTTGGTGGCCCCCAGCCATCCCCTTAGCCTTTTAGGCTTTTAGGGTTTAGTGGTAGTTTCCATTTAACCCACTAAAAGTTATTCACTTTTAGCGGGGATCTGAGGGCAGGTATGGAAAGCGGGTATTCACAGGTCGGGCTTGCACTTCAGCATTTTAGCACTTCACCGCCGGACCAAACCTCCCGCAGGGCCAAAGGCAGGGCGGAATCGAAACAGGGTTGAGATCGAGTTTCTTCGATCGTCCCAATTGAACCAAACCTCCAAACCTAACAGACTGCCTAAGGGGTGCCTGAGAATTTTCTCAGCTTGGCCCAACATCCAGGAACCTTTGTACCATATCACCTGTCGCCAAGCTAGTAAATTGTTGCAAACCATTTGGTTATAACCTAGTTATGAGTCTCCCGTTCAGTGGGGTTGAGCCTGTTTGTAGTGCGTTGGAACACCCAAGTAGAAGTGATGACTTATAATCAAAAGATATCGAAACCTCCAATCCTTAAAGGAGCCAAGGGCAGAATTTCGGTTTGGTTTCCTGTTGCTTTCCGTTGCCAAACTACCCTGCCAGGTCCCGAAATCAAGCGTCCTTGCACGAAAAGGACTCAGCAATCAGCAATCGGGGTTTCCGGTGTGGACGATTGCTTTCCCATGGCAACAAAGGCAAGCCCAGTGAATCCGAGTTACAAGTATACGCAGTTCAATTGCATTCTTGTCAAACACATATCTACACATATACACAATATTTCAATACCAGGTTGTTTGAAGGCCCTAAATCCATCGAATTGGAGCCTCTGGGTTGGTCAAGACTCATTTTTATTGTAGCCATAGCCTCAAAACAATGGTCTGGTTTTGCTGAGGGTTGACCGTCCTGCTTGCGGCAGGGAGGTTTGGGCGGTTTGGGCTTCGGAATGGTTCGTTCCGGAGCCGCCAATCTGCGAGTGACCCTTCTGAATAACGAGAGGAACCTCGAAGACACCCGGAGGCATTCACAGCGCCCAAGTGTTTAGTTGCCAGTTTAGGCGGTTCTACCTGGCTGAGCTGGGGTTAATTTCATAGCATCCCTTTTCGAGGTTCCGCGACGGTTCTTTCAGGAGGGTTCCGTTCCCTACTCCAAACGACGTTTAGATTGTTTGTTGCTGGTTTTTCTCGGATACCTGGTTGAATGGTATATATACATATATACCTGCAGCTTGTTGTTTTGTTCGCATCATGCCTCCAAAAACAGAAAACCTTAGATATACGTGGGTTCACAAAAAAACATGTGGGTGGTCCCGTTGGAGTGGGTCAGGTTGGAGCTCCAAGTGCTTTTTGCTTCCTTCCCGATTTTAAGTCGGTCCCGGGCGACCACCAGACTGGTGGACCAGGTCCAGTCCAATTTCTATGCCGCCGAATGCGGCATGAAAAATGCACAGACCTCTCCAGACAGACAAAACTGACCGACCGCGCTCTGCTCGAAAGCTGAAATAACTTTTTGCAAATATCTTTTTGCCCTGGCTTTGGACTCTGTCTACATGTGTAGGTTCTTTCCTGTTCTCTATGTTTGTTTCTATATGGAGGCGGCATTCGGAGATCCCTCAACATGGTGGTTTCCCCTTGTCCTTTAAACTCAGCCCTCGTGGTGCCCATTGTTTCAGCGTTGCTTGACCATTTCGGCTGCACCCAGAGTCGCGTTTCGCTGAATGTGGCTTGGCCACGGAACCATGTGCATATAAACACTGCTCCCCCCCAAACACACATTCAATTGGAATAGGGCGGAACCTGATGAACCATAATAGACAGCCAGCAACCTGCTGGCAAGACATAGTTCATTTAACAACACATATTGCCGGCAAACCGACCAGACTTTGCCCACAAGACCAGGGGAATTTGCGGTAAGTCAGGGGTGTTGCCTTGTTCCCCAACTTGCAATATTTTGGGCATTTGCCGTAGCACTGCTGAGACACACCTTCAGTTTTGGTTTGTGCTTGTCTGCGGCAATGTGTGTGTGTGTGTGCATGTTGTGTTGTGCTGCTTGTCCAACTAGCAAGACTTCAACTTGTTGGGTCAAACCCCCACCACCTCACAAAATTGGAGTGTGGGAGGAGGTGAGCCCTGGAATTTGATTTGGGGGCCGTCCGTAATTGCATGTCTAAAACTCATGAACAGCGGCAACTTGTTGAACCGCCCGATTGGGAAAACTCGAGCCGCGAAAGGCCGGCGATTGGACCGCGAAAGGGCAACACAATTATTGTGAATTTAGACGCTGCATGGTGTTTAGATTGCGGTGCCGACGCATCTTGCTCATTTTGACTGCACGGTCTCACACAAAAGTTCCTCCGAATGTTGATTTCGCCTGCGCAGGCCCAGGCTGCGCTTTCTACATCTGCGTGCTGGCAAAGGCTGGAAGCTGCAAACCGAAGTTTCACCGACGAATTCCGCGATTGGACCGCGGTTGGACGGCGATTGGACGGCGATTGGACGAGTTTCACCAGTGAGGCCCTGCCCATCAGGCCCTGCCCATCCGAGCGATGTCACTTCCTTCCAGTTTCCTGGTATGGATAGAGGAAGGCCAGCGCTTGAGATATGACAGCAAAGAGCGAAGCAGAAACAGCAGCAATGACCAACGTTGCTCCGCGATTGGAATCTGTGGGATCGCGATTGGCCGGCGATTGGGGGGTCCCCAGGCAAAGTAATTTTTTACAACTCCCATTTACTGTATAGCTCCATCTTCCCTTATATGTGGAAGATTAAATGAATAGATTTGGGGGCCAGGTAGGGGGGATGGTCAAACTTGACAAACCCTGATTCTTCTCTACCGAGCGAGAGACTGACAGCCATACTTGCTGGATCTCGACCGAGTGAAATGTCTAAGGTGTCATCAGTCAATATGCCTCTTTACGTGTGGATGGTTATTAGTTCTGCAACAGGGATTGGTGTGTTTTTGTGTTGATTTTGTTTATTTTCTGAGGCTTGGGGTTGGTGTTAAAGGGAACCAGAGGACAACCCATCCATTTTTAGGGGGTCCGATTCCTGGGAAAAGACGACCATTTTGATGATCTTGGTGTGGTGGGAGCTCTGAAGGACCCCGCGAAGGTCTAGGATTTCAAATGATTGTTGGTTTGGGAATGCCCCTTCCTCAAAAGGGTGTGTAACCTACAATTTGTTTTTGTGGTTTTTAAAGTGAAACCAGGAGGAAGACAACAATCTTGGGGGTCCACCGAAAAAGAAGCACCCACAATACTTTGTTTCTACGTTTTGTATTTCAAGGAGCACCGGGTTTAGCCCATAAACACCTTTGGCCAGGTGTCATCAAACCCTTTTCTCGACGAATATTTGGAGGGGTACTTTGACCAGATGTCAATGGCGCATTCCTACAGTCCCAACAGCGTCCCCAATATAAACCGACGCGAGCAAATCGACGGAGGTTTCCAAGAGCTTGAACTCAAGCTGCCCCTGCCATAGTGAGCGAACCACATTCAACCGCAAAACAGTTTTTGCGCTAACTTGGGCCGGGGGGGGTTCCCTTCTTTGATTGCTTGCAAGACTTACATCCACCGAAAAGTCGTCTCGCGCTTCGGCCTCCGTTTTGGGCTCAGCGGTCCCGTTCCCGAAAACGCGGCAAGCGCGGCCAAGCGGCCAAGCGGCCAAGCCAGCGGCCGGCTCTATCGACGAGCTTCAGTCATGGCCAGCGGCAGCGCGGCGCACAAGGCGCGGCTTGGGAAGGCGACTCGTGTTTTGTCGCGCAGTTCAACCAGCGACTCGTCCGGGTCAACTTAGGTTTTTAGGTAGGTGTTTAGGTGGGTTTTTAGTTGGTGAAAGGTGGGGGTTTCCATTTCACCCACGAAATAAACTGTTTTAGTTGGTGAAGGTGGGGGGGTTCTTTTTAACCCACGAAAAATAAAATAAACTGTCAGCAGGGGCTATTGGATGGGAACGGAGGCTCCCAGCCATCGGGTTCCTTAGGTTTTTTTTTTAAAGCTTTTTGGGGGTTTGTAGTTGGGTTTCCATTTAACCCACAAAAGGTAAACTGTAAGCAGGGGCCCAGGATGGTAACGGTTGGAAGAGATGGCCCATTCCTTCTCTCTCCTGTGTGGCTGAGGAGTAGAGAGAAGGACATGGGAAGAGAGATGATGACCGCTCTAAAAGTAATAGCAAATAGATGGGGCAGTGAGTCATTCATCTCTTTTCATCGAGTTCTTTTTATCTTCTATCACATCCAGAGATGTTTTGGCTGAAATGAACATAGGATGTGGGATGATGGTAGGCCCATCACCAGAGTTTAAAGAGATGTCATTTGCACATTGGATGATAGAAGGGACAGAGCCTTCACACGGCCCTTTTTTCCAGTCCTTTCCATTCGTTGTCCTTTCGCGGGATCGATTCAAGGCAGGAAGCGAGGCATAATGTCATCCCAGTTTGTTTTTGTTTGCGGATATTAGTATTTACCTAGTTAAGAAAATGCTTGTTTGCCAACTAACCTACAAAAGATAAATCTTGTTGGCGAGTCATAGCCATCAAGTATGTCTTATCCTTTTGGTGGTTTTTAACTAATTGTGATTAGCCATGGTTCATATCATCATCAGGGACGTCGCGTTAGTGACCGACCTGTGGTGTTTTGGCTCAAGTTTTGGGTTCCGTCGCGCCTCGAATGGGCGTCGCCGAACCCCTGCGTCGACCGACGGCATCTCGGGGGAGAAAGAGACCTCGGGCCGCCGCCAGGTTGGTAGGGACCAGTCGTGCGGCCTGTTGTCGACCAAGGTTGCGGGTTAACCCTTTTCTTGTTTGGTTTGTTTTCCTTTGGTTGTTGTTCTCTGGTGTGTGGGAAACCCTGATCTTTGGGACCGGGGATTGGTTTGCTTTTGGGGAACCTTTCTTTTGTGGCTTGTTTACCCCAACTTACCCATTGCCTGGGCACAGGCTCGTGCCCGAATCACAGGTTATCAGCCGTAGGACTTTCCTACGCGCTTGAGACCATCAACTACAAGCTCTATGTCGACCCCACGATCTCGAAGGAGCGTCGTGGATGAGGAGGCCATCCTAGGTGGCCTCCGCTCAGGTGAGGACCTACCGGACTATGACTACGAGGATTTCGAAGCAGGTTCAACAGGTCAGGACCGCAGGGGTGAAGATCCCGGTAGGGATACACCCAGGAGCCGTGGCAGGTACGCCGACGATGGAGACGATCGTATTTTCCGCCAGGCCACTGATGACGAGCAGACACGAAGGGTTTACTCCGATAGGAGTGGCTCTGAATCAGGTCACAGGCGTGGACGTTTTGACTTCATCAGCATGGCGATGGACATGGCCCGCCCTCATTCGGATGACCCGGAGGCCATGCCGATTCGACCTCCGAGATCTCTTGTTCCAGGTGAGTCGCAGGTCTCGGATGAGTTTGAGAATAGGCCGCAGGGACCAGGGACTATGGTTCTGGCTCCGGGAGGTATCCCGGGCCGATCCATTGGTTCTCAAAATCCAGGTCAGTTTGATGAGCACGAGGAGCGGAAATTCACGGACTTCGGATACGATGATCTGTTGAAATCAACCGCAGGTTGGGGCAGTAGCTCAAAGCAGGGATCTGATGCCGGTAGGCCCAACCCTAATACTGCCAAATCTGAGTCTTATGATGGCGAAGGTTACAATTTTGCGGATGAGGAGGAGAGCCATTCGCGCCGAAATGCAGGCAGCCGTGCGACTGCAAGGACTAGTCCCGCCGCTGCCAAGTTTGAGGTCGATGATGATGACGAGTATGCCGCATTTGCGGATCGCCGTGATGAGGAGGAGGACCAACCACGACGAAATGCTAGGATTCGTGATGCTGCGAGGCCCAGGAGCCTCTCTCGTGGAGCCGCCAGGGTTCTTCGGGGATTGGAGGCCATCCATGACCGTGAGGGACCGGTAGGTCCCCCGGCGATTGGTGATACCCCGAATGTTCCCCCTTTTCCCAACATTACGTTTGGAGGTCCGTTAAATCAGAGAGACGTGAACTCGAACCGGGTTACTGGTTCGCCGAGAGTCACTGAGCGGGTTGCCGATGTCGTTGGGAGAGGTGCAAGAGATGGCCGGCTTGCCGATGCACTCGGAATCGAGGATCGTCCGTCGATCGCTAGCCCGTTAGGGCGAGATACCAGTGACCTTGAAACGCTAAGGTCCAGCAACGAGTTCACACCTCAATGGGGCTCGACCGCCAGGGAACGTAGTGCTTCTGCGAAGAGACCGTCACCCCTGGCCATTGAGACCGATAGGTCGAAGGCGAGGAGGGCTAGCCCCTCACCAATGGACTCAACTCCGCAGGATGAGGAGATGCCTGATCCTGCTGATGTTCACATCCACTCTACTCCCGAGTCTCGTGCGTCCCATGTTGATCCCCGTTCCGGCGATAGCCGTAGAAGGGGTTCTACCCCTAGCAGGCCATCTGGGGCTGGTGATAGTCCTGTGGATGACCCCAGAAGATATGCTAGAGCTAGTGGGGCTCCTGAGAGGATCGAGATATCGACTCCTCCAGCACTCAGGTCTCATTCTTCCGGTGAATCAGGTGACGCTAGGGCAAAGGAGGTGTTCGATTTGCACATCCAGGAGATGCTCGAGAGAGGTGAGGTTTCTGGCTCAGTCGCGAAAGCGTTCCATATTTTTGCTGACCAGATCAGGTTACTGAACGGTCGAGTGAGTTCCATGAGAAGGGAATGGAGCGACGAGAATCAACAGACGAAGTACAAGGTCGATCGACTGGCAGCTGAGGTTGCGACTCAATCTGGTGCCGGGAGGATGCGAATGATAGTTCAACGGTTCGCAAGGGAAGTTATTCCCGATAGCAGGGCCATTGTGAGGCAAGCCATCGATGAGCAAGCCGAGGTCGTGGAGCAGAGGATTAACCTACTGTCCCACGAGGTCCATGAATCTGTCAAGGACAATGAGGCATCGACTGGTCGGCTTCGCCTGATGATTCAGGAGAATAGTGAGGCTGCCCGCAGAAGCCATGCTGCTTCTGAGGACGAGATCCTTAAGGATTTGGACAAGCTTGAGAAACGGATGTTCTCGGTAGAGAAAACCGTTGGGATGCGGACACCAGCAGGTGTATGGAACCCGAATCCTGTCGCGCATCCGTCCGATAGGGCCAGCGGCAGTGTAGTGGATGCAAATTTCAGGGAGTTAAACCTGAAGATCGAGAAAGCTCTCCTTGAACACGAGACATTTGCCAAGTGGGCCTCTGAATCTATTGAAGGGATCAATGAAGAGCACACTCGTCTTGTTAATCGAGTGTCGAGACTGCAGAGTGGAAGGGGTTCTCAGGAGGTCGATAGACCATCAGAACATGATTCCCCGCAGGACTGGCATGAGGCTATTGACGAGATCAATCGGAAGATGCAGGATCTGGCTCGAGGAATTCAACGTCAACGTCGGGATCATGACGACATCATTTCAAGGTTTGAGACCGTGAAATCACATGTTGAACAGTATGAAGCGAGATCGGCAATTGTGAATCGGGTCGTTGATGGTATCCAAGGACAGATCCGTAATCTTCCTGCAAGCAGTGACCAAGTGCAGCCTGCCGTTAGGCGAGAACTCGGCTCGTTCCGGAGTACGCTTGAAGGCGTTATGCGGAGAGTCAGCGCTATCGATGGTAACGTGCGTAATCTTAGCGCAGCGAACAACAGAATCATGTCTCAGCTCTTTGAAATGGAGGGTCAATTTGACGAGGCCGCTGGCATCATTCAGGGTGTCCAGCAGATTAATGAGGCTCCTCAACAACCCAGAGAGAGACGGAATGTTGGTTACGATGCATTTGCGGGGCAGGGACATAGGATCAGGTCTCCGACGCCCACACCCGGGGAAGGTGACGGCCGGGGTACTGGCCGTCCGGTGAGACCAGGCGGAGGTGTTGGTTTGACTGACCAGGTTTTGCCGAATGTGCCCGATAGGGTCGATCCTTCTCGTGCAGACAGGCATCCAATATATCCCGTTAGGGAGGGGTCCGAAAGCAGAAGCCGGAGGGCTCGAGGATTACCTGACAGGTCGCATTCACCGCCAGGGCGTGCGAGGGATGGCCCCCGCGCGCGCGCAAGGGGGGACTTTTCTGTTTCTCCAAATAGGGATGTGGGTAGCAATAGGAGCCCGAGGCCTGCCGCCGTCCCCGATAGGGGATTGAGGTCCGAAGTCGGCAATCAAGGGGGGAGAGGCCAATCCGCGATAGCGGGAGCATCTCTCCGAACCTGGATAGACCGATCCGCGATAGCGGGGACGTCTCTCCGAACCCAGACCGTCATCCAGGAGGTGGTAGGGGTATTAGGGCCCATGTCGATACCCAGAGTCCCGGCGATGACTGGAGGACTCCTGAGCTAGTGCAGACGTCCCGAGTCCCGGCGAGAGGTGGAGGGCCCCTGGAGCTCCATCTGATCGTGGACAGGCCCCGGAACCGGCCACGAGAGGCGCTCCCGGTGCCGGTGGCCCAGGTGTGCCAAAGATTTGCGCCCTTGATGACCCCAACGACCGTAGGCACCCGGACGCTGAATTTTCATGTGTTACATGCAATCGTGAGTTTTGCAGGCTTTGCCGGGGCGATGATGGTGATTGTAGTAATTGTCAGTTTTTGAAAATGAAGTGCTGGGCGTGTCGCAAGAATGCTCAGGAGGTCTCCATGTATTTCTGCACGGATTGTGGGACCCACGTCTGTGAGAATCATAGTTACTTTGGAGATGACGGCCTTGAGCGAT